TATGAAGGGTGGGCACTATTGCATGCGGTGCTTGGGGACCCATCCAGCATATGAGTGTCCATCCAAACCCAATGCCTGACTAGCTCCAGCTGGTCCAAGGCATGCTGCCTGCAAACGCACTGCCGAGGGGCAGGCTGTAGGCTCTACAATGCCGAAGCAACCCAAGAATTCTGCCCAGAACCAACCATCTCAACAGGTGACTTCTGTAAGTGCAGGTCCTTCAATGCAATCTTCTGGTAACCGAAGTGTTCCCACACAATTTTTGCGTACAGATGATTTTCAAGCGAAGCTTGCGGCCCGGATATCAGGCAAACAAATGTCCCGGCTCTTTACAATCGAAATTTTTTCTGGTACAGGTGGTCTGACAGCAGCTGTCAGCAGGATGGGGTTGGCACAATCCATTGGCATCGACGCCCATGTCACCAAGCAAGTCAAGTCTCCAATCATACGAATCAACCTTGCCGAAGAAACTGGCCAGACTCTTTTATGGCGAATTTTGCAAAATGACAACATTGCTGCAGTGCACATGGGCCCTCCCTGTGGCACTTCCAGCAGGGCCAGAGAGATCAAACACAAACAGCGGTACAACCCGCCACCACTACGTTCTACGGCTCACCCTGATGGACTGCCTACATTGACAGGTGCATCATTGGAGAAAGTCCGTGCAGCCAACCGACTGTACCTACTGTGCGGCCAGGTCATGGAGTGGGCCACAGCCAATGGCATCATTGCCTCCATCTAAAACCCACTCCGCAGTCATGCTTGGGCGACCTCCTACATGAAGAAGCACCTATGCGGCATTCAACTATACTCTGTTGAGTTCCATCACTGCATGTATGGGGCAACAAGAAGGAAACGTACCAAAGTACTTTGCAATCACCAATGCTTGGCCCCACTAGGCCTCGAATGTGATGGCAACCACCCACATGATGCCTGGGGAGTCACCTCCTCCGGCAGTTGGGCGACTGCAGCTGAAGTGGAGTATCCCCATCAGCTTTGCCAGGCTTGGGCACATTGTCTCTACAGATGTTTCCTCGCCCTTGGTGCTATTGAGTCACCTCAAGAACTAGTTCCTAACAGCGACATCTCTTTGGTGCAGGCTAGCAAAGTGGCCACTGGAACACAACTTCGTGGCAAGAAGCTCAAACCCCTCATGAGGGAATATGATTATTTCCTAACCATACAAGGGCCCCAGTGCATCCTGACCGAGCTTCCTGCCAAGTGCTCCCATGATACTCCAGTTCCCACTACTTGCACAACTTCGCCACACAGCTCTCACATTCCTGCCCAAGCCAAACGTATCAAACTTCCCTACCAAGTGGGGGAGAAAGCGGAATTTGACAGGTGGGAGACGGTCTATGGAATCTCGTGGACACCACAAGCATTCATTGAAAGAGCGGCAGGTCGATCACACCCAGGCCATTTCCTCGACGGTGTGCACCCAGTACTCAAGAGCATGTTTGACAGTGGAGCCAACAAATCACTTTCTTGCAGAGCGAAAGAGCGGTCTGAACAGATGAGGAAATGGATAACCAGAGCATCTGAGCTGACTAGAGGCGTGGAAGACGGCAAAGATGACTCGCCCTGCCATGCCAAGGTCATCCTAGCCAAGAAAAACTTGAAACTGTTTGAGGAGATGATCGGCGCCTCTGGATCTCCAGACCTTGGACTGGCCAAAGACATTGCCCAAGGCTTCAACTTGATGTGCGATATACCAACTGGATCAGTCTACCCAGTCAGGCCCTCGTACGCCACTCTCTTGCCAGAGCAAGTTAGGCGCATGGCTGATGTAGCCAGGCCGGCAATTTGGGAGGCCGCCAAAAAGATCATGGATCCAGAAGTCGCCGCCGAAGTGCATCGCATCACCCTTGAAGAGAGGGACAAGGGCTGGCTACGGGGCCCGTTTGCACCCCAGGATCTCCCCAAGGAAGCAATCTTGACCAGGAGGTTTGGAGTGAAGCAGTCGTCCACCTTATCAGACGGAAGTCGCACGATGAAGGTGAGGCCGATCGATGATTTTTCAGAAAGTCTGGTTAACTCTACAAACTCTTGTGCTGAATCGATCCAACCAATGGCCGTGGACTCCATCCTTGCAACGATGGTATACAGAGATCGTTCCTGGGGTCATGAGACGCTCACTGGAAAAACGATTGATTTGCGAAAAGCTTACAAGAATCTTCCGCTGGCTACTGAAGCCCTGGGAGACGCATACCTTTGCGGCATGAACCCCGAGACGGGCGAACCTGAAGCATTCCAGACCCTTGTGTTGCCATTCGGAGCGAGAGCAGCAGTCATGGGTTTCTGCAGGACATCCTATGCTCTCTGGCGCATTGGCGTCAGCCTCTTTGGGCTTCACTGGACTGTCTTCTTTGACAACTACTTCCTGGTAGCATCAGAGCTTGAGGAACGTCATGTTGACATGGCTCAACGACTGTTGTTCCAGATCTTGGGATGGGAGACTTCGTCAGAAAAGGAGGCCGAGTTTCGGTCGATATCCAAGATCTTGGGCGTACAAATCGACTTGTCAGATTCCAGAGCAGGTCTCTTCTCAGTGTGCAATGTGGCAGCCAGGGCAGCAGAGTTGACCCAGACCATTGACTCCATCCTTGAAAGAGGCCAATTGACCTCAGCTGAGATGAGGGTGCTTCGGGGTCGTTTAGTCTTTGCAGAGAGCCAAATATTTGGACGCCTGTCGGGGCTGCACATGCAAAACCTCAGCCGATGGGAACATGCTGTTGGTGCTGCACCAATCGATACTGGACTCAAGATGAGTCTGATGTTCCTTAGAGACCGCGTTGTGAGAGGAGAGCCTCGCACGGTGGATTCTGGAGTGGGCAAAGTTTTCCATCTTTATACTGATGCTTGCTATGAAAATGGCCGAGGCGGCCTTGGTGGCGTTCTCTACAATGAGCTTGGAGAGATGCTTTCATACTTTTCTGCCCATGTAACAGAGGCCCAAGCCGCTCGATTGAATCCCCTAGGAAAAGATACCATCATTTTTGAAGACTGGAACCACACTTCTACTGCACAGTGGTCTTCTTGGACAACGATGGTGTCCTTGGGAGAATCATCTCTGGAAAAAGTGGACTTGGCCTCGATGGGCAAATAATTCAAGGAATCTTGGAATGGGAACAATCCCTTCGATCAGTTGTTTGGTATGAAAGAGTCCCATCAGCAGCCAACATTGCAGACCTGCCGTCAAGAGGGATGCTTGATGGGTTCGATGTGGACCTCCGGATTGACATCGATGTCGATGCTACAGTGGATGAAATACTAATCGGAAAGACAGCCAACCCAAACTCCAAATGAATGCTTGACCGAACGATGTACCAATATGGACGATATGTCCGCTCCCAAAAGTGGGGGAAGGCGAGCGAAATCCCCAACGTGTCAAAAAGACTGCTGCGTGCTGTCCATTTGAGTGTGCGATAGTGAAGGCAATAAGGTTCTTCTCCCGTAGGGATAAGGCTTTATTGACAACACTAAAGAAACTGTAATGTACAGTTGTCACACTCTTGGATGTCAATTGGACATGTTCGCAGATTGCAGTCTTCATCACTACACATTCTGATAGCTGTTATCAGCTCAATTTTCCAAAATTTTCGTTCCCTCCTCCCACCCTGCTTTACCTTTCTCATATCCCATTTGGTCTTCAACACCAAAGATTGCATGTTCACACTGTTACCATATGTGCAACCATGTTCCATGTACTTCTTTTTCCAAATTTTCGACGGCCATGCATCTCGATTATTGGAGCCTATTATCGCCATTGACCGTATTCAACAACAGATGGAACAATGCCTGTACGAACTTGATGACCTCGAAGATGACCTCCTTGACCTCAACATCTATGGAGTACCTCCCATGCTACGCAACCTCACCCATCAGTTGCGGCTGGTCATCACCCAAGTCAAGATCCACAAGCTGCGCCTGTTGTGCCAGCTTCAGCGCTCCATCTACTTACAGTGGCGCCACCATCAATGTTTTCCGTGGCTGGATCTTGACCTGTGACGACACGACCTCAATTCATTTGAAGGTACTTTGGCAGAGTGAAACCACTCATTTTGGCCTACCCACCGTGCAGGCGAGCGAAATCCCCAACGTGTCAAAAAGACTGCTGCGTGCTGTCCATTTGAGTGTGCGATAGTGAAGGCAATAATTCCATTATAAACCATCCAGCTGTTGGGGATCCCCTATTTTAAGAAAGCCCGGATGCAATCAATCGTGAGATACTGGAATTGATCACTGAAAGTGGCTTTTTGGAACATAGAAAAATGTTGGACCCATCAGGCGCCGGCATCTAATGCCCCCTCGAGAGCGATAAGTGACAATTATACATTATATTATATGACTATAATGTTCGGACTGGTATAATGTTGGGACTATAATTTATAATCTTAGGACTATAATTTATAATGTTAGGACTTTCTTGCAATAGGGCACATGATGTGCAATGACTGGTCAGCACAGGCAATTTTGTCAGCAGTTCATGCGCATAGTTTTTGGCAGTGGAGGTTTCCAGCAGCCAACAGGGCAACCATCCACAATGAGGGACTCCACAACATTGCACCCCGAAAAGTGAATTGTTGGAATGGATGGAATCCCAAAATAGTAGATGATGCAAGAGTAAAGCCATTTTCAAGGCTGCCCTGATGCCTGGATAAGCTAAAGGACTTTGGTTGACATATACACTGGATATGCGTCTCCAACAATTCACTGTTGATATGGTTGTCCATTTGAGGATGTGCGGAGAGCCGGTCGATGATAAATTCCCTTTCTGCGAAAAAGACAAGTCACATTTACAGATCCTTGGAGATTCATTTCGAGGTATCTTCACCGGATTTTTCAGGATTGGCCAGGCAATGATGGGCACCATATGTAGCTTGGTTGTGGTTATCTTTCAGTTCATCATACCATGACCCCACTGGCACACAATGAGAAGGCCATTCGACCCCCAAACGGGGTTCAAATGGCCATGACAGCAGGGGATCTCCCGGCAGGAGCTGCCCTGTGAACCGCGTGACACGCTTCACGGAGCAGATCACCACGGCAGCGTGCACTGTGGATGTGTCAGTGCTGCTGACCAGTTTTACCAGGCCGGATACCAGGGATTCAAAGGAAATCCCATGGCTTTCCATAGGAAAATTGTCTACACATGGTGGGTTGTCCAAAGCTATAAATTGCTCCAGGTTCTGCGAGGTAGTTACATTTGTCGTCTTGACCGCTTTAAGTGCGGGATAGACGGGTATGAGTCAAACTTGGGGTATCCCAAAATGGATGGTTAACAGTGCAGTAACATGGTCTTCATTGTCATTCTGACCCCCCCAACACAACTGTTGATTCATTCCCCCCAAGAGTACCACTCCCTACTAAATCCTCAATTTTTTGGAACTCCAAAATGAGTAGATTGAGGACGTAGTCACATTGAATCTGGGATAGTCTGTGCGATGTAAAGGACAGTGGCAGTAGTCACATGTAAGTACCAGATTGCCAGTTCAGACTTTTCGGTTTTCGTGACTTAAAGCCGTTTGTTCACACAACCGAGTGGTTCATGTGAGGGAAAGGTGACCCACAACCGTTCCCTGCAGTAGTCTGATCAATCTCACCCATTCACCGGCGCCCTCAAGGTTGGTCTTCTATCTGGCCCTGGCAGTGAATCACTGTTCGCCTGAACCGGAAAGGGATGCCATCTGCTTAGTGGGTGTTTCAGCGATTGCCGCTGGCATGTCCACCACATCAGCTGGTGGTGCTGGAGTTTATGCCACTTGCGAGATGGGCAAGAAGCGGCAAAGGCGAGAAAGGTTGCCGGGCTTCAAAAACTGAAGGTAGATGACGCGCTTTGGAGTTTAGCTTTTACTTTTAACCCGCAAAAGATATTGGAACATATTGGAAGGCATCACCCTCAGCCTAAAAATGAGGATTGTGAAGATCAATGGATGAACCATTTGATGGTTTGCACACATAAAAACCCACTGAACCCCATCCAGAAACTCCAATTGAAATTTGTCTTCGGGATGTATTATTTGTAGGTGAAGCACCCATTAGAATCACCCCTCAAGGCTGGTGAAGGCCGGCATACTGAAAGCCTCCGACGCCGGTGTGGCGGGCCCGAGCGTCATCGCATCTTCGCCCTTTCAACTGGTCCGGCGGCTGGTCAAACCCCGGCGTCTCGAAAAAGCCTGGGATTGGCACGAGTTGGAGGCCGTTCGGGTGTGAAAAAGGGGATTTTTGGATGGATGGTGTTGGATAATTTGGATAATTTTGGTGAATGATTTTGGGATGATTTGGTTTGTTTCCATTCCGCCAGAAAGGAGCTATGGCTGAAGATGGGATACAACATCTCAGACCCTGCTGATTGGCTGCCTGACGAGGGAAACGACCAGCTGCGTTCGGCTGTAGAGGCCGCTCAGTTGCTGAGGCACCACCTGGAGGGCAAACCCAAAATTCATGGGTTCCGTGCAGAATACTCAGGATGATTCAGGGTCAATTATTGAGCTCCCAACTCTATTTTAGGGGTGTCTCGTAGATATCGTAGATTCAGTGTGCTCTGTATCTAAGTTTCGGGGGTCTCCAAACTGCTTGCTGCATGGTCTCAGGAGTGTAGCAAAACAGGGACAGTTACAGTAATGAGTAACTGACGTAGAACCATAACCCACTTGTTCGGATGACTAGCGAGGTTTCCAAATCACTTGCTTATCATTGGTCGTTATTGCTGACATCATTTGATATCCACATGTCAAGACATCCTCATTTAGTTGGCAACAACACTAGCAAAAACAATACTTGAAGTTAAAAGGTTAAAATCCTGAGATTTCGCCACACATTTCAGGTCATCATATGTCACCATGTTTCAGTTTTTGTTGGTGAAAACCGTGGCCGCGATGCCCAGCTCCAGGAGCAACTGGACGCCCCACCTGACGCCGATGCCGGCGAGTGGTCCCAGGGAGGTGGCCTGTAGCAGCTCGGAGCGTCGGAGCGTGGTGATTTGGGGATTGCCATGGCGCCACTGGAAGTGTTCCTATTTTTGAAGGGCCATGCTCAGCAACAACTATATATAACCATCTATAACCACTATATATTTTTTTTTGGGAATTGTCTTGAATATGAGACTTGGTTCGGGAATTGCAGTAAAACTTGACAGGCAGTTGGTGTGATTTTTCACGATGTCTTTCTGTCTTCTGATCGTTTTGATGATTTTGCAATCCACCGAGTAATGGTTTAGGCATAGGTCTGATTGCTGGGGTAACCTGGCTCCGCGAATCGATCGTATCATAAGTGTGGTCAGAATTTCAGGTCAGAGGAACCAACAAGTTCTTGCCATTCTGAGTCAATTCAGTAGTGCATTTCCCTATTTTTTGATGGATATGCTGGTTTATTGTCATCCCATTTCCGGGTTAATCCTAGGTTTGACATCCAAATTTCCATCCGGGGGTGTCGACGAAAATGGGGAATACAGTACCACTGAAATTCCCATTGACGGGGGAATCGGAATAGGATTTTAACGAGTGCATTTGGGGTATACGGTATGCATTTTAAAAGGATATTTCTGGATACTTCCTCATTACCAATCGACAACTGATAACCTACCACATTTATATTTATATCCCATCAACATCCCATAAGAATCCACTCATGCTGTTTTTGGCAACTAAAAAAAATGTTATTCAAACATCCCATTAAGAAATCCCAGTTCTTTCCCAATTGATATCCCGTTACATCCCATCAATACCCAGTTGCCATGCGTGTCTCCCAATTCTTAGGTATCGAGTCGGCCGACCCCTTGCGATTGCGCAGCGGAGTGGCTGGGGAGTCTGTCTCAGTGGAAGACAATGCCACGGCGTGTCAAGCGCGGTGTTTTAGGACTGGATGCTTCAAAGGGGTCCTTTTATTTCCAATTTGCTTGAGTCTTCTTGATCACGTTTTGGTTCTATTTTTTTTCTTTTTAATGGCTGTACAAACACTTTTCAATATCACTTTTGGACACATTTGGTGGTTAGATACTGGTCATCCTCGAAAATGTGACATTTCCTGCTTGAGTGGGGTGAACTGGTAGGCCTTGATCCCCATGGATTCTGAAACATGTTGTTTTCAGTCTTGAATACCAAACCAGACCTCTGCACATATAGCATTTTGATATGATTTTAAACTATGCAACATATAATATATGACATACAAAGGGTATTAGTATGTGTAATTATAGAATGTACATGCATGTCGTGCAATTGATATCTATTTCTAGAGTTTTTTCCTCCCCAAGCACTTTTTTGGCTCGAGAGATGTCGCGTGGAGGATTCCAAGCTGCGCAGAGTTTGCTTATTGGGGTCCTGGAGGTGCAGCGGTGAGGGATATTAACCTCCAAGAGCTTTATCTTGGTGCCAAAAATCCTGGAAATATGAGAGGACGGAAAAAACTTGGACAGGTGGGCTGCAATTCGTCAGAAAACCTCCGAACGTTTAAGCTGTGGCCATGGCAGGTCAGTGCCACATTTTGGGCTTCTTGGAGATGCCGGTGCAGGAGCAGCTTCCCAGCACTGCTGGCTGGGTTTCTGGACCTCCAAGCTGCGATGCTGCCAGCCCTGAGTTGGAGAGCCCACACCCAAGAGCTTTGCGGCAGCTGATGGCTAAGAGATATGATGACGCTGGGATCAATTGGCTATGGATCAATACCAATTAATACCATTTTTAGGGGGATGAACATCCATAAATCCCAGCTATTTTGATGTTCACCAGGGGTACAAGGTTTTGACACACTGCTAATTAGGATTTGCTGAGATTTCCCACTTCATTTCTTTTTTTGCACAACCAAAAAAGCGCGGCTGTTGCCTGCTCTGTGGTGTGTGGATGTGTGTGGTTGGTCTAGGGCAGGCAAGAGCTGTGCTGCAACCACCCAATATTTGCACCGCTCATGATTGATTATGTGCTAGGAATCTCAATCTCTTGGCATTTTCCATACATGGGTATGGGACCAAAGTGCTTTCCATGTCCCAGATCCCATTTTGAATAGAGCTGTGTGACCCACCTCCGTCCATCACCAAGGCATGCTACGTGTCCCACACAGCCTTTCAGCCTCTGCTCGAAGATGTGGAGCCGCGGATCCTGGCCTCAGCTCCTTGGTTTCCCAATGTGTTTTTCCATGTTTTTCCCATGAAAAATGGCCTAGTTTTTGGATGATTTCGGGGTCCCCCTGTTTAGGAACCCCCAACAAATATGTATTAAACTGCATGTGTACATAAGTCCTTCTCTCCCTCTCTCTCGAAGTCTATGCCAACATGCCAACATGCGTTTGATACCTTTAAAAGGCAATGCTCCACAAGTCTATATATGTAGAAATGTATGTAAATATGATTGTGTAGCTATTTGATTTGATGTACATGGAGACCATCAAAGAGCGTTTTCTGACTCGCGACTCCCCGTTTGTTGGTTTGACCATCCAATGTTTGAGTAATTTGGTAAATGAACTTAATGCCATAAACCCCGAATTGGAGATGTTAACAGTCTTGCATTTACCACCTTATACACGCAGTTACTATCGGTAATGTTTGATCTATTGGTGGTAAATCGTCTGGGTTTACCACATGACTTCTCTTGGGTTTTGATGTTTGTCAATATTTTTTTCCTCCCCCATTGTTGTCAGACGATTCATTTATTGTGTTGGGTTCACCACATTTGCAAACATTGCAGAGACATCACATACCTCACTGAATTGATGGTAAGTCCCTATATCATCCTATATAGCCTATATCTATATTGTTCCTAAACTTCTTCAAAACCATTTGTTTTAGTGGGTTTCCAACCGCAAATTCTTGTGTTTCACCTTCCCCGAGGTCTTGGACTGTCAGCGTTGGTGCGAGCAGCAGCCCGGCTGCGGCTTCTTCTCCTACTTCGCCCTGTCAGGGCTGTGCCACCTGTCTCCCGCGGATGCGCAGCGGTTGCACCCGGCAGCTGGGTGGCAATGGAGATTAAGAGAGTTGGAGATCATGGATGGGGTAGGTATGTATATATATATATTTATAATTATATATATATATTATATATATATTTATGTATATATATATATATTTATTTATTTGCTTGTTTTTTTTTGGACACATCTTTACACTTTCGAATTTGTACATGGCCCCCCCAAGAAATGGGTTCTGGAAGATGATTTTTCCTATTTACTATGGTCATTTTTGGGTTCCATGTTGAATTTTGGTGGTGTACCCACTAGTTAACCCACAAAAAGTCTGCTTCCAGATTGCTCAAACTCCCCCAGGTTGGGACCATTGGTCGATGGGGGTGAAAACCAGGGTAGCCCGGGGAGTGGTCCGCATCTGGGGAATATCTTCAAGAGGTGAATCAGTATTTTTGGATATCTGGCAATTATTTGGCAACTGGACTCCAGAACTTGGTCATGATGAGTCATGTCGTATTCGTTGATGTTGGACATGGGAGTTTACCGCGTGCTCATGGCATCGGTTTTTGGCCCCAGGTGCTGAATTTCGTGGCAGGGCCGAAGAGCTGTGAAGAACCTGAATTCGTCGCTGAAACCTCCGCTGAAACTGGTGGAATGCATGTTGGCCTGCCACGTGCTTTGGGTCAAGGTACCCTTGCCGTGGCAGTGTCCATTCTTAGTGTCCTTGCAATGAAATCTTGCAAGGCCCAATCCATAATTTTTGGGTCCAAGTTTAACAGCATAAAAGCCACGGTGGAGCCAGATGATGCTGTGCCATTGGCAAACGCGGGCGCGTGACAAAGATATGCTTCCAAACTTCTTGGGTCTCCGTATCCAAACCTGTTGTGGCCCAAAATCAGAAACTTTGCGTATTTCTAGAGATAGGGTGGGTGCCCTAAACCCCTAGAAAGAAGGAAGCTTTAGAATTTGCATCGGAGAAACTATTATTCAGATTCAGATCAGTTCTGAGATGCTTCCTAAGCAGTCTTTTTGTGCCAGGTGTTTTGGACTTGAAAGACTAGCTTGCTTTGACCTGAAGACATCACTTTTCCATCCACTGCTGGGCAGTTAAGCTCACTGTCCTAGACACAAGCAAAGAACTGTTCATGAGAATTGAGAAACACTTGAGCTGGAAGAGCTCCAAGACGCATTGTATTTGGGATTGAAATAGCAGGTGCTCCGACCTGTTCCATGCCTAATCTTGAAACATGCAAGCGTCTACAATGGCCCATCAAACGGAAGACTTGCTGAGAAAGCATGGTGAAGCCGAAAGGAAAAGTGATGTTTCAAGATGTTTCAAGTAGATTGTTTGGTGTATTTGGTGACCCTCGTGAAGTTGTAATGTGCATTGGAGGGCAGCGACCATGGTAACCATGGTGCGCATCCCACCACTGCGTCGCCGGGCGCTGCCGGTGTTGCTTGCATACCTCATTTTGCTGAAGGCGCAGATTTGAAGCTGTTCCCAATCTTTCATATTTATAGTTTGACATGTTTTGGATCTTTTGCAAAGCTTTAAAGACCGCAATTAAGTCTCACTTCTGAAACGCATGTCTTCGCAGTGTCCCTACTTCTTTGGGTGCGTTGTTACTGGAACCTCTTGCGACCAGCAGTGCGCCACATGGCCACCGCGTCCAGGCGTGCCATTTGAAGAGCGTGACCTTTGTAGGTCTCGATGTCAGGAACTGTGCCGGACCAGGTGTAGTTGATTCGACCCCGGCAAAGATATCAAAGGTTCTGAGAGTCATAAAAAGACTGGTGTTGATACCGAGAAGAAGGGATGCATTCAGCTTATGTGATCATCCCAGTTGAGAACCGTGGCTGTGAACCAGTATCAACCATGCAATGTCGGCGAAGACCATTGGCTAAATGCAGGATGTCCGACTTCGACGTCGAATTGCTGGTCTCGAAAGCGCTGTCTTTTGCGGTGCCTGGGACTGGAGACCTGTAGAGATTCGAGGAAAATGTGGACCAAACTGGATGATTTTACTCTGTAATCTTTGGCTAATCGGGAAATCTGCCAAGGAGCCTAGTTTCTGGTAAACTGTGACTCTGCTTGGAACATCTATGAGCGCTTCTGAAGAAATCTTGGATCCCCAAGACTAAAATTGGTGGATTGTGGGAGCAGGACACTGAATGGTGATTTGTGGTGTCAGAGTGACGACGCAAAGGTCATCGGCGGCTCCTGCCTTGGAAAGTTGCCACAGGCGTTGGGTGATAACAGCCTAAGCGTGGGTTCCTGAAATGATACCGTTGATCATTGTGTATCGATCCAATTCGTTTCTTTTCCCATCTTGCGAGGACTTTGTTCCATATTCCATGGAGAATGCACCACCTGCATTCATCAGGAAGCATCCATGGATTGGGCCGCAAACACTTGATGAAAGCACCAAAGCTGGTTGCGACAGTTTTTCACTAGTTGATCCGATGTTCCATCACCAGGTGGCAGCTGTGTGGCGGGCAAAGTCAGCTGAAGGCATTTCCAAGATTTCGATTTGGACAGAAACGGCCGGGTCTCCCAAGGGTTGGAACCGTTTGGGGATCTATAATCATCAGTTTAGTTTTCCAGCAACAATGAGGACTTGAGATGAAAGAGCAAAGATATGATATAGCCTATAGCCATTGAAATCTTGGTACTGATCAAGATTTTAGACAACCCAAAGAGCCCAAAGATCCTTTTTTTTGCACCAAAGCTGTTCCCATATATTTTGAGATTAACTTCCGACTCCAAGTCCAGTTTTTAAATATGCGAGATGGATGCTGTTGAAACTGGATGTGCCCTCTAAGGTGAGCATGGGAGTGCAGCTTGCATACAATGTGGTGCGACGTACTCCTGTGACGACGTATGCTGAAATTGCACCTTGGATTTCAACACTTTTTATGGTCGCTGCTTGAGAACTGGGGATGTTGGCACGGGGAGATGACGCACTCTGGTTGGTACTTCCTTCATTCATGCCTGGACTGCTTTACGTTTAAAATTGAAGGGCAAATATCGAGCTCTATTGGTTTAATGCTTCGGTTTCGATGCTTTTTGCTGTAGCCGAGGCGATTTTGTTTCCACAACTATTGCTGTTGACGCTGGTTGTGGCATGGGCAGATGGAAATCTGGGACCCAGGGTTTGGCCCGGCGGCCTAGTGGGCATTGTGCATCTAATCCATTCATGAGATGGCTTGCTGAACTCCATCAAGACGATATATACTAAGCCCCGAAAAAAAATATAAACGAGTAATTTACCACCGGTTTAGTAGGATTTTAATTTTCCTATCGATTTAGGCGTTTCCATAGGGTATTTTCGTGCACGACCTTATCAGCCATAGTTTCACGAGGTGTTGCAACCTGACTGGCTTGCGTTGTTGCCTCACTGGCGCATAGAGAAGTTTCGGGTCGCCACGTTCGCCATGTGTCACTTGCAAAACCACAGATCTTTCCGTCCATTGGTCGCAAGGCTGGCAGACCTTTGTCTCTGCGTGGGAGTGACTGCCATGGCACTGGGATGGGCCGCTTGGATAACTGATGGGATCTGACGGGTTAAGGCTGCAAAGTCATGGCTGTACTTGTTACAAGTATAGCTATATACTACAATAGCCAGGTAAAAATAGGATGAGAAGCCAACTGAGGTGGTCATTCCTGGGCTGTCAGGGTTCTCCTAACCTCGAAGTCCCAAAGAAAAGTTTGCCTTGGCAAAGAGTGATCTTGGAAGCCCCTTGTTCTGCAGGGAAATTTCTATCATGACGATTACTGTAGTCTAGTACTTCCAGAAGGGATTTCGCCTACAAGTTGACTAGGGTTAGAGCCCCCATGTGTGTTTATCCACAAAGAGGGTACCCGAAAATCCCATATGGTCGAATATTTAATACGCATTCCTAGTTGAAATTGGCATTTAGGGCAGTATACTGTATACTGCACCCCATTTTCAGTTAAACCTAAATATAATATGGTTATTTCATGTTTCTTCTCCATAATTATGTTCAGTATAATGCCATTATTGATGACGTTAATTTAATCCACAACTTACTGACCAACGGCTGCCCACCACCAGGTTTCAAGCACGTTCACCACGGCGGCATACACGGCCAACGCCTTGTTTGGCCTGGTGGCCGTCCTGCCACAGGTGCCGAACATCTGTGAGTTTTGGTGATGGAATCTGTGATGAACAATTTTGCAGGTGATCATCAACTACAAGAACAAGTCGACTGGACAGCTGTCCTTTCTGGTCACTGCCATGACCTTTGGAGGGCCGCTTTGCTTAACCCATGGCCCAAGACCGGAGAGCCCGCAGCCCAACATGCCATTTTCACCATGGGCAAGACGTGGAGGTGTGTCAAATCAACCATCATGCCATTTTCCAAAATCCATAATATTCCACGATGGTCATAATTATCTACCATTTTGGATCATTTCAATTCATTCTTTCATGGCAAACCTCGCTGGTGCTACCCCCCCCATCCTTTTCTGCCCGCCACCCAGGACATCAGCGCGGTTGTACACCACCTTCGTGGAAGTAGATGACCTGGCGCTGCAACTGACCATGCCTCTTGGCTCAGCGGAGGCGGTGGCAGATCCAGGCCGGCTTTTTTTTGGGGTCAGATTGGACACCCCCAAAAAAACATCCAAAACACCAAGACATTTCAACTCGAAAATCTTGGAAACAATCAACCAGGATTTCTGGTCTTCTTTTGGGTGCGTTCTGAGGATGCTGAATTGGAGTTTGGTCAGCACCCTGATGCTGCAATTCGCTGTGTACCGCGATCGCCGACCTCTGCCTGCGAAACCTGCGCCACTTGGCTGCGGTTTTTGTATGGTGCCACAAGTTGTGGTTGGAAAAAAATCTGCTTGAATCACTGGTGATTATCACTGGTGATTCAAATCCTTTCCCCACTTTTCTGGGCTCATGTTGTCACCGCTCTTTTTCACCGTTGGCACATCTTCCCACAGGGTCACAACACGGAGCTGCAGGAGTTCCGAAGAGAGCCCGACCATGGAGAAACCGTCCTTCAAGCGCCAGGCCTCGGTGGTGAAGGCGGGATTCGGGTCTGGGAGCGGCTGCTGGGATGTTCTGGTGAAAATGGCTGGATTCTGGATGAACTCGGGATGAACTTGGGATGAACATAGTGCGAACCTGGAGGTGCTGTGAGGATGGTGGATGGGGGATGAGGCGAAGTCAGAACACCGCAATTCTCCATTCAAATTCATTTTGAACCAATGGATTCTGGAAGGTGATGGCAGGCTTGTGCTGACCATCGTAGCTGGTGATTGATTACACATGCCGATTCTAAGGTGGAGTGAATAACAACGAACTCCGTATGGATATCAGTACTCAAAAGCCACGATCATATACTGCAAACTGCAAAAAGATATTGTTTGAATCACTGACTCCGAACACATTGTTGGTCTTATGATCATTGAAAACATATACATACATACATACATACATACATACATACATACATACATACATACATACATACATACATACATACATACATACATACATACATACATACATACATACATACATACATACATACATACATACAACATACATACATACATACATACATACATACATACATACATACATACATACATACATACATACATACATACATACATACATACATACATACATCATACATACATACATACATACATACATACATACATACATACATACATACATACATACATACATACATACATACATACATACATACATACATACATACATACATACATACATACATACATACATACATACATACATACATACATACATACATACATACATACATACATACATACATACATACATACATACATACATACATACATACATACATACATACATACATACATACATACATACATACATACATACATACATACATACATACATACATACATACATACATAACATACATACATGTATATATATATATATGTACACATATATTACACATATCATATATATATATACATACAATACAGTACATATCAACATGCAAACCATCCATTTCCCATGGACCTGTTGGGTCTTTCCATTTTTCGCCAGGCTTTTGCCAGCTTTGGCTCCTCTCGCTGCTTGTCAGAGTACCTCGGTAAAGCACCAGAGGCTGAAGGTGTCGAAGGGTCACCATGGGAAAATCCTTGGGAAACTTTGGGAACATGTTGTGGAAACGTCAATGGCTTCAATGGAAACTTCTGACATCAACAAATCCACCGTTTTGCATCGAGGATGGTGGACGTGGAGATGATGGATGGCACTGTGGAAGTGATCAAGTCGAAGTCCAGCCAATCCTTGTCTCATTTTGCAGCATGGCTATTGGAAGGGCAGATGGGAAGACCACATTTACCACTGGGGTAATGGCAATGAAAGACTATTTTGGGGCAACCACCTCTCTGATTATTTGTATATACATATATATATATGTACATAGCTATATAAGAGAGTTCATTCATACAGGGTTGACATGATTACAATAATCCTACTAGCAACGGGTTTGCAAAATGCACCTGGTTCAGCTGGCAATATTATGGCGCCTGTTTCAGAATATAATCAACTCAATTCAACATAGTTTTCAATCTTTTCGTGTCGAAAACACTTTCCAATCCTGGTCTATTTGCTAGCATCATTGGAGTGATATGTGGCTGGGCAGTTGTGATTAGTATCAAAGAATGGCCATGTGGCTTTCCCAAACAACTTTCCTGCTGGTGAATTTGCCAAGAAGCAACAGATCCTGCATCTTAGGTGGCGCCCCATTATGTGGCAACTCACCAGCTTTGGTTCGAGGGAAATCCACGGGACATTCCAAGTTTTCGCACGCAAAAACCCTGGCTTCTTCTCGTTTCGTTACATCAATTCGTCGTCACTTTTCCAGATGATTGTATCATAAACAATCCCCATCATATCTCCATAGCATGGTCGATTTAATTCTCCCATTGGGTTTCCCATGTTTATCCCAATTTCTGTACCTTCCATATCTCCATGGATTCAGCAGGCACGGTCCATCTCCTGGAGCACGCCGGTCGCCAGTAGCTCGGTGCCTTGTTTTGATATCCCTCCGGACCTCCGCCAGGCGAAGTTGGGCCGGGTGACCGGGTTGCTTGGTTCCTATTTTTGGAAAGGTCAGGTGGAGATGATGGGGATGTTGAAGTTTCTGTTTTCCTACTGTAATTATCTGTAATTAAAATTTGTTCTCTGCTTGCCTTTACATGTCATTGGGTACTGTACGCTAATTATTTGGACATTACATATGAAATTGCATGTTGATGTTGTTGATTGCACCAATGTGTGTACTAATTTATAGATGGAATGCTACACCATTGCCGTTGATGACATCCCCCACGTTTATTTGGTCAGTGCCGCAGGTGTCCAGTCCACCTCTGCGACGAAATTGAGCTTGGTGACATGGGTCTCAATTGGAACAAAGGGATTTTTAGTCGGAACATGTCGGAACTGAAACTGCCAAAGATTCCAGTTTGACCAGAAAGATGGGTCATGATGGATATAAGAGACACACATGGAGAGGGAGCCAGCAAGAATTGGAGTATACTTAGTATATTAAGCAATGGCAGCAATGGGTAAACATGTATACCACCAAAAGTTGGGATATGAATCCAGCAATGGAGATATTGACCAAACTCGAGGCGAAAATCACCGGAAACTATGGTGAGGTGATCATCCAAATAGAGGACTTTTCGGCGATCCATTGAGATCCATCAATGTTCACTTCCCTGCGAGGCAAAAGGTCTTGACAGGTCCAGCGTAGAGAGAACAAGGGCCGGGGAGCGGACGTGGCTACCATGGTCCCATATGTAGGAATGATAAGCGCCTCTGGCTGGTAAGTCTGGTGACTGGGGTGATGGTGGTGATGATGATGATGATGAACATTCGGAGATGATTCGTAAGTGGGTGACCTCATCCTGTTTGACAGGTATCCAGCTACTGACGATTGAGCAAATGCCCAGGCATTCCAGTGATACATGATGGTATCAAAGGTTATTACTCCACAACTGGGGTGAGGGCTGGGGGAATGGTGGTAACAACGCCACTTTTAAGGGTCGGAATTGAATAGTCAGAACTGTTTGTGATACTTTGATTCTTAGTCACAACCCATTCGCACTACCACTCCCACCCTTTTGGCAGAACTGCATCCACTGCATCTATGATTTCCATGATGTCTCTTTGCTTTTGAAAGGTGCAGTGCAAGAAAATCCAGCATGGCATTTTGTCTCCTGGCTGTGTCCCAAGCAGCAATGGATCTGGATGACCAATCCAATTTGTTTCCAAAAGGATTCCTGTAGATGTAGAGATCAGAAGCTGCACTTCAGGCTTCAAATCCTTCGGTTGCACGTTGAAAATGTACAAGTGGGCTTCCGCCATCCAAGTGAATACGTCTGCCGTTTTGGGACACATCTTGATGGCAAGGTCCTGACCTGTGCTTTACCTTGCTCAGCTGTCAAATAGAGAGTCAATCTACATGGAGTTTGAAACTCGGATGAAGCCCCAAACCCAGACTAGTAGGCCCTTGGTATGTGTGATGCTGGATACGGCTTTATGAAACTGTTACTTTAATGAGGCCATGCAGTCTGGCTTGCATGCCAGCATCTTGTCATTGAAACCAAGATACAGGAACATGATTCTAAGGGTGAGCGTCGATGGTTGACTCAAGTATCCTTGCAGCAAGAGGGGAACGACAGGCACTACTGAGCCAGATATTTTCCTTGATGCCTCACCACGCAGTTCTGCAAGGAGGTGCCAAAACAAAGTAGGATGAGCTTCAAAGCGTAGCGCCATAGCGCCATGCTCAAAGAAGAAGACGATCCATCCTTCCGACAGAATCAGAAGGTGGGAGCAGGTATTGGAACCGACAGACAAAATGATAGGTTGCTTGCTGCATGTTACATGTTGAACTTATCAAGGCAAGGGTACAAACATGTACAAACCAATGTCACAGCCAATGGAAATGAGGATATCACCCAGATTGGCCAAACAATCTTTGCCACACAATAACCAAGACACGTGCCTTCTCCAGTTGACATCTGAGATTTCGTGCGGACTGAGGCGTCAAGCGGTGGCTTGAGCGTTTCCCAATCTGCCAGGGCTCAGAAATGGCTGGACCAGCTGGTCCAAGTAGCCACTGGGATCAAGCCATGGAAGGGTGGAAGATCATCTTCATTTGTTGATTTTCCAGCTGGTGCCACTGGTTTTTTTTGACCAGTTTGGCTCCAGGCATCCACGGGCATATACACATTTCCCGCTGAGGAGTCACGCATGCTCAGCAATTGGGAGGAGCCTGTGGTCATTTTATGACCCAAGTGGCAGATGGTGGCCATTTTGATAGGGTGTATTCAAGAAACGATACAGGGGCTGACACCCGCGGATTTTGCCATGGACAATCCAAAGATGGTTGTTAGTTGTTACTATTTTACGAAAGTCCTGAAATCTCAGATATGAGTTTCAGCAGGCTGAATGACAAGCTTTCTGCACAAAAGACCCCCTTCACTTTTTTAGGGCTATCATTTGGGCACCAGGGGTTCCACTGGGGTTGGTTGATCTGTATCAGTGTCAACAACTCTCTGAAGGGTTGTGCTGATGGGTTGGGTCGAATTTGTTGAACACAGTTTTCTTTTCCATTTATATATGTATAATAATTACAGTATGTCGCATGTATGTAGGGACGTACGGACATACAGGTTCCTGCACTTGATTCAAGATTGATCTGATTTGCTCTGATAAAAACCGCCATGAACAACACCGCCGTTTGTTGGGATAGCGCAGAGAGAAAGCGACCATGTTGTCAAACGAACAGCCTGGAAACGCTGAAAACAACTCAAATGATGCTGCAACACAGTCTTAGCTGTATCAAGCACCAGTTTGGGACTCCCACTATGTATAATTACATCGGTGATTCATATACTTTCGCACATTATCTATGACCCATTCTCAACATCGCGTTCGAAACAATTGCTTCAACCAGAACCCAAATTTTCAGCCAGTGATGCCACGCCACCCATTCACCCCAGCCAGAAGCACCCTCGCCCTATACCAACCCATACAGCAAGTAAATAACACAGCCTAGGGCACTTGAAGAAACACACTCAACACCCAAGACATAGCAGTACTGGGTTTGTCTCAAAATCCAGTCCCCCGAAATCTGATGGTTTATCATCATGTTTCCTATTGAATGGCAATTTAATGGGTCCGAGTCCATCCCCTATTTTCAGCATTTGCAGCCACATCCATATCTAGGATATTTCCCATTACCAATGTAGATGGTATATGTACACATATATATATATGTATAGATATTATATCGTATATAACTGTATAGATATACACATACTTTATTGATATCCCATCAATGGGTATACTGCACCCCATTTTGAGACAGACCCACCATTTGCGTCCAATCCCCAGGAGTTCTCGGCGCATCGCAACGACGTGCAGCACCGTTTCGCTGAGCTCACGGAGACGTTGCGACGCAAACAGGTGCCACGACAGGGCTGGGTCTCGGGGCCAACCATCACCACCCAAGGAAGATTGGCCCCGTGTTTCAAAGAATGCGTTGCGTTGTTGGTGACCATGGTAAACGTAGGCCCACCCAGATATCTGGTGTGGGTATGTCATGTTCTCATATCCCAAACTACGAATCAAACCAACCGGGCCCATGATCCCTATGCTCCTTCAACATCGGTTTATAACAGTGATTACAGTGATTACCCACTACTTGCTAACTGGTATCATCATCCAACTGCCAAATGTCGGGGAACTCATTTGGGTCAAATTTACGGTCAAATTTTGAGGTGACATCAGATTCGTTTGGACTTCAAGAATTGTCAGTTGCTGCTCCCATAGCAATGTCCTCATCCTGCACAGGAACCCCACCTGGAGAGTGAGTTGGAGAAGTGCAGTCGACGGCTACAGCAGCTGTCACAAAGCAACGAGGACGCAGAGGGGAAAGGTTGACAGATCGTAGGGTGGTTTCCAGATTCCCAGATGGATGTGGGTCGATATAAACGGCCAGAAAACTGGGGAGGTAGAGGAACATCACAGCGGACTGTTCAGTGTTCACGGGCCAAGTAGAGAGAAAAAACTATATACATTATGTACCTTCTAGTGACTTCCGAAGGTTGCTGTCACTGCGGGATTTATCCCCAGGTGTTTGTGAATTATTGTGAATGTAGTAATATCCCTCTAATTTTAAAGGCAAATCTCAAAGGTGGTTATGGTGCTTGACTCACAATAATGGAAAACCACTCCGTGGATCATAGGAACACACGCATTTTTTTCTCCCACATGGTGTGTGACAGCAATGTCGCTGGAGATGTTTGCAGTTGATTTTAATGACCAATTTCAAGAACTACCCGTGTGTTGGCAGGAGACCCTTTGTCGCATGGGCGATCTGAAGACTGCTGTGGAAAATGGACAGCAATCCTTGGAAGGTGGCCTGTCATCCCGTTATGGCATGTGGCTGCGCGGGTATGCTTTCTTGGGAGACGACGAACGAAGTTCATCGGAATCCCCTGTCAAACCTAAGCTCAGATGTAGCATCACTAGGACATCGACCGCAGGCTTAATTTTACTGTATCACTGTATCACGCTGGTGAGAAATCGGAATAGATAGAGAGCCAGTATCCTCAAGGCATAACTTGGTAGTTTCTGGAAAGTTTGATCACCCTGATCCTCATTGGTTTGTAAGGAGAGGTTTCAAGATATGGTGTTGGTGGCCTCTCTCAACTATGTTTCTTTGGTTACAATGGTTGCAGCCCACATTTTGATGTCAGTCTACCTGAAATCTAACGTCCCCAAACCCACAGATTTTGGCCAATTCTACTAGTCAACCTATGTTTTTCTTGGGATCCATCTGATTTTTGGGAAGTCAGCCCCATCCCCATCCCCTTCCCCGCAGCAGGTCTCCGTGCGCGCGTCAGCACCAAGCTGCAGGAGATGGGAACGTCCTTCGAGGAGCACAAGAAGGATCTCCTGTCGCGAGTCTCCGAGGAGTTGTGCCTTGCTACCCCGGGGAGGTTGGGGGTTGGGGTGAACATGTCTGGTGGGGAAATGCCATAGAGTTGTTGTGTATAGGGTAGAAAAAACAACACAAAGGGGATTTATGCGAGAATGTTCAGGGGAATGTTCGGCAGTCTGCATGATGTATTCTTTGCGTTTGGAGCCTGTTGGGGCCTAGATATGTTTCGTCCAGAATCACTTGGTTCAATGGCAGAGTTTCCAGCTGTATCCTCAGTGGTTGATCAACTCTCAGGGGCAAGGCAGCCCATAACGTATGGAAACAGCCATGGCAGGAAACAACCATGGCAGCCATGGCATGTGGGGATTTCCCAGCCATGAGGCAAGCGGAGGCCTCCAGCTCTAAGAGACAAAGCAAGGCCTTGGGAGAGGCGCATAAAAGTGGATGATCTTTCTCGGATCGGAATTGGGGCATGTGACCAGCATGGATTACCCTCTGGTTATGTCAAAATAGCTATTGAAAATGGCTATCTATAGTGGACTTTCCCGTTAAAAATGGTGATTTTCCATAGTTATGTTAGTTTACCAGAGGGTATACAGTATTTCTACGGTTATCCAGTTTGCAACTGGCTTGGATTCATCTTGGATATCTATGTCATGATGACTTGGGGTCATTTTTCTGCCGCTGGCTTTTCCGCGCAGGAGCTTCTGCGAAAAATGGCGGAGCTCAACCAGAAGTTGCTTCGGAGCAGATGGGCACCCAACGGTGGAGAGAGAACCCATAGGAACCAGCAACAGGAGGGCTGAGTAGGGGATAATCATTGAAAGCCAACCAACATGGGGTGTAATCAACAAGAATGAGATGGAGCATATGTGGGACCAAATATGAAAGTCTGGTCATGATTAATAAACCTGCCATTGGGCACCAGTTCTTTGACCCGAGTATGGCTTCAGAAGCGACAAAGGCGTGATCATGAAACGAGGGCTTGACTCCACTCCCCTACTTCCAGTGTGATTGGGTGGATGTGCATCCCAGTCAGTAAGTGGTCAAGAACCGTGCTTGTTTTCACACAGAAAGAGGCTGTTTTGTCAGGTTAGGCGAGAACATGAGCAGTGTGGAGGAAGAGTCCATTTCGCGTTTCGAGGTCGGGGGGCTGATGAACTAATTGCTTCCTGACATAGCCGGAGGATCAACTATCATCCCAAACGATATGGGAATTTGATGCCCCAATCAGAAGGAACAACAAGGACTGTATTGATTGAGCTTGGATGACGTTGCTCCACAATTTTTTCAATGACCATGACGCAAAAAAAATGGCATGGAGAGCATGAAGGAAATTGGTTGATGTATTTTGGTGTGGTCTTCTGGTGTTCAGATGTTTTGTCATATGGCTCACCACTTTTCAGCTTTGTTATGACTAGTTGCAGCCTCTAAAGCTTCGGGTTTCAACTTGTGCAACTTAGATTCCAACCCCTGTGATGTTTGCCCAGGATTAACAACACCGGATTTAGTAGTAGGGGGGTAGCATTACTGTCACTCTTTGAGATTCTCCACCAGATAATCAACCAAAACAATTGTTGACTGCGGGTATATTACCCACTTTGTGAAGCCAAATAAACGCGGTTTTTAAAGCACTTCACCTAGTATGTTATTCCTTTTCACTGACTGGGTCTTCTCAATGAAGATTTGGGCCAGGGACTTCGGGGAGATGTTCAAGCACTGACCAAACGAGTGGCCCTCAGATTGAAGTGTAAAGCCACCTGTCCAGCGACACGCTTTTAGTGGACTTCTCGCTTCTCCTTGCTCTGGGGAATGGGTGAAACTTGGTGCCCTGAAATAGCTTTTTGGATGCTATGATGGTGTCGTCAAACTGATGTCCACCAAAACGCGGGCGAAACGCGACCTGCTTTTTCTCAATGTGACCAAGAAGCGCAAGCCCTTCATAAATTGGCCATGTCATTTCCCATCCCTCTGGTAATTTAACACTATTAACCACTATTAACCACCATTATTAACCACTATTAACCACCATTAACCACTGGTTGAAGTATCCCTTTCCGCCTTCCCGGGGCGTCCGTGGCGATGTCCACCACGTATCCCGGCAGGGCTCGATGCCGCACCTCGAGCCGACGTGGAGCTAAGGAAGACGGAGGCATGTTGGGTATATTCCCAATGAAATAGCCATAAAAAATAGGGATAATGATCAGCAAAACCATTGGGTTTATATAGGGGTACACAACATTTAATATATGATTGTACTGGAAGATTGTTATAGTCATTATGATTGTTGTTTAACTAACCATCATTATATATATATATATGTAAATATTTATGATTAATGATGTTTAATGTGAGGTTATATCACCAAAAAATACTTATTTTAATGATATTATATTGTGAATGATGGTTAAACAACAATCATAATGCCAATAACCATGACAAGAGGAATAGTCATGGCTATGCCCATGTTTACCACTGCCATTCATTACGACCCATAGTGACCATTGCCAATAGCGGTTTATGATTGGATATTCCACATTTATTGCTTCATCATAAGTCTTGTGTATTGGGGTCCCTGAAAGGCAAGAACATGCAAGAACATGAAATCTACTTTGGCGAATATGATACTTGTAGCTTTATCTAACAAACTTAGGGCATGGGCGAGTTTGGGTACCGCCAGCAACAGATGATGGGTAGTGCCCAAAAAGCCACATAGCGTGAGTCCATGACCCATGTAAATCAATATCATGCAGCATCACAGATCATTCGGCGAGAGAACGGGGGTACAACCACCGACAGAATGATGGTGTAGGCAGGACTCAATAAAGGAGGACTCAAATTTGACCAAAAATCACCCAGTCCGCGAGTTCTTCCAATCCATACCGATTCCAGTCCATTGGAGGGTGTTTGCCATTGCGTTGTCCATTTTCGGGTCCCAGAGTATCGTTGGGTTCTCAGAAAATTCACAAGTAATTACTGACTTTGGGATACTTTGGGAGGGTATCTTGACCCAGGTTCTTCAATTTTTCTTTCATTACCTTCCTATTAGCCAAAAAGGGGGGGGTCTTTTGTCTCAATGCAGGCCTACTTCGAATCGCAGCTGCGTTCGCTGCGGGCCGAAATGCGGGGGATCCAATGCATTCCCTGCTTGGACTTCACGTATTTGACTGGCGACGTAGGCACAAAAAAGGTATGGGTTATAATATGTTATAGTTTTTCCCAATTCGGATGTGCACACTTTGACTCGTCCAGATACTCGCGGTTGACTTGTCTCCATGCCGACTGAACTGTTTATTTTCCATTTTCATGGGTGACATTGCCCACAACTTGTGATCTTAGTCAAGAAAGCAGACCCTTCCAGTGCCAGACTTTTGGTTCCTTTTCCCTGTTGACCAAGCAAGAGACTATGGCTTGATCTGTGCCCGTAATCTCAGGTATGTTTCTTAGGTTGTATATCACCGTATGCGAACTCCCTATTTGTCTTGCCTACTTGAATCATCTTATTTTTTGTCGGTTAGTTCCACCCCTTTTGGCCGGTGATTTCCAAATTTTTCGGCGACCCACTGCAGGCATTCCCAGCTTGAAGAACTGGCAGCCTCAGCCAACCGCTCCGAGAATGCGCGGGTCAAAGGCAGCTGGGCAGCACGAGGGAAGGAGGTCTAATGGCTTTTGAAAGGCTGAGAATCCCACCTTGATGTCATTCAACACAATTATACGAAACATAAGTCTAAACGTTGGAATTTTTGCCGGTTGAGTCAACCAAAGGTTGCGCGCGAGTTCGTAGATTTGCTCCCTATGGGGTCATGGGTGGAATTCCTCATTTCCAGCCCCAGGCCTGCAGGAGAATGCGCAGGAACTGACTCAGCGGCTGGAGAGGGTGGCATCTGAAGCCACCTCAGGTGGGGATTGGGGCCGAGTTGCGCGTTCGGTTTTTTTTGGTATGGATCAAACTCATGAAATTCGTATGATGAAAGGTGTTTTGTTTTGAGTCTTGACCTTTGGCCTGTTCTCTTCTTGTACCAAAGGAACAGCACTAAAGGAGATGAAGGGTGAATGAGTATCAAAGGAAAGCCCGCAACGAACGATAAGTGGAATACTTTTTGCCAGTTCTGAGGTTTGCTGAAAACTTCAAAATGTGCCCAAAACCTGGTGGCAAGAGATGACAAGAGCAGATGCAAGTCACTTTGGTGAAGATTTCAGGTTGGTGAATGCTCCAACTCTTCTAAACCTTCAGGGTGCTTCTTCTTTCCATACTGTCAGAATCCCTGTCATCTAACTTTCATGGGATTGAACCTGGTTCCTAGAAGATCAGGATCATTCAGCACCGCCAGGCAAGGCCTGCGCCGAGCGCACGGAACAGCAGCTCCAGGATCTGCGACAACAGCAGAGAGCGGAGATGGAGGATGTTGGGGCGAAAGTTGTGGCTGGGTGGATGTAGAAACCATTGAAATCATAGGGAAATTGATATCAATAATAGGAACATAGTAAATGATGAGACAACATAAAGAAGTAATGAAGAACAATTGGAAGTTGATGAATAAGCCAATATGGTAACACTGATTTACAACCCACTAAATGTATCTGAATCTAAATATTATGAACTTGGGTTGAAATATGTGGGTTACACGATGTGGGTTGATGTATGATTTGATAACCCAAAACATCGTGGGTGAAAATGTGGACATTGAAGAAGAAACCCAAGTTTATCATGTTTGGTGGAATCATGAAAACAGTGGTTAACCTACTGAACTTATGATAAGAAATGTGAATGAAATAGTAGACCCATGTTGAACGCAAAGGGTGATACATTTCGCCATGGTTTAGCACTGGAAACATGGGCTTGCCTATGCCCCACTTGGGGTTAGGATAATTGCAGTTGCTGTACCCCTTTGGGTCAGTATGACAGGAGGTTTTATTGTTTTATTTGTCGTTGTAAACATTAACACCTAGTGACGGTAATCTCCTAGAACATCTTAGAACATCTTTGAAATACTGATAGGGACTGTATGTTTGAGGTGGTTTCTATTAATGGATACAGTAGGGATCCTTCGAATTCACTCTATAGACGTAGACCATATTGGGATTGGGGTTTTGAGCAACATGTGGCCTTTCAAATTTATGAGGATTCGAACTCCATCCTCGAACAGGAGCAGCTGGAAAGACTCCGTGATGAGATTGCAGTGAAAGCTGGCAAGGACCGAAAACTCCGGGGCGCACGTGTTCTTGGGTCGAACATGGTCTCCAAAACCTGGTGGAACCATCGCTGAGCCAGGAAGCCAAGGCCCAAAGTGAGGCGCTGGCGCAGCTGTCCCGCAAACTGCAGAGCAGCGAGGCATTGGTCGAAGGGTGGGAATGGTAAGCCAGGGATGGTTGATTTGATGGTTCATAGCGGTATCGCACTAAGCCGTGGTTCAATGATTGAAATAATTGTAATCCGCTATGAAAATCCATATCAGATATCAACCATCAGATGGAAAGGAAAGGAGGTTGACCAACCAATTCAGGTTGACAAAAAGGTGTTTTGACTTGTGAAATGAGATACGAAGGGATCGGATAGACATTCTGTTGCCTAAGACCTCCGGGCAAACTCAGTTCGCTTGCTAGGAAATCAAGCTACATGTGGGTAGAGGTTGAGGGGGTTAAGGTAAACCTCCAGAGGCCCCTTCAGCCTTTTAGAGTAAAATCAACAGGCCCCTCCTGCTTCAGGTTGACCTCCTCAGATTGAAACTGAACAGCAACAATCACTGCTCTGGCCAGGAACTCTTGGAACGATGTTGCGAGACTTCCTCGGAAGTGGAGGCATTGGGCTCCCCTTGGTCCATGTTCAGGGTGTGATATCCACTATTTTGGTTGGGGACATTCATGCCTGAAAGATCCTGAAGGCAGATTTCTAGGTGTCGCATCTGGATTTCTTGTTGGGTCAATTGTACAACTTTTTTTTTTAAAAAATCCTGGTTAGTTGCTTTCAATTATCAGGGCACCCACTCAACAATTGGAGGACCTGCGAATGTTGGCCTGACCAGCCCATTTGTGGTTCTGCGGGCCACGGACAATTTGGAGCCATAATTATCACTCATGTGTCCATTCTTCTCGGTCATAGGAGTTTTATATCCTCATTTTTATTGGTCGCATCCCCGGTTTCGAACTTTTCTGTAAAGGTTTCCTTAAAGTAAGAATTGTAGAATCGTGAACATCTCTAAACGCAATACAAAAGTCATTATTGTTGCTGATCATTTTTGGTAAGAGAGGTACTTTCTTTCACAACGTGACCAACATTATTACCCATATACCCATGATTACTATTTACTATCTATTAGAAGCCCTTTAAAGAACCAACATTTTCCATTAAGCAAACCCTCTGCCCTACAACCATGGTTTGTATGGAGGAAACAACATAAAACCAACATTTTCCCCATCAAAACCACCCCATTTTGACCACAAAAAAAGCACATCAGGTGCTGAAGATCGCTGACGGCGAGCGTGCCATGCTGCTGGAGCAGCTGAGTCGAAGTTGCAACGAGTTGGCCGAGGGCCGGCAAGGCCGGGGTCCGACTGATCCAAGGGAGATAGGATGGGTTATACTAAGCTAAGGGGTTGATATTGAAGCACCATATTCATGGGGATATATAATGATATATATATATACACATATAAATACATTATATATATATTATAAATACATATATATATATAATATACACATATATATATATATATACATATGTGTATGTGTGTTAATGTTTTTATTTGCTTGGGGTCTTGGGGTTGGATCACATATTGTGAGGGGCATGAAGCTTTCAATGAAATGTGTAATCTATTGATTCACAAATCTCTGCACAGACTGAAACACAAATGCCTTGAGTTCCGACAAAATGAGAATAGATCTTTTGGGGCATCGGGAGAAGTCTTCTTGCACTGAAACATTTTATTGGAGTTGACATAAATGATTCAACTGTTTGTTTCAGATTGGTACAGTACCGTGCCATGGGTCACAGGCTTCCTTGCAGAAGTGGATAGCTGTCGATCTGCCAATAGGTGGGGATCAGCATGGGCAGGGCCTAGTTTGTGGAAGGTTTTGAATTGTTTTGAAGTATCTTGATCCCTCTTACTGGCTTTCTGATCTTGTAATGATCCCTCTACTGTAGCAAGTATTGCATTTTCAGCCGTAGAAGGAGGCACATCCAAGCAACTGACTTTCCATTTTTTCATGTTCATCAAGGCCATAACTGGGACGACTTGGCAAGATTTCAGCTTTTTGATCCATGGCGCCACGTCCCAACATATCATGGCTGCGGCAAGGCAGCTGGAAGACAGCCTCCGGCGCATGGACGCCCGCGTGGAGTCGCTGTCCTCCACGGCGTCCCATTGTTCAGAAGGCCTTCGACTCAGCGGGAATTGACCCACCCAACTTATGGGAATTTTAATAGGGAAAATGAGGTTTTGAACCAATAGATTCAAAGGCGGTTGGGAAATTGGAACTCGCAAGGGTCAATGAGATAATCCGAAAGTTTGCAGGAAACACCTACAGTTGGGGATAGACAGCCAAGGACTCCTGTAGAATGTCCCTAAAATCGTCAGTAAAAGTATCCTCCAATTAGTAATGCGGGGTATGGATCATGATTGACCGCTCCATTTCTCATGTTGGAAGTTGGGTTTCTTGTAAAATTAGCCATACCTCCCAACTAATGCATCATTGCAAAGAAACCAGACCTTGACCCCACACATAAAGGCACAACAGCAACAACACACGCCCACTTCATTGAACACAAACCACCACAGTGAAAGCTAGCAACGCAACCCTCAGCACAGCCTAGCCCAGGTGTGGCGGACGTGAAGGCAGCGGCACGGGAAGCAGAGAAGTCGCAGCTGCAGTTCAGGGAGATGTTGGAACAACGCACTAGCGAGTTGCAGGTTGCACCGGCTGCACGGGAGGGAGCTGGGTGTGTGTCATTGAAGATAGGGATATGATGCGAGATGTTTGCAAGTGGAAGTGCTGTACAAAAGGAGCAGCATGCAGGGAGATTTGGAACAAGACAAGCACGCGCCGCATGCGCAGATTTTTAAAGGAAACTCATGCAGACAGAACTTGCAAACAAAACATGATGGTGGGATGTGTGGGTACGGATCACATTTGGGACCCCAATGACTGGATGAATTGCTGCCCAAACATGAATCAATTATGGTCTCCGTGTACCCTTGCATCTTTGTCTATCTTTACTGTATTCGTTGTATCCCTATCAATCAGGTTGGTACCCCAATATCTCCACTGGTGATACCCAGTGTTGCTGGCTACATCCGGCTGTGATTGGCTACTCTCTTCATGATCGCCCGTTGTCTTCCCTGTTATTGCCTTCCTACTTGTAGGAGCTCTTAGAGCGTCGTGCCTACGAGTCTTCCGCAAAGATGGAGGCATGGAAATCGGGACGGCATGAGATGAGATGAACGCCAGAAGTGCCCAAGTCCAAAAAATAAAAATGAACAATGTCCAGACGTTGGCCATATATCACTACTGTATTTTTAAACATACTATTGGATTTTTACTTAAACCAGCAGCATCCACAAGACATTTCAATGATTGGTACTAAACCAGCTTTTCATTTTCCCCGGAAGGCGCTCCGCTTGGCCGATGCCGAGCGACAGCGGCAACTGGAACAGCTCTCCATGGCCTGTGAGAACCTGGCGGAAGCGCGGCAAGGCGGTCCTCCATTTTCGAGATCATTTCAGGGACCATTAAAATGGGGATGGTGGGAAGGACCTTAAGATGGAGAATTTTTGATTTCACCAGCATAGATTCTTTTGGCATAGAATGAACAGGAATACTGATTTTGAATGGACATAGTTTCACCAACAAGAAATTCTGCTGAAGTTGCTGACTTGACTGTCTTAGGGCTTGCGCGCTTGGTAATTCAGTGCTGGACCAAAGACTGAAATCGGACAAGACATACCTTCCCAACGATCAATAAAATCACCCCTGCGAGGCTTCATTTTTGGTTGTTGCACCAAAGAACCAAATTTGGTGTATGGATTTTTCATTGTGGATAGGATCAACCAAGCACCTATATATATATATAGATCATATATATATATATCTCATATATCTCATATATATCATATACTGAATGAACATGTCTGGATTTTTTCATGCCAGGCATCGTTGCCGAAGTCGAAAGCTGCCGTTCCATCGACAGGATCGAGCCGTCTGGGAGCCGGTTTTGGTGTGCGTGCTGGACTCCCGACTTTTGGTGAGCGAAATTCCAGGTTTCATTGGGAAATTCACCACTTTTAAGGGTCAAAAACCCCGACTTTGATGGGTAATTTGATGGGTAACATACCAGTTGTTGGAGAGACAGATCCAGCTTCTTAGAAGTGAGATTCCAAACTTTTGCTGAGTAACTTTTGTGTGATTAAAATTCATTGAATATCATTTTAATCCCATCACCCAATATTGAAAGAAGCCCAATAGGGGACCCCAAAATGAAGATCCAATCCTAAACTAGGGTTTCTGAGACTGCTTCTAAGGGAGTATTCAACATTGAGAAGGGATGAAAATATCTGGAATATCGTCTTTGCATCTTTTCACTGCAGAAAACTCCAAGCTGCCCTCCCCAGGCAGTTGGAGGAAGCCTTGCGACGCCTGGATGCCAGGGTGGAGCGCGCAGCAGGGACCGCGCTGCAGTGCTCGGAAGGTGGCCTGAGATGTCGATCATCTCATGATGAAAAAGTACACCCCCCAAATTAGGATATTTCTTGAGAAAATCACCAGACGTTGTGGAGTTTCTTTTACTTCATAGAAACGTTTGTTTGAGACTTTTCTGTATTTTGGGGGTGCTGTTATCCCATAGATGGGATGATTTGATCAACTTGGACTGGAGTCCATTCCCCTTTTTGCACCATACTGTGGCCGAGTGGCCAAGTTGGTCGAAGGCAGTAACAATTGAAGCAACAAGCAGACTTGAAACTTGACGATTTCTCTAGAGATATGAGATACATATCACTGAGAACAGCTGGTTCTCAGTGATATCAAGCAAAAAAATGGTGGTGCGAGTGGTGCGACCAAGCAAATTATGGGGATGGAACCAAGAGTTCACGGTGGACATCTAAGATTATCTGGTTATAAAGTTCTACACATTCCCCATATTTGGCGTATTAGATATTGGGATGACGATCCCCACTTGGGATGATTTTGGTGCCAGCCTTGTCCTTCATGCCAACCTATCCATTGCTCACTTGATATTCGGGGTGGACAACGAAGCAACGATTCCGGGGTTGGCAAATGAATCCGCAAAAGTATTCGCACATGTAACACATGTATCAACGTCATATATATATATATCTTGGTTAAAAAAAAATATGTATATATATACATATAGATTTGATTATATGTTCATTGGAGCCCCAGCTCCGCCATGCCCCTGTGACTTGGATCTAAGCCTTCTAAGCCCCAGGTGTGGCTGATGTGAAAGTGTTTGCCCGAGAGCTGTCTGAGAAAGCCTTGTCACAGTCTCGAGATCTCATGGACAAGCGGAATGCTGAGATGAAGGATGGGATGGGCGAGGCCCCAAGGAAATCGGTACATCATTTTGGGGAAGTTGGATGGATTCCATTTTTTCCATGGTTTTTAGCATGAAATTGTGGTTTGGCAAGTTCAGAGTTTGGCAATTTCAGAGGACACATTAGTTGTGATATCCGCATGCTTGTTGGCCATAGATTCACTTTTTTGATTTTAAAAATGTATGTAACATGATATGTGTCGTGTTTGCCTAGCTAGATCCACAATGTATTCAAAGTACCCCCTTTTGATTTGTAGCTTGGTCTTGCAAATGGTTCGTATTTTCATGTATTTTCTATCCGTCCCTTCGAACATGATCTTTAATCAACCGGCAACCCCGTCGAATGTCGACAAGAGAGAGGGGGATGTCCCAAAAGTGAGAGTCCCTCCCTTGGACACATGGGTTGCCCCCTCAATGAAGTAAAGTTGCTGATTATCACCGCATCGCAAATGGGTTCTACACGCACTTGATTCTTTGTCTCTCACATTTTGTTGGCTATGACAAGTTAGATTTCAGATTGTTGGCCAGCTATCCTCAGTTTTGATGCTTCAGTTCCCATTTTTTGGATGGCCATCTCTCCATTTGCAGGGCCACACTCCTCCAGCCACTGAAGGAGCTTATCGAGCAGCAAGCTGCCGAGCATGTCTCGAAGCTAGAGGCTCATCAATCTGATTGGGGGTGGAATCACCAAGCAACATGGGGACAAGTAGAACTTGAGAGATTCAGCAACTTAGATATCATGGGGATATGCACCAACAGGAAATGGCTCAAAAAGGTCAGCTTTGACGCGGGTACTGGCCCCGATGCCTCCAAATCAGGTTTTCTTTTCATCTCACTATATACCTTGACAATTCTTGAAGTTCATTGGCGGCTGCTTTATCCTGGGGCTTGCAACGATGTTTGATTCGGAGATTTGCACTTGTTGGTTGGTCATGACCCAACATACCCAACAAACAATACGCCGAGAATAAAAGCTTGCAGTTTGCAGCCAGCATACGAAAGATATACAACGACCGAATTCCAGACTTAGACCAAGTATGAACATCAATGCATGCTGACTTGCAGTCTCAATGGTTTACTAGACATCTACGGTTCTCTAAAGATTCCATTTTTTTCCGCAACTTACAACATCTTGTATAGAACTAGATACGACCTCAGCATACATGTTGCATGGAGGGAACCCATCCAAAAGTCAACTGGAAAAACTAACTAGCCCAGACATTTTTAGCTTGCAGTCATATAATCCATTCATCATATTGTGCACCTATTCGCGTCATTCCTTGACCCCCCTGTCAACTCCGGATCCGTATCCAGAGTCTCAAGCCGGTTAAGTGGGTCCCCCTTAAAGGGAGAACTTTTCGACCGGCGGATCGGCGCCATGGATCTGACCACGACCATTCTGCTGATCCCCCTGGTGATGGCCTGCACTTCTCTGTGGTTCTACCGCAAGCGGCTGCGCCGCTTACTGCCAGACTTCTATGCAGACAAGGTCAGAAGCAAGGAGAGATACTGGTTCAAAGTGGAGAGTGAGCAACTGAGGCAAGCCGCAGCAGCTGAAGCTGGTGAGAATCCTGGCACCTTGGGTAGTGCACCCTCGCGAAGTTTGACCTTGAGGCCCGATGAAGTGCCTCAAGAAGATCACATGGAATCTCTGGTTTTGGATGGAGATCAGGTGATAGAATTGCGGCAGTCGAGTAAAGCCTCAATGTGCTCCACAATTCCCAACGGATCCCAGGTCAGCAGTGGCGAGAATGATGAAAGGACCTTGGCACGAGCTGGTTCCAAACAAAGCGTTACCAAAAAGAAAAGCCGCAGCCACAGCAAACAGAGCCGGTCTGGTAGCAAGACCAGCAGCCGACCGGAGCCTCAGCTACAGAGAGGGCGAAGCCTGTCTGAGGGTCAGTTGCAGGTTTCACAGGGAGGACAGACGCTGGGAGAAGAACTTGCTTTTCGAGACTCGGCTGCAGAAGGGCACATGGGCATGGGTCAAGATAAATAGGATTTCTGCTAGATGACCAAACTCGCTGGGGTTGCTAAAATCATCCCTTTTTAAGTATATAATATAACCGCAGCAGGATCTTCACCACAAAACGTTACACTCTTGGGTTTCTCACGATGGAACCTTGGCAGCTCACCCCTGAGTCAGGTTCCCAACAATAGACCAGCTTCGTGCTCCATGCCACAGAATGTTTGGTTCCTTCCGACCCCTCAATTTTTCCTCTTTTTCTTGATCCCAAACTCAGACTCATCAGCTCGAAGAAACTTCTCACCATCTTTTGCCCCGCTGTTTTGACTATATCCATCGTTGCATTGCCAATCATCGGCCCATCTTTCTCTTGAAATCCCCCTGAAACCTTTTTGTCTCGTTGTTTCACCTTGCAGCTTGCCGCAGCTTGCCCGATTTTTCTCGTGTCGCCGTGCCCCAGGTGGAGATGACACCTGGACCTCCACCCATTCGGCGCTCTACGGCAGCTCCCTGATGCCTCCCGGGGCCGTCCCGGAACGAACGCGTTCCAAGGAGTCGCCCAGGCGGCAGGGCTCCAAGGGATCAAAGGGATCCAGCCATAGACGAGGGAACTGAGGAAACTGCGGTTGGTCCAAAGAAACTTTGGGAGATTTTTGGAGAAACTATTAGAATTTTTATGGCTTTTAGCAAATTTTAAACGATTCTTTGAGGAAAATGGGGAGTTTCTGCCAGAGTTCGTCCAAAAAGATTGCGGTTTCAACAAAGAAAAAGAGGGGATTTAAACAAGAACGCCACCAAACATGGGGATTCAGATATGGACATAGGCTGACAACTAGTAGATTCAATCACCCAGAATTTTGCGGCCTATTGAACAAAGTCTGGGATTCCACCCCAAGAATGTCGATTAGCTAACAAAACAAGGGCGCGTACCCAATGAGCAAGGGATATCATCAATCAGCAATGATCACAGGGTGACCATCAGGGATTAGCTTCCCAAATGACCAACTGCATCCTTTCAAAGAATTCATCTGAATCATCTGCTGAGACTTGCAGTGCGCTATGCACGTTGGCCACAGCGGAGAGCTGTGTTTCAGCCAACGCAGCTTACAGGTGGAGGACGCCCTGGGTAAAGTTCTGTAGGAACCCGCAGGCACAAGTAAGATCAAGCATCGTACATTCAAACTGGTCCAATTCCTGGAATAGCAGCATGTTTGTTGCTATGCTTTGTTTCAAAGATTCTTTATTCAGTTTCTATTTTTCTCGGCACTTGCAGGGCTCCTCCACTTTCAATCAAAGCATTTTCATGTCGATTTTCAGGTGAATGGGGAGGAAATTTGAAGACCTCCTGGCTTCCCGCTTTCGCTCCAGTAAGCGCCTGGAGGGTCGTTGAAGTTTAGTTCTGCTCCCGCACCGCACAAGTTCGGGGCTGTCATTTCGAGGAGGATCCAAAAGAGGGCATGGCGTTTGATTGCTACCCCAAAGCAGGGGCAAAACAAATTTGGGTTTGATGATCAAAGGCTCATGGAACAAACAGGTTGACGCATATTTTGGGGTAACACCCATGTCTGACCCATAACTTTGATCAACAATATCTGTAGTCACAGGGGAATTGGTCAAAAACCATGCCATCCTGCTGTTCACATCTAAAACATGAATGAGAATGGTCGTGATGTGGGGATGTGAGTAACAGCAGATTTTTGAGGTTATTTGATTGATTCACAAACGGACATTTGGATGGTAATTAAACCCATTTGAACCATAAATTTCTATGAATTTGACCCCAAACTCAGAATTTTTTGATAGTTTGGGTTCATAATTTACCTCCCAAGATGGTTTTACCTCCCAATGGCATGATGGTTTACAAACGTCCATGGCCACCCCAGGCCTTGAAACTCTCGGATAGCGAATGCCATCAGCAGCTGGATTTCCTCAGCCGCGCCTTCGCGGACTTGTCGGAAGCCCGGCGAGGCCTGGGCAAACATGGATCTAAAATGATCTAAAGTGAGGATGGTACAAAGTGGGGCCCCCTAGATAGCTAAGTTGGTTTATAACTCCAATAACTATGGTTTATGGTACCTATAACTATAGTTAATGGGGTTTATAAACCATCTTATAACTGGGGGGCCCCACATTGTATAGTCCAGAAAAACTTTTCAGTATGGTTGATATATTACTGAGGATATAATTTCTATGATCTATTTTGAGGATGGTTGATATATTACTGTATGATCTATATATATATATATTGACAATTTTCTAGTAAAACCGTTTTTTTGATTGGCAAATGATGGTATAGTCCAGTACAATTAACACATATTGTGAGCCGAAGAACAGACATCCTTTTGCGTGTAGTGATGTGAATCTATCGGACTTTAATTGGGGATTCCGACCATCAATACATGGGAGCTTGACCATCAATAGAGCGGCACCCAATAGCAACAACAACCTTTTTCTCGTGGGATGGGAGATTGGGGGTGGTTCATTCTTGGGTCTACCAGCATGTCCCTTTGGTACAGGGTGCTAGGTTCATGCATGTTCATACCCTCGTTCGTGATCATAGATGATTGTTGTCCTCCCCATGTAGACCATTCATGTTTTGTGTTGGTGTTCGTCCCGGAGGCATTTTCGCGGAGGTCGAGAGCTGCCAGTCCAGTGACAGGAAGGGTGCTGTGGTTGACTTTGCTCCGTTGATGAAGCACGGGTAGCGGTCAAGCCGGTGGTTTTTCATTCCTTGTTTTTGGAGGATTTGCTCGTCAAACATGCGGAGGTTAAGAGTAGATTTTGGTCTGGTATCTAAGTTATTCAAAATCATGGGGACCCCAAAACTGTGTAAGTGACCAACAAGACTCAACAACTCAACAAGCTTGTTATCTCCCATCCACTTGCGCACTCTCATCCTTCTGTGCGCGGAGAGGAAACTGGAGGAACATGTGCGTCGCATGGAGAACAAACTCGAACGTTTGTCCTCAGCGACCTCCCAGTGCTCGGAAGGCTGGACTAGGGCACTGTGGGCCCCCGGTGGTCAGAGGGTCGATGTGGACGAGATGTAGCCGTAGTAAGCAGATTTCTCCGACGGGAGGATCATGTTGGAAGGTGATGCCATGTATGAGGTCCGGAATGATCACAGCAGATATGGGTAGGAAGCAAATCAACAGTTTGGTACATTTGATGCCTCCTGAAGCTGATAGGTCGTATTCTTGGTTGCGACTAACATCGACCCCAAGTTACAGAACCTCTCTCTAAAGGCACAGCACTAAGAATGATATAACCAAGATAAGTGTCTAATTATTTGATGTACATCTTTCTTCAATTGGACATCTTTACGCATAATCTTTAACCCCGTGGTGGTGAGCATTTGCCTGCGCCTTCTTTCGGCCACCTGCGCCAGGCCTGGCCGAGGCCAAAGCACTAGCGCAGCAAAGCGCTGAGAAGGCGCAACAGCACAGCAGCGAGCAACTGGAACTGCGCTCGCGGGAGCTCAAGGACGGGGGCCATGGTGGCCACGGGAGGTGGCTGACATGATATGTTTTTTCACCATTTTTGATTTCGTCGAATTCGCTGTACCCCACCTATCCATAAATCTCATTTGGGCGAGCATGGTAAACCGACTACTTAATGGTAGATTCACAGGGCACGTGGACGTTTGAGCCACTTTGACACAAGAAGATGAGATCCTGTTAGGAATCAAGTTGTGCGCTGGGTATCAATATCGAAGGACGATGGCTAGGCAATCTTCCATTGGAAACTCACCCGAAAATCATATGTTTTTTATCAAAATATAGGTCTTACTTTGTACAGGTACCTTTCGAACAGTGCTGTTTAGCATGAGAACTGTGGAATTTGGGGATGTTTTGCAGCTGGAGAAGATGAGATAGAACTTACCTGCAAGAATGCGCATACTTCGGATGTCATCAAGAGAGATTGATTATTTGGCAACAATCATAGGTAAAGGAATCTACCCCATTGATCGGATGTAGGGAATCCAAGGACGATACACCTACTCATATAATCGGATGAATGATCTGCCTTTGAGTGGGTCTTGACCAAAAAAGAGTTTGGAGGTTGTGACCTAACTAAATCCCTGATTTTCTTTTGGATTTTGCGGTCAAAGCCCGGTCAGCTGTGCGGAAACAGGACCACCTTAAGCATCTCCGGGAGGAGCTGAGCAGCAACTTTGCCAAGGAGCGGGCTGAATGGGACCTGTTTTTCCTGATCCGATTTACTGGCTCTTTGAATGCAACTCACATCATGATTTTCTCCTCTGTAGTTACTGTAGTTTGAGGGAATATTTAGGGTACCCAAAGGCCACCCGCGGTGGGTACTGTTTCCACGAAGTCGCCATTGGCCCGCAGGAGGCCAAAGCGCAGAGCGATGCGATCGCCCTGCTGGCGCGGAAGCAGGAACTCAGCACAGATTCCTTGCAGGTCCCACTGGTGGGTCTGACCTCGATTATTCACCGCGGGTCGGTTTCAACCACATATTTGCAGCTTGTGCCCCAATTTTGGTTGGTCGAATACCACACTTGTCGTTTAAACGGGTTAAACACGTATTTTGTCTACTCTACCTTAAATAAACTTAGACCTAGAAAACGAATACGTGCAAAACAAAGTCATGTCAGGATAACTTGGTTTTTGAAGCATTTTGAAGCATTTTGACGCAGGTCTATGTTAATATTCTTAATTTCAACGAAATCTGAGACAAAACCTCTAAAAGTCTTCATTGACAGCATTTACAACAAAAATCTCAAAAACCTATGTTAGGATACCTTTTTGAGCCAACCACCACACAGGTGCTATGTTAGTACACCGAAGTCTTTGTTGAAGTTGAATCTTGGATGAAATCAAACCCAATGGGAGAAGGTCTACGTTAGGGTACCGGTTTGAGCCTATCACCACACAGGTCCATGTTAGTGCACCTGCTTCTGTAATTTTCTATTTTTTTTTGGTCAAATCTCCATCTTTGGTTGTTTTTTCTGTCTAATGCCGTTAGGTCAAATAAAAATGTGGTTGAGTAGATCCATCATTTGTGTCCTTTGTTTAGATATTCTATATATCCCAACAATTTGTTAGTTGAATATCCCCATGTTGGCCCCTGATCTGCCCCCAGTTTCACTGCGAGGCGGGCACTTCGGAGCTGCGACGCACCGTCGAAGCGCAGTTCCGGCGGCAGGAGCACGGGTGCAAAATCTGATGCCTTTTTGCTTGTGTCTGTATGCAGAAAGATGTATATTACATATATATATATATTATATATATATTATATATATATATATGTAGAAAGATGCAATGTATATAAATGTATGAACATATATTATATGAGGAGGGATCACCACACCGCCTGAGTGGCGCAGTGTAAAGAATGAATTATGTGATCAACTGTGTACTACATACTAAAACTACCTAAACATGCATTGCGTAGACATGTAAACTAAAGGACAACCATGGATCGCGAACAGAGACAAATATTCTTCGTGTCGGAGCATGCACCAAAACTTTTGCATGTAGGAAACATACTGCCTACAGTCAGCTGTGAAAGGTCTTGGACCGCTTTGTCAAATGGCATGTCCGAATTAGATCGAATTAGACTTTAAGCTGTGACATCGGCGCAAAACATCTTTCAAGTCCTTAGACTTCTGAAGAGCAACCTTTGCGGTATTGGGCGTCATTCAACTCCTCTTATTGAAGCCTTGCATAGACTTCCCCTGCGTGTTGGCAGCTATACATGGCTTCTAGGAGCGTCTAGGACCCATGTAGATTAAGAACACCCTCAGTATCAGAGGCATGATGTAATTCCTTTCTTTGAGGGCTTGTGCATGGACTCCTTCTGGGCTGGTAGCCTCATACAGAACGTCTGCGACCCCAAACACAGTTTGTAAAGTCGATGCCTAGAACATTTCCAAAGTTTCTTTGAAGATCATGTGGAAGATGTTTGGAAATGTGTAGACAACGGCGCTATTTTTGAAATTAATATGTGGAGCAGTAGATACCGCGGTGGACATCCATGGACAGCCTTTTGTGTTCACATCGATCAATCTGAAGCTACATAAAAGAAATTGATGATGAATAGCCGCTCTTTATCTGCTAATGCCATGGGATGTTCTAAGTGCAAATCATGAATGGACGTTCTACTTGTAAGTGTCCATTTAGAACATAGGTAAAACAAGGTTCTACGTGACTCAGTTGGAACATCTACGATTGCAAAGGTTTTTTCTCCCAAAGATGTTCTAAGTGAAAGTTTGCCGCTATGTATAGACAAACCCGCGGTACCCGGACTCTGCCCCTGCTCTTCAATTGAGGATGTTGCGCAGGGTCAAAATGGTTCAGAGAGGTTGCAGGAACACCGGCTATATGCAGTGATTTAGGGTTTGAGGTTTTAAGGTTTTATTGTTTTAGAGGTTTAGGGGTTGGGGTTTCCGACTTTAGAGTTTCAGGAATTTAGGGCTGATCGTCTCCGAAGCTACATATTGTCCTGAATGGGATAAGGCTTATATACGTAAATGAAGACATATCAGTTTTCTTCGAATATATATATGATTGGGGTGAAACTGTCGAAGTCCTGTTCTTGTTGAACAATCAGTTCCGCGTTCCGACCCAGTCCATAGGAGCTTATCGAACACCAGGCGGCCGAGAATGCGCCGAAACTGGAGGCTGGGGAGGATGGCTTGAGGTCTCCAAGCCCAAAAGACTTGCTGAATGATGGGTATACTATCTGACATTCACAAATATTCTGACATTCTATCTGTGACCTTTTATCCGAAATGGATTCTGACATTTCTATCTGATCATTCGTACAGTATCTGAGATCTGACTTTAATGTGACATTCTATCTGACATATATTTTGACATTGTATCTGGCATTGTATCTGAGATTGTATCTGACATTCTACCTGACATATACTCTGACATTTTCTCTGACATAACATTTGACATCCTATTTGATATTTTCTTTGTGGCATTCTATCTGCCGTATTTGACGATAGGCTATCTGGCATTTTATCTGGCATTCTATCTGACATTTTAGGTGGCATTCTATGTGGCGTAGTGAAGTTGGCAAGCTCGCATATAGGGTGCGGGTTCCACGCGCTCCAGAGAGAGCTGGCATGCGCCATGTTTTTCGGGTCCGGCACGTTTTAGTGGCTGGCAAGCTCGCCATACTGTTGGGGTCCCGCGGCTGAGAGAGCTGGCAAGCTCGCGATGGAGTGGCTGTTTAGAAGAGGCTGGCGACCAAGCTGGCGATGACCGGGATGTCTTCTTAAAATCTAGAGACCTTCATGTGGCAGGTTGGGTGAAAAATGATGAAAACAACTACAATTGATGTTTAAATCCAAGGACATGATAATCAACAAGTGTAAAATAGTTATTTTGGGTCAACCACATTAATTGCCACCCCTCCAACTAAGGAGTTAAGCATAGTTAAACCCTACGGATGGCGTACGAAGACTGAGGTATCACCATGGTTCATCAGATTTCATTTTTTGCCTTCATACCGTTGGGCGAAGCTCTCTAGGGGTCGTAGCAATTGTGGCTGCGACTGTGGGATTTGCAATGATTTTCGATTGGTTCAAACTTTTTTTTGAGGGTCAAGTTCTTGCATTTTCGATAGGTACTTGGATGATCGTATTACTTATTATTTGGTGAGGTTGTTAAGCATATTTAGCTTATACGAGGAAAGCGTCACAGTAGGTAATGATAACGAGATATTGGTGAAATAAAAACGAAATATGGAAATACTACGGAAATAATAACGAAATAAGAAGGACATAGTAGGGAAATAATAGGGACATACTAGCGACATAACATGAAAATGAGAGGGAATGAATCGGGAAATAACAGGGACATAATATTTCCCTAGTATGTTCCTCTTATTTCCATAATAGGGAAATATCAAGGCAATAATAGGGTAATCATAGTGAAAGATTGGGGAAGTAAAAGGGAAAACCTAGGGATATAAAAAGGGGAACAAACAGGAAAATAATAGGGAACAAATAGGCAAACAATAGGAAACTTATAGGGAAAAAAATGCGGAAATATTACTGAAACAACAGGGAACCAAAGGGAAATAATAGGGAACCAATAAGGAAACAATAGGGGAATAACACGGAAACAATAGGTAAACAATGGAAATAATAGGGACATATTTTGGGTCTGCACCCCCAAAGGGCTTGATGAATGCTGGGGTTATCAGATTCCAATATGTCTTCCCTCCACCGCGAGGCGCTGCGCAACGCCAGCGCGGAGCAGGGCAAGCAGCTCCAGAGCCTCGGCAAGAGCTTGGCGGAGCTCAGCGAGGCGCGCCGAGGCGCGAAGCGCTCGGATAGCAGCTGTATGTGGGGGGTCCTAAGCTGTATGATCCCAATTGGGATATAGGGATCCCCCGAAATTGGACAGTTCATCATACTACTGTTACTACTGCCCGTCATACACCTGCCTACATTCAAACTACATCCCAGAACGATCTCATTTTTTTTGAGGACCCACAGCAACCTGCACTCATTTTTTTGGCATCTTGATGGACGGTGAGATAAAACTACGGAATGATGGTTAACTATTGATACGATATCGCTTATAGTGTGGTAAACCCAAGGGCGAAGCGGTGCATAGGTGCACCCAATGTGACGAGCAGCTGCAGGCATTTCTGCGGATGTGGAAAAGTGTCAATCAGCAAGCAGGCGTGACGGGCTTTCACACCATAACATGTGGGTTTTCCAAAAATAAGGCGGATTTGATTCCCAATCTGTCGCAATTTTGATGGAAAGAAATGATGATCAGCCAGATCAGCCATAAGATTTTTTGGTTCAGACAAACCCATGTGTCATGGCACAATCTGGTTCTTGTGTGGATGCATTGGTGGCTGGTCAGGACCATCACGCGTGAAAGATTTCAGCGAATGTCCCTGTGTGCAATCTATTCCGTAAATTCTTGCTGTGCAGAGGTTCTGACCTTCTGACTTTCTACGTGCAACCACCGTAGCTACATGGGTCCAGGTCATTCTCAGAAAGTGTGAATGAAGTGACGCAACATCCCTTGATGTTTGTGTTCCTCTCAGACCACTGTGAGTCTGACGGTGTTTGCCGGAGTGGCATTGAAAAGCTACTGCCACTTTTTGCACGGAAGAAGTTGGACGTTCCAGTATTTCCCCAAACAGCGCGTCCACTCTGAGGAGCTGTTACGGTATGGGTAAAGCCAGGGTTTCGTCTGCGCTGGCTGGGACAGAAGTTCCCTTGTGAGACGTCCACGTGCATTTCGACTGCGCAGGCTAGCGCAAAATGTCTTTCCCGTTTGCTCTCTTCCGAAGGTCTACTTTTACCGGCGAGGCGTGTCCTTTTTTGGAGCCATGCATGTTTTTCATGGCAGGCGTGAGCCTCTAGAAGGTCCTTCTATGACGATCTTACGCGAGTTTCATAGTGCGCTCTTAGAGGTCCTTCTATGAAAATCTTTGCCAAGGTCTTGTAGAGCTTGTGAGAAGCTCTTGGGAAGATCCTGGTGAAATCCTCTCAGAGGTCCTTGCATGATCTTATACGGGTCCCTGTGAGCAGATGTTGTGGATATCCTTCTGAAACCCTCTCCAAGAGGTCCTTGCATGAAGATCTTGAAGATGACCTGTATTAGAGGTGCTTGCATCAAAGCTCTTGTGGGATGCTCTTATGTTCTTGCATCAAGATCTTAAGCATGCCTGTCTTGTTGGTATGAAGATCTTGATCAAGATCTTGCAGAAGTCCTTGCGAAGATCCGGGTGAAATCCTCTCCAAGAGGTCCTTTGTGATCTTGTACAATTCCCTGTGAGAGGATCTTGTAGAGATCCTGCTAAAATCCTCTGTAAGAGGTCCTTGCATGAAGATCTTGAAGATTCCATGTGTTAGAGGTGTTTGTCTGAAAGGGAGTCTGGGATGTTCTGAGCAGGTGTTTGATAAAACATATTCCAAGATTCTCTCTAGCCAGTCCTTCTGTGACATCTTGTGAGATTCTCTTAGAGGTCTTGGCATGAGATCTTGATCAAGATCGTGCTGGGGTCCTTGAAAGGAGAACTTGTGGAGATCTTAGTGATATGTTGTAAGAGGTCCTTGCATGAAGATCTTGGAGATGCATTGTATTAGAAGTGCTTGTGACTGTGTGACAGCTCTTTTGGGACACTCTTCGGAAATTCTTGTATGAAGATCTTGCAAGATCCTCCGCAAAGTCCTTCTTTGACGAGCTTGTGAAATTCTCTTAGAAGTCCTGGCGTGAGGTCCTGGTATGAGGTTTTGGTCAGTAGACATAGCGTTGTTCCTTGTGACAGAGAAAAGTTTCTGGTGCTGCAGTTCCGACAATGTCTGAGCTGATCCAACCCCCATGCTGTTTGAGGCTTCTTGCGAGGGTAATTTGCGCCAAATTTTGACCACTCAAAATCCAATGCGCGACAATACTCTCCAGAAGAATATTTTTATTGGTTGATTTTTTTTGTAGATCACTCTTGCTTTTGTAGATGTTCGCTTGATTTTTCCAAGGATGTTCCGCCATCTCCCGATCACCAGTCACTCCAATCACTGTTTCCCCCCCAGGCGCCTGGAGGAAGAGCTGCAGCATGCGCTGGCGAAGATCGAGAAAGTCTCCTCCGCAGCAAATCAAAGCTTCGAAGGCAGGGATCTTTCTATAGCTTTATAGTTATTCAATAAAACACATCGTAGAACGCGGGGACCCACAGCGTCACACACTCCAATTTTAGCCACCCGTTTGGATAGCTGGCCCAACCAAGAAACCGATGCGTTCCACGATCCTCTCCCTGTCTTTCTGTGGCAACAACGACTGGAGGCGTGGCGGAGGTCAAGGGCTTCGCGCGACAGCTGGTGGAGAGCAGTGTGATGGAGCTGAAGGAACTGATGTGGGCAGCGTCCCCATTCTTCCCAAACGGGGATTTGAAACAGCAAAGCATGGTGAAATTTTTACCAAAAACGGGATTTCATCCATTGAAATGTGGATTTCATCCATGCATGAAGCGTGGGGTTAAATTCATACAAAAGGACCAACAACAACAGAGCAACCGTAACCAGCAATGACTGGGGATAATTATTTCTAAACTGTCGTTTTGCCCGTTGCCCCATGTTATTGTTTTGAGTTTTGATACTTTTGCTCCCAATCTCCATTGGTTGCATACATCTGCTTGAGGGTTTGTATTTTTCCATTCTCTATGGCTTAGGCCACTGGTTGGCTGGTGGTGTGACAGCCCAGCATTCCAAACCACCAGGTAATCATTGGCTGACCACACATGTGGGTTTGTCTAGATATGGGGTACCCTTAAGATCCTGTGAATTCCCACCATGTCCCCATCAAGGATACCTTTCAATACATTTTAATAGGATTTTTTCCATGGGACAAGCCTTCGCTATCCAGGAGCAATTGGAGCGCAGGATTGAGGCGGCGAAGCGCCGAACTCCATGACATCTTCTCCCTTTCCGTCACACATTTACCGACAAAAAAGGCATTGTTTAAGAATTACACGTGATTTGGCAATATGGAACCCTTGTGTAAGACCTTATTTACAAATAATTTCACAATATGACCTTCAGGTTAGCTAACCCTAATGTGAAGCTCAGACGTCTAAGTCCACACATAGCTGCATATAGCTATCCCTGTGAAGTCTTTGTGGAAGTCAGGCCTTGAAGACATCGGAGGTGGATCATCAGCAGCAGCTGGAGCGCCTCTGGCGGAGCCACATGGACCTTACCGAGACCAAGAAAGGAGCGGCGACGCTGTGGGGACACCCCGGGGGCAATTCAGCACATGGGTGAAAACTGGTGCACTCAAAACTAGATGGGTAGTAAAATGCGCCGTTCCCGGGTCTGAAACTTCAACAACTAGTCAAAATGTGCTGGTTCCATCTGCCAATTGACGGCACACAAGTCCATCAAAATGGTTCCAGACAAAAAACTGAAACCTTCAACCAACAAAAAACTCTGCCCGACTCCTGGAAAGGGGCAGCCTGGTGGGGTCCATAGTGTTAGCCACGGCTTTCGGCCAGGACTGACGGGGGAGTTGGAGAAGTGCCAATCTGTGGAAAGGCGTGGCCGGAGTCCTTGGCAGGAGGGAAGGGATTCATCAAGAGAAAATGGCGAAACAGGTAGTACAGTAGTATATGTCGCAGGTAGATATGAAAAATGCTGTATGAAATATTGTAATATGATATATATATATGATATATGATATATATATGATATATGAGACATTTCATATTTCATAGTTCACATATCATTATATATTTGACATTTGATATTTGATACATGATGCATCATGCATGATATATGACATGTGGCATGTGACACTTGACACGCGACAGTCTGACGTGTGGCATGTGATGTGTGACCTGATTCTGTTTTTGCCTCTGTATACTTTGAACAGCCGATGGCCCAACGAACTCTTCTTAAGGAAGCTCAAACCCCTTTTAAGACTAAGAAGCAGCTTTTGCATGCTTGTTGTCAGATGTCCTTCCTGCTTCCAACAATTTTTGACTGCTTCTATAGACTGTGAAGCACAGACATAGAAACACCTTTAGTTTTACCAGGCTTCGTCCTGGACTTGGTTCTCAAACGACACAAGGACCTAAAATCAGGAACTGAGTTCACGGACGCTTTGCCGCTCTGAGTGGCGGCGAGGGGGTGTTTGTGGGCATGCAAACACATCCTTCTTTTGCCTGTCTCACTTGGTTTCCCAAACTGAATCTTTCGCACGAACAAATCCATTTCGTGTGTATTGGGTCTTGTCCTGTCATTGCCATTGACCACGAAACAGAGGATTTGATGAATCCTTGGGCCATCCATACGACATTAGCACTCAACCAGGAAATTGTTTAGTACAGCACTTGGGATAGTATTTGTTTCTAGAAGTGTTTTTTCACTTTCTTTTTTCAGTGAACTTAATCCGCATTCGTGTCGATAGATTTGACAGTGCGGAGGCTTTATTTATCAGTAGATCCCCATTTTTCTTGAACTTACCGGTGAATTCCTATGATTTTTCTCTTCTTTTTGGGCTTCCAACATGTTGCTCTTCAATCTCCGAGGATCTCCCAGGGTTCAGACGCCAGGCAGTTCGAGGAAGCCATACGGCGGGTGGACGGCAAGGTGGATCGTGTCGCTGCCGTGGCCAGCCAGTGTTCCGAAGGCCGAAGGGATCCGATTGGGAAAGATATGGGAAAACGATGGAATGTGAGGATCAAAATACCAAATACAATGGGATCATATGGGATCTATGGGATATCAATTCGATATCATGGAGTAATTTGATATTATATAATGCAAATCCTTTTGGGGCATATCATGGGAGTATTTTTCATGGGAGATGAACGATAATATCAACAACAATTGGCTCGTCCAAAAATTGAGGAGGCCCCCAAAACTGATGATTCAATGCGCAACATGACAAATTTCGTGCGTGCATTGGTGCCACATTTTTGATCCAAACACACATTCTAATTATATATATATGATTATATATATATGATTATATATATATATGATTATATATATATGATTATATATATATGATTATATATATGATTATATATATATACTGTATATATGATTATATATATACATATATATACATATTATAATTATATATATATAATATATATATATTGAAAATCTGGAAGAATGACATTGGAGTTGTCATACATGTGCCAGAATATAACATGGTCGCTGCCGCATTCATTATGGTCCAAAGGGCCCTTGAGCCTTGCTGCAATCGCAGCGAGGCTACTGACGCAAGTGGAGATAGGAAAACGTGGCGCTTTTGCGCGATTCCCCTTGCCGATTCATCATGGTAGCGTGAGCCATTGCGCTCCAGCGACCTTTCGCTGAAAACCGGACGAGGTACTTCACTGTACCCGTGGATTGGCACCGTCAGGTGCGAACAACTGCAATTTGGACAGTCCCGTCCACAGGTGTGTCTGGATGATGGACACACGGGATCCTTTTAGGGATTTAACCTTCGATGGCCGACCTGGACAGTATAGAGAGTTCAGAAGAAAGGTGATACTCAGTGTGGCTGCCTTAGAAGACAAAAATCAACACTTAGCAGGACCAAAGCTGCTTAGTAGATTGTCTGATGAAGCCTGGAGATGTACAGAACATCTATCAATTGCCGAAGTCAGATCTGACCGTGGATGGTTGACAGTGCTGGAATGTTTGGATAAGCACTATCGCCATTTGCCCGAGGTAGAGCTGCATGAATCAATTGATGATTTTCTGTTTCACCTGAAAAAGCGTCCACACGAAGGTACAACTGCATTCTCAGCACGTTTCAAGACGGCCTTGTCAAGGTTGGAGACGTTGATACATCAAGAACGAGAAGCTTCCAAGGCCAAAAAGAGAAAGAAAGGTGATGACAAGAGACGCCTCACACCAGCCTCTCCTGTCGAAAGTTCCCTGGAAGATTCGTATGATTCACCTGCAAATCCGTCAGAACATGCTGAACAAACAGATGATACAGAAGAAGAGCCAGCTCAGCCACCGCCAAGCGAACCAGCTGAACCTTCGGCACCACAGCCTGCTGCCGAGACTGGTGTGGGTATCCTACAACGGTTACATGTACCGTTGCTCTCCAGAAGGCCTGAGACCTCTGCCAGAGGATGAAGCTGCATTCCGTGAACTCTCAAAAGAGCTTGCTGTAGGCCAGTTGGCCCCAGATATGGAGCGTGCCGACAACCAGCTGAAACATCACTTTGGTTCATACATAGATTTGTATCCCTCAAAGCCTGAAGATTTAGACATGGAACTAGAAGATGATGTTCAAAGGGAACCTGATGAGCCCGAGCAAAACGAAGAGGGCGCACCCAGAAAAATCAGGCGAAGGTTTTACAGGTCTGAAGACTATTGGAAGAAACGTGCGGCTGGCATGCCGCCACTTGGACCCTTGCACGAAGGTCCACAGCCTCAAGTCATCCGAAGCATGGATGCAATTCCCGATGCTTCTGGTCCTCACTTGCCTGACGATGATCATGTTGAGAAGAGACGAAGGGTGACCATAGATTCTGATATAGAAGAACAAGAATATGAACCTTCCATAGGAGAAACACCAACTGGAGAAGTTCCGGAAGTTCCGCAAAACCCTGATCCAGAACCTTTGGAAGATGTTCCTGCAGAGTCATCAGAATCAAGTCCGCCACCCGATACAGATCAAGTGATGGAAGACTTGCAGCGTGCTGTCGAAACTCCTGTGCCATCAGGAGACGATGATAGCCTCCATGTCGCCAGCCGTTCCTTTGGCCATCGGGACGAAGTCCTGGAAGTGTCCCTAAATGTCATGCCAGAGGACATCACCGAAGATCCACTGTGTCTCTGGGGAGTCTTAGATGAATGTTTTCAAGTAACCCCCAAAGCCAAACAACGCCGTGTTGAAGTTTCTCTCAGAAAACTATCCCCCGAAGATAGAAAGTTGTTTGAAAAAGCAATGCAGAAGGAGTGGAATTCTTGGATTGAAAACAAGGTTACCTCACTTTGCAAACGTAAGGGGATTCCAGCTGAAAGAATAATCAAAGCCAGATGGGTGTTAGTTTGGAAGAAAAGCAGTGATCCAGACGATCGCTCTAAGACCCCAAAAGCACGACTTGTGTTGGTAGGATGGCAAGACCCAGAGTTAGGCCGCATAGCGACTGACTCACCAACCTTGCGCAAGGAGACCAAACACCTGATACTCACCATATGTGCCTCCAAAAAGTGGAAAATATGGGGAGCCGACATCAAAACGGCATTTCTGTCAGGAGACCCAACTCAAAGAGACATATACTTCAAACCACCAAGTGAAATCAAAGAATGGATGAATTTGAGTGAAGATGATTTATTTCGCTTGGAGAAGGCCGCATATGGACTAGCAGAAGCTCCAAGAGCCTGGTTTTTGAGGTTGTCCCGCGAAATGGCTTCTGCCGGCCTGCAGGTGTCGCAGCTTGACCCTTGCCTCTACTCCCTCAAAAACTCCTCAGGGGAATTAGTTGGGGTATGCGGGGTACATGTTGATGATATAATAGGTGGTGGAACCCCAGAAATGGACGCAGTACTGTCAAAAATGAGACAGAAACTTCCATTTGGTGATTACCGCACATATACAATACGCTACACTGGAATTGAGATTCGCCAAGACCCTCAATCGAGAGCCATTGAAATTGGTCAAGAAGGTTACATAGACTCGCTTGAACCTGTCCCAACAAAGCAGTATGGAAAAGGAAGACAGCCTGCCGAATGCTTCCATAATGAGAACCTGCGCCGGACAGCTTGCCTGGGTAGCCAATGCCACAAGACCAGACCAGTCTTTCTTAGCATCGTTTCTCCAGGGTGTACAAGATAAGGGGACAGTAGCTCACCTCCAAATGTACAACAAAGCTGTCAGAGAAATGAAAGAGCGAAAAGTTTGTTTGAGATTTCCAGCAGGGATTCCCCTCAAGCAACTCCGAATCATGTGCATCACCGATGCGGGATGGGGGACTAGGTCGAATGGCGAAAGCCAAGGTGGCTATGTCTTGTGCCTCACAGTTCCAAAAATGTTTGAACGTGTGCGAGCCCCATGTTGGATAGTGGACTGGCAGAGCAAGAAGCTTCGCCGTGTTGTGAGATCATCCGTTGCAGCCGAAACCCTAGCAGGACAAAACGGCCTTGACGCAATCGAGGCATTCCAAGCGTTGATGCTGGAAACAATCTATGGTGTTACACCAAAACAGTTCAGAGAAATGACACCAGATGATCCAGCTGCATTGGTTTTAGATAGCAAAGGTTTCTATGATGCTGTAACCAGAAGCTGCTGTAGCCAGGCCATAAGCCAAGAGCGTCGTTTGCAGATCGACTATTCAATTGCAAAAGAAACCACCATTAAGCAAAATATAATTTTGTTTTGGGTGAACAATTTGCGAATGAGTGCCGATTGCTTGACAAAGCTGAAAGGTGACACAAAACCACTTTTCGAAATCTTGGAGCAGTGTTCATATGAAATTACCATGAGTACCCAATCCGGGAAGAAGGAAAAGAAAGAACTCATGTCTCCACAGTAGTGTCAGCAAAACGGGCCAAAAACTTTTTCCTTTGTATAGATGCCAGAGCCTCTCACTTGCAAAGCCTGTTATAACGGTCATAAACCGTGGGGTAATAGCATGTCATAGACATAATAGTGGGGTGATAATCTGGTCCCTAAGTTTAGCCCAGTCAGCAGTGTACAGAAACAGTTCATGCATAGACTCTGCCAGCTGAAGGGTTGTCAGAACGGTGTGAACGAACGTTTTTGCCGCCTCTTGCAGCATCCGACATTTCTCAAACCTGCTTTTTCCAAGCGTTGCCGACTTTGTAGACCCATCTCCCAGTTTGCCATGTCACAGCCCAATAAGAAGGCCATGACGAGCGCACTCGAGACGCCTCTCAATGATGGTGAGATCGTTTTCATTTCGGGCCTGCTGCATCGCACCATTGCCTTCAACCAAGGTGCCAAGGTGTTAGCCTCATTCCGAGCGTCACTGGCCCCGAAGCAAGAGCATGCGCCGGCCACCTACATGATTGATGAGATGAAGAACATGTATGAAGCTGGAAAAGGATATCCAGAGGTTGCCTCAGCTGGGATGACAGATGCATCCAAGCGTCGTTTTGACGATGCGCATGAAGCCGAGAGCCTAGCCTCCTTCTCCGATTGGAGCGCAGTTCATGAATGTGGAGCTGATGGGCCGCCTGTGCCTGTGACTCTCAAGCCCTATACGGAGATGATGTTCAACCATGTGAACAAGCATGTTCAGCCGCCTGAGAAGGACATGACCTTCAGTCAGTGGGGAAAGACAGAGTGCCAGTTGCCGAAAGTTCAGGACCTCAAGCTGAACTATAAGCAGCTGATTTCCAAAGCCAACTCAGATGCAGAGCTCCGAGACTATTTGGTGTGGTTGAAAGGCCGATTTGGCACCAATGAGACCGGAGAGCCCAAGGGTAAGGTCACTATGGCCGTGGACCTTGCGATGTATCTGGAAGCTGTCGGATGGAGTCCATGCAAGGACAATGGATCCACAGCTGTTGCTTTCAGTCGTAAGTTCAAGGACTGATGGCAAAACTGGAAGAAAGAAAATGGTGTGGCAGCCTCCCATGGAGGGCGTGAAAATCTGGAAGAATGACATTGGAGTTGTCATACATGTGCCAGAATATAACATGGTCGCTGCCGCATTCATTATGGTCCAAAGGGCCCTTGAGCCTTGCTGCAATCGCAGCGAGGCTACTGACGCAGGTGGAGATAGGAAAACGTGGCGCTTTTGCGCGATTCCCCTTGCCGATTCATCATATATATATATGATACAAGCGAAACAAGGATGGTTTGCCCAATGAGGATGGAGCCATGTTTTGGGTAGGCTAGGACCCGGTGTTTGGCCAAATTGCCAATGGTGCCAGAGTATTCCCCCTCCAAATTGGATGGAGTGGATTGAATCTAAGACCCTTACTGCCCCAATCACACAATCAGCTCTTTGGGCAATGGGGTGATGAGAACCCCGTGTGAATCCAGAGCCATTTTTTGGGCCGCCAGGTGTCTCGGAGGCCAAGGCCTTTGCGCGGCAAGCGGTGGAGAATGTGGTGGTGCAGAGCCGAGCTCTGCTGGAGCAACGCACCGGCGAGACGAAGGTGCTGGTTTTCCGGTTTTGATCGAACATTTAGGGAAACACCGGAAACACCCTAAATTTGGTGGGTCATCATTTATGTCCCCCATCAAAATGGCAGTTTTGGGGAGCCTTCCTGGGGCACTGCTGTTGTTCAATCCTCGGAACACCACTTGAGCCATGTCATCGAAGCGTTTGAGGAGTTTCCATCATATCCTTCAATTGGATGACTGTTCTGCTATGTATAGTGTGGATCTGTTCAAACAACGCGCAATTCTGTTTATTGATGTCAAGGACATCTAATGGGAAGACTTTTGAGAAGTCAAATGATTTCTATGGGGGCCAGCCTTCATCAATTTCTTCAAAGAGTTCAGCATAATTCAGCCAGACCGATTGATGGGATCCCACTCAGTCAAGGTTTCCTGGCCATCAGAGATGCAACACAATTTCCAGCCTGGGCAGGTCTTGTTGTGGAAGGTACTGTAGCTGACACTTATCCCAATGATGGTTTCGATCTTATATACTGAAAACCAATGGGTCGTGGACACGGACACCAAGATTTCCTTCATGCAACAAGACAATAGGGACCTCTCTGTTTGCTGAAACTTTTGAAAGCCATGGTATGCAACTGGATGTTGTGCATGGATTTACTATACCTCACTTGGGATTAGGATAATGGGAGTTGCTATATACTATATACCTTCGGTCAGTACAACTGGAGGTGGCAAGAGGGGCTGTACCCTATTATACAGGAGTGGCAATATATATTTATATTTATATTTATATTTCTTTCTTTATCGGTGGTTGTAAACATCATCTGGGAGTGAAGGTAATCTAAACTTAGAACATCTTAGAACATCTTAGAACTACAGATAGGGACTGTATCTTTGATGGCGTTTTAGTGGATACAGTAGGGGTCCTTCGTGGGGTTGTTTTGATATTTTATTTTGCGTGAATCTCTACATATTAAATAATTGACCATGTTGGGGTTTGTTTTGAGCAAATGTTAACTTTCAAAGATCTCCAAGCAACAAAAAGGAAGGGTTCCAAATGGTTCACTCCAAATTTATGATGACTTGATCTCCATCGAAGACGACTTTGCAGGAGCAGCTGGAAAGACTCCGTGATGAGATGGCAGTGAAAGCTGCGAAGGACCGAAAAATCTGGTGGTTGGAATCCACAAAACCGGCGATCTCCGAGTGTTCAACCACTGGGGCCTCATTTGGCGCCAAGCCCAAAATCAAATGTTGAAACCAGGTGACGCCAAGGTTTTCAACAGGGTCCATTGCTGAGCCAGGAAACCAAGGCCCAAAATGAGGCGCTGGCGCAGCTGTCCCGCAAACTGCAGAGTGCCGAGGCACGGCAGGGATTGTCGATGAGAAAGCAAGAAGTTTGACAGACCAATTCAGGTGGACCCACAGGTAGGACTTCCAGGCAAATTCAGGTTGCTGGCTAGGAAATCAAACTACATGTGGGTTGATGTTGAAGTGAACTTCAAGAGGCCCCTTCAGCCTTTCACATGCTTTATCTTTTCTGACTGGCCGACCTCAAGACTCCAGTCAAATCTGCTTCGCAACGAAGGCGCTATAAGAGGCTCAAGCCACTACAAAGTTTCCCTTCCAATGTCGACCATTTCTTCAAGCATCTTATTTTCCGTCCGCAGATTTAGGTTGAGCTCCCAGGATCGAAACTAGCCGCCGATTCTCAATCACTGCTATGCCAGGAACTCTTGGAACGGTGCCGCGAGACTTCCTCAGAAGTGGAGGTGTTGGCTCTCGGTGAGTGTTCAGGATATTCATGCCTAAAAACAGATCTAGCTGTCACATCTGGAATTTCTGCCAAGCTGCCTCTACCACCGCTTTTTCATGCTGGTCGTTGCTTTCAACTTTCAGTGGTGTAAGTGAGTCAATGTTGGATACTCAACGATGGGATAGTTGGCGAATGTCGACCACTGGAAATGACCAGCGGTTGCATCTTGCTTTCGAACGGTAAACCTATGCTTGTCTGTAGAGGTTCCCGTAAGACAACAACCATCAATACAGTACCACTAAACATCATACAATATCCATTGTTGTTGATCATGATTGTTAGCAAAAGAGGCATTATCTTCCCAAAAAATAAAATCACTATTATTCAATATTGTTCATATATACATATACTTACATATAACTACATATATATATATATATGATATGTGATTTATATGTGTCTGTATATGGATATATCTCCATCATTATCCTTTATTGTCCATTGAAAACCTTCAAAACCAACATTTTCTTCCATTCAAACAACTTCAAACCAACATGTTCCCTATTAAAAACAGACAATCTTGACCCGTCACAGGTGCTGAAGATCGCTGACAGCGAGCGTGCCACTTTGCTGGAGCAACTGAGTCGAAGTTGTAACGAGTTGGCTGAGGGGCGGCAAGGCCGGGGTTGTTGGGAACAGGCAATGACCAGGCAACTGATCCAAGTGATGGTTATTAAGGGTTATAGTTATAGTAAGACCTAAAAGACCCTGAAAGAATGTAGAAAAGTTAATGACCTTTGTATCTTAGGATTGGATTTTACTGGATTCTGCCTCCTTGTGGGGTTACAGTAAACCCGGTGGTTGATATTGAAGCGCCAGATATTTATAGTGATGCAGATTCGGAAATGGTGGTTGACTAATGATTTTGTGGGGGGCACATATGGTTTCAACACGTTTCAACTTACATACGGAGTTATGAACCTTAGAAAGATCAAATAGAGCACATATGTGATGCTTGGTTGATGGTTACGTTTGGATTGTACAAAGCTGGTTTAATGGGGACTATGGATGGCTGCAAAGATTTCAAGCCCGCGATACTGGATGTTTGAAGATCAAGTGTATATAGTCTATTGATTCACAAATCTCTGCACAAGACTGGAAAACAAATGCCTTCAGTTGAGAGAATAGATCTTTTGGGGCATTGGCATAAGTCTTCTTGCCCTGAAACATTTGATTAGAGTTGACACAAATGATTCAACTGTTCGTTTCAGGATTGGTACAGTGCCATGGCCCACAGGCTTCCTTGCAGAAGTGGATAGCTGTCGATCTGCCAATAGGTGGGGATCAGCATGGGCAGGGCTTGGATTTTCAAATGTTTCTTAATCTCCCTCAAGGCCACAACTGGGATGACTTGGCAAGATTTCATCTTTCACATTTGTAGGTTTCGATCCATGTTTTAACGTATCCTGGCTGCGGCAAGGCAGCTGGAAGACAGCCTCCGGCGCATGGACGCCCGCGTGGAGTCGCTGTCCTCCACGGCGTCCCATTGTTCGGAAGGCCAACAACATCTATCCCTCATGGCAGGTTTGATAGGGACAATGAGGTTTGAAAGCAGAGTTAGGGGGTAGACAAAGTCGGGTGGGAAACTGGACCTCCCAGGGGTTGGATGTTAGGGTGATAAAAACAAGGATTCCTGCAACATTTCCTGTATATCAACCCAGTGACCCAAGGGTCAACTTTCGTGTTGGAAGTTGGGTTTCCCTAAAAAAGGGGAGATATCTACAATTCCATACATTGGCATACATGCTATGAAGAAACATAATCTTAAACCCAGACATAGAAACACAAGTTGACAACAGCATCAACACACACCCACCTCATTGAACACAAACCGCCACGATGGAAGTTAACAAAAAAACAGCAACATATCAATAGAACTACCCACACAACAAACATCAAAAGCAAGGAAAACACATTGAACCCTAACATATCATAACAAACAAAACACCTTCAGTGGACTCCCCAGAACGCTCCAGGTGTGGCGGAAGTGAAGGCAGCAGCGCGGGAAGCAGAGAAGTCGCAGCTGCAGTTCAGGGAGATGTCAGAGCAACGCACCAAGGAGTTGCAGGCTGCATGGGCTGCATGGAATGCATGGGTGGCTGTTTTTTTTTTCTTGGAAAAAAATGAAGGGCTTGGGGGAAATGTGTGTGATTACCAATAGACAAATGTTTGCAAGCGGCAGTTCTGTAAATAAGAGAAGCATGCAGGGAGATTTGGAACAAGACAATCATATGCAGGTTTAAGGAAGACACATGCAGAAAGAACTTGCAAACATGGTGGTGCAAGGTGTGAGCACGGATGAGACATGGGATAAGTTGCCCACAGACATGCATGAACAAGCTTTGTGATTCGTAGTTTTGTATATCTTCATTTTGATTGGTTGCATCCCCATCAATGATGCTTTGTTCCTACTGCAGTTGGTACCCCAATAGCCCAACTCGTTATACCCAGTATTGCTGGCTACATTCCTTAGTATTATAGGCTACGTCTTCATTTGTGGGTATATCATGGTATATCACGACTATTATCTCCAATAACAATCATGATGATATCCATTAAAGTTGTTATATCCATTGTATCCACAATTGTTACTGTCTTGGGTATATTCCCATTGCTGTTATAAACAACCAATGGTTCCATGCCCATCTCCATTCTTCAGCGTTCTCTTCCCGCTTGCGCCCCTGTGCTGAGAAGGAGCTCTTAGAGCGTCGTGCGTACGAGTCTTCCGCGAAGATGGAGGCACAAGTGGTAAGATGAACGCCAGAAATTACATGAACAATATCAACATGTTGGCCATACTGGTATCACTCATTTTTAACATGCAGATAGGATACTAAACCGTAATTAGATGTAATGAGTACGTAGACTTAAAATACCATCCCAAAACTGGTGGAACTCCAAGAATCACCACATTTTTCCGATGAGTGGAGGCCCTCCGCTCGGCGGATGCCGAACGACAGCGGCAACTGGAACAGCTCTCCATGGCGTGTGAGAACCTGGCGGAAGCGCGGCAAGGTGGTCGCAGCTTGGGATGGAAAACCTGGGACTTCACCAGCAAAAAGCTGGGGATTGGAAGGTGGATACATAATGATACATACTGATTCATAAAAAATGGTGATTTATTTATAAACATGTGGATTTAACATGAGTTAACCAGGAAACATTGGGAACTTTACCATGACAAATTGAGATTTCACCAGCATAAGTTAACCATCACACATGGGGATTTGATCATCAAAAATATGTTTTTTCCAGCGAAGATGGGGGACTTTACCAACAGCGATGTGATTGAACATCATGGTCTTGGAGGTCTCTTCCGTCATTTGGGACCCTCCTCCATTGAAGAGACCATCAAAATGGTGGGATTTAAGTGGGAGGGACCTTCAGGTGGAGAATTGAATATACATGAATTCACCAACTGGAATAGATTCTTTCGATTTCTTTTGGCATATTTCGAATCAACATGAATATGGAGTTTTGAATGTTTTTGACATATTACCAACCGGGAACTCTGCCGAAGTTCCTGAGTTGACTGTCTAAGGGGTTGTACCCGGGGAGTCGAATACTGGACCCAAAACTGAAATCGGACAAGAAACCGCCTCTCTGCGAGGGTTTATTGTGATGGGATCAACCAACCACCTTGTCCTGTACTGTCTGCAGGCATCGTTGCCGAAGTAGAAAGCTGTCGTTCCATTGACAGGTGGGAGTGATGTCTTGGAGATGGGTGGTTTGTGTAACAGTGTAAATGCTTTGTTTGGGTCTGCGGACTCCCTGTTTTACTGCTTTGGTGAGCGAAATTCCAGGTTTGATTGGGACATTTACCACTTTTGGGTCAAATCCTAATTCGGTGGGCACGATACCAAGCTTTTGAGAGACACAGCCAGATTCTTTTATCATATTCCACACTTTTGCTGAGTGACTGTATTTCTTTGTCATTACAATTCATTGAATCTCATTTAATCCCATCACCCGATCATGCACACCCACAATAGGGGACCCGAAAATGAAGAGATCAAACAGATCCACTCCGAAACTAGGGTTTCTAAGGGAGTATTCAACATTGAGAAGGGATGAAGATTCCTTGAATATCGTCTTTGCATCTTTTCACTGCAGAAAACTCCAAGCTGCCCTCCCCAGGCAGTTGGAGGAAGCCTTGCGACGCCTGGATGCCAGGGTGGAGCGCGCAGCAGGGACCGCGCTGCAGTGCTCCGAAGGTGCCTTGCGTCTTTCGGAAACGGACGCGGATCATCGATGATGGAAAAGGGACGCCTAACAATTTGGATGATATGTTACTGTGATTTCTTTTCCCGATGTTTTTCAGATTCTTTTACTTCACAGTTTACCTTTTGACTTTTCGGTCGATGGGTATGTGGGGTTGCTGTTGTCCCATAGATGGGATGATATTGGTACCATCCGGCACTTGTCATGCCAGCCTATCCATTGGTCACTCTATATTCGGGGTTGACAACGAGGGGTTAGCAAATGAATCCGGAATATATGATATATATATGTATATAATTATATATAGTAATTATATATATATACATACACATGCATTAATGGATTATATAATGTTAGTTGACTTGGAGCAGCTCCTCTGCTTTTCGCAGCGATGCAGTTCCCTGTGATGGGAATGGCTGGCATCGCCCTAGGTGTGGCTGATGTGAAAGTGTTTGCCCGAGAGCTGTCCGAGAAAGCCGTGTCACAGTCTCGAGATCTCATGGAAAAGCGGCATGCTGAGATGAAGGATGGGAGGGGCAGGCGCAGAGGCCCCAAGGATTTCGATACATCATTTTGAGGAAGTTGGATGGATCCCATTTTCCCTGGTTTTTAGCAGTGAAATCCGAGTAAAGCCTTGGTTTGCCATTAGAGCAATTTTGTTGACAAGTTTGACTGGAGATTTAAGCAGCTCGACTTGGCAAGGGACATGTCCATTGTTTGTATACACCATGGACTTGTGGGTTGGCAATTTAAGAGGAAACATTGGTTGTGATGTCCGCATGCTTGTTGGCCACAAGTTTACTTATTATTTTGATTTTACATGTGTATACTGTACATGTGTCATCTCTGCCTATCCAGATCCGCAAGGTCTTCAAAGTATATATATATATATCCCCTTTCTATTTCTAGCTTGGTCTTGCAGATGATTTGTATTTTCCATCCGTACCTTCGAACATTGTCTCATCACCTCATCACAAATGGGTTCTACACGTACTTGATTGTTTGTCTGGATAGTCCATGCCAAGTTAGATGTCAGTTTTGTTGGTGAGCTATCCTCATTCTTGATGCTTCAGTTCCCATTTTTGGGATGACCATCTCCCCATTGGCATGCACACAAACAGAATCCTGAAGGAGCTTATCGAGCAGCAAGGTGCCGAGCATGGCTCGAAGCTAGAGGCTCGACTGATGGGAAATCACCAAGCAACATGGGGACAAGTAGAAATTGGGAGATTCAGCAACTTTGATTTCGATATTCTGGGAATATTTACCAGCAGAATTCACATCTCAAATATGTGGCCGGAATGGTCGTGATGTGGGAATGTGAGTAACAACCTATATAATTTTGAGGTTATATATTTGTTATTGACACACAAAGACACATTTGGATGGTAAGAAAATTTGGCCCCATCAATTTCTATAATTTTGACTTTAAATGTATAGTCCTAGTTTATAATAGTTACATTTCTTGAGTTTAGACGGTTTGAACAGAGACAGTCTTGGCCCAGAACAATCCCCCCATGTTTGCCAAACCCCAATGGCGACCCCACCAGGCCTTGAAAGTCTCCGATAGCGAATGCCATCAGCAACTGGATTCCCTGTCCCGTGGCGTCGCCGAGCTGTCGGAAGCCCGGCGAGGCATGGAGGTTTTCACCGAGTCACCCAGTCACCAACCTGGTTACTGGGGGGTCATCTTACACCATCCCTATTTCAGGGGTATATTGTGCATAAACCTAGACTTTTAGGATGGTTGATGATCATTTATGGTTTTATCATGGTGTGTATACATAAAATTTTATGTGGGCCTCCATTTGGGGATGATTGATATATGCAGGGTTTTCTGGTAAAGCAACAGGTTTTCCCATTCTCTCTTTTGAATGGTTTAATGGTACTGGTATGGTTTAGAAGAATTAATTTATATTGGAAGTTAAATTGGGATTCCAACCATCACTACATGGGAACTTATAGAACCATGAATAGCGTGGGGGCACCCAATAACAACCCGATATACTTCTTTTGGGATGGTTCTTTATGTCACCAAAATATGATATTTGAGTATATTGGGGATGGTTTATTGTTGGGTTTACCATCAGGCCCCCTTTGTCAGAGGTAATATTCCGCATGGTAGGTTCGCACCTCGTTGGTGGCACCTCATTTTCTACCGCATAGATGATCACAGATATTGTTGTCCCCCCATATATATATATATACATACATACATAGACCATTCATGTTTTGATTTGGTGCCACTCCCAGACACTGCGCGAGGCATTTCCGCGGAGGTTGAGAGCTGCCAGTCCAGTGACAGGATTCGCCAAGTCGTTGGATTTATTCCCAAGATCGGTTGTTGTTGGAGGATTTGCTGGTTAAACATGTGGAGGTTAAGAGTAGATCTTGGCCTTGTATCCAGGTCTTTCAAAATCATAGGGACCCCAAAATTTGTGGCCGCAGCCTCCCATCCACTTGGGCACTCTCATCCCCTTGGAGAGGAAGCTGGAGGAACACCTCCGTCGCATGGAGAACAAACTCGAACGTTTGTCCTCAGCGACTTCCCAATGCTCGGAAGGCTGGACTAGGGCCCGGTTGGCCCCTGGTGGTCGGAGGGTCGATGTGGAGCAAATGTAGCCACCGTAGTACGCAGATTTCTTGGATGGTGAATGCCAGGTAGTGTGAGGCCTGGAATGATGGCAGCAGATACGGGTAGTTGATTGGTTGATCGGGGAGCAGTAGGTTGCACCCTTGGACTTGGAGGATCGTCTTAAGCAAATCAACAGTTTGGTACAGTTGATGTCTCATCCCTGAAGCTGCTAGGTCCTCTTCTTGGTTGGGGTCATGCCCAATATCGACCCCAAGTTACAGAACCTCGAAAAACACAGCTACCAGTCTATCTTTCATTACGTAAACATCAGTACCATCTTGAACCTAGGCATCCTACCATCACTTCCTCAACAGGTGAGCAACAGCCACGCCAGGCCTGGCCGAGGCCAAAGCGCTAGCGCAGCAAAGCGCTGAGAAGGCGCAACAGCACAGCAGCGAGCAACTGGAACTGCGCTCGCGGGAGCTCAAGGATGGGGCCATGTTTTGCCTGAACATTTTGGGTGTAGCAAATTCGCTATACCCCACATAGCCATAAATTTCATTTGGGCGAAGAGGGTAAATGGACTACTGCAATTAATGGTAGATAATTCACGGGGCATTCTTGAGACATTTTGACACAGGAAGATGAGATCCTGTTGGGAATCAAGTTGTTTGCTGGGTATCACTATGGAAGGACGATAGCTAGGCAACATTCCGTTGGAAACTCATACAGGATCTTACTTTGTACAGGGACCCGTCAAAAAGCCCTGTTTAAGCACAAAGAACTGTGGAATATAGGGATGTTTTGCAGCTGGAGACGATGTGATAGAACTTACCTGCAAGAATGCGGATACTTCGGATGTCACCGATAGATTTTTTTGGCAACAATGATAGGTAAGGAATCTATCCTATTGATCGGATGCAGAAAATCCAAGGACGAGATACCTACTCATAGAAGCGGATGAATGATCTGCCTTTGAGTGGACAGAGAATGATCACCTTTCCAGATGACACCCTAAGGTTTCTCCACATTACACCCGTGGATCCCACCCGTTTTTTTTTTGAGGTCGTGAGACTTGACCATAAAAGCAGCTGAGTTTGGAGGTGATGACCGGACTAAAACTTACTTCGGGTTTGGGGTCAAAAACCTCCCAAAATTAACGGATTACTTGGCTCGGCCCTGGTGTTGCAACCCCGGGCAGCTGTGCAGAAGCAGGACCACCTTAAGCATCTCCGGGAGGAACTGAGCAGCAGCTTCGCCAAGGAGCGGGCTGAATGGCACCTGTTTTTAATGATCCGATTTGCTGGCCCTCGTATCATTATTTTGGCACCCAAGGGCTCCCCGCGGTGGGTACAGTATGTTTTTTATTATTCTATTTTTCCACGAAGTCTCCATTGGCCCGCAGGAGGCCAAAGGGCAGAGCGATGCGATCACTCAGCTGGCACGGAAGCAGGAACTCAGCACAGACTCCTTGCAGGTCCCTTGACTGGTGAGTCTGACCTGGAAACGCCGTGGGGATTGATTGGATGCAGATCCCAATTGTGCGGTTGTCCAAAAACAGGGGATGGCCCCCCAATTTAATCACATGAAAATGCCTGGTACTATTCACCTTGGGTTGGCTTTGACCTCATATTTGCAGCCTACACCCCAATCTTGGTCGGTCACATGCCAAACATCTTGGTTGAATATGAAGAATTTTGTATATTTTTGTTTAATTTTTTGGGGTCAATTCTGCATCTTTGGTTGGCGTTGTTTTAAATGCCGTTGGCCGGATACAATTGTTGTTGAGTAGATCCATCATCATTTGTGTCCTTTCTTTAGATATACTGTATATATCCCAACACTTCGTTGGTTGAATGCCTTCATGTTGGCCCCTGATCTGCCCCCAGTTTCGTTGCGTAAGGCGGGCACTTCGGAGCTGCGACGCGCCATCCAAGAGCAGTGCCGGCGGCAGGATGCCTTCTGCCTGGGGTTGTATATGGAGGTTTCCAAAAATGGGGGTACCCCAAAGCATTGGGAAAACCCATTGATCATCACCAATAACTTGGATGATAACTTGGGTTACCCCCCATTTTAGACAACCTTTAGAGGGATCACCACACCCCCTTGCAGCCGCTTGCAACCTCGATCAGCCAGTCTCCATAGGAGCTTATCGAGCACCAAGCGGCCGAGAATGCACCGCTACTGGAGGCGGGAGAGGGTGACTTTGGGTCACCCCCAAAAGGCTGGCTGAATGCTGGGTGAAGAAAAACAAAAACAAAGCTGATCGCATGAGAAAACGGAAATATCACCATGGTCCATCAGATTTGAATATCTCTTGCAATCTTCATTTCGACAGTCATACCAACATTTTTATTTGTTAGACTATTACCTATAGTACTTCCAGAAGGGGGTTCCTTTCGCTCACACGTTGCGAGGCACTGCGCAGCGCCAGCGCGGAGCAAAGCCAGCAGCTCCAGAGCCTCGGCAAGAGCTCGGCGGAGCTCAGCGAGGCGCGACGAGGCGCGGTCGCACCGTAGGACCGTGGGATCCCAATTTGGTTGGAGGGGAACGACTACCCTCTGGTAATTTAACATAGCTATTGAACATGACCCATTTATAGTTGATTTACCCATTAATAGCATGGTGATTTTCCATAGCTATGTTAAATTACCAGAGGGTATTCCAAATTCGTCATGATGTAACTGCCTACATCAACTACATCCCAGAGGAGCCCCATTCTTTTTTTGGCAGTTTATTTTGTGGGAAAATGGGAGAGAATGATGAATGATGATTAACTATGAGATTTAACAAAAGAACGATGATTAGCTATTGATATTATATCCCTTACTGTATAACGTGGTAAACCCAAGGCATCCCAAGGCCATGAACAACTGCCTGGGGATAAGGCCCACCCAAATCATCTGACCAGAAAGGGTGCCTGCAGCATCATTTTCCCTTGGGCGAAGCCTAGGCATCTCTGCGGATGTGGAAAAGTGTCAATCAGCAAACAGGCCTGGGCTTTCACACATGTGGGTTTTCCAAAAATCAGGCGGATTAGATCCCCAATCTGTGGCAATTTTGATGGAAAATGATGATCAGCCAGATCAGCCATAAGATTTTTTGGGGACAAACCTGTGTCATGGCGCAACCTGGTTCTTGTGTGCATTGGCGGATGGTGAGGGTCATCAGTTCAATTTCATCAGCGAACTTTTCAGTGGGCAATTTCTTTGTGTCCAGAGGTAACCAAAACTGAGGCCGGGGTAATATGGGGTAACCAAAAAACGGATTCTTGAGTTCGACCTGCTGTACAAGCAGCCTAGCTGCCCTATGGCGTTTGGTTGCCGCAGGCGCCTGGAGGAAGAGCTGCAGCATGCGCTGGCGAAGATCGAGAAAGTCTCCTCCGCAGCAAATCAGAGCTTCGAAGGCAGAGAGTGCTGGTTGTGGTTACAACCGCTGCATTAAGTATGGCCAAACACCATGAATGGTGGGATATTTCATGAACAAATATATGGTGGAAGATTTCATTAACCATGGTGAAGTACCATGTGTGGTTTATGATAGGATATTCATTGATACAGCGGGAGATTCAGAAGTAATATATACTGTAGCCACAATATAATCATGCAACCAACATGAACGGGCTCAACCCCCAACCAGTTGCAACCCGTTTTGGAGGCGTGGCGGAGGTCAAGGTCTTCGCGCGGCAGCTGGTGGAGAGCAGTGTGATGGAACTGAAGGAACTGTGGATTTGGTGCCACCCCGGGCACCCAAGGGGCTCCAATGGGATTTGAAGTTTGAAGCAGCAAAAAAAGGGGAGATTCACCAACAAAAAGGGGATTTCATTGAAATGCAGATTTCATCCATTAAGCAAAAGGACCAACAAACAAAATTGAATAAAATTGAAATGATTTCACCTGCGAGATTTGTAGGAACCAGCAACAGTGGAGACTTGAGCGGCACGACGTGGGGATATTGATCAACAAAAAGTGGGACATTCAGCAACATGGGAGACTGAAGCAATAAGAGGCAGATGTAACCAGCAATGACACGGCGGGATAATTCCTAAACTGCTGTGTTCACGCTTTAACAAAGTGGGTTTGTCTGAAAATGGGGTACCCTTCAAATCCCATGGGTTTCTCATCAGGTCCCCATTAAAGGTAGCCTCTGGTAAACGTTTACATATAACTATGGAAAATCACCATGCTATTAATGGGTAAATCAACTATAAATCACCATTTTCAATAGCCTCTGGTGAACTAACATAGCAATGGAAAATCACCATGCTATTAATGGGAAATTCCACTATAAATAGCCATTTTCCATTGCTATGTTAGTTCACCAGAGGGTAGCCATGTTTGTTTACCAGAGGGTACCATTTAAACATCATTGAAGCAGATATTTTCCACTGGGACACGCCCTCGCCGTCCAGGAGCAGTTGGAGCGCCGAAGCGTCGACGCGTCCAGCAGGATCGAGGCGGCGGCTTTTGTGGGCCGTCTACATATGCTCACCCATTAGCATTGCTATAATGAGTCACCATAAATGGACATAAATGGATAATAAATGGATATGTGTCACCATAAATTCTTTTTTTTTGAAACGTTATGTATCCTTCTTGATCACAATTTGACAATCTGAAGTGGAGGTATATCGATATAGAATGATGTAGATATACACCTAGTATGCATCACGTAAATCCACCTGTCTAGCCCTCCATCGTTGTGCAAGTCAGGCCTTGAAGACCTCGGAGGTGGATCATCAGCAGCAGCTGGAGCGCCTCTGGCGGAGCCACACGGAACTCACCGAGACCAAGAAAGGTGTGGCGACGCTGCGGGATGACGTGCCGAAAGGGGCTGATGTTTTGATTGTGGAAAGGGTTTGAGTTTTCTGGAGTCGAACAGAGTTTTTTGTTGGTTGAAGGTTTCAGTTGTTTGTCTTTAATCAGGTGTTTCGGAGCCATTTTGACGGATGTGTGTCATGGCCGTCAATTGGCAGAGCCAGCGTTCTGAATGGTTCTAGTATTCATATTTCATCCTATTTCTCTTGGTTCTGTTGTCAACTTGCATCCAAAGCCGAGCCATTTCAAATCATCAAGGCAATGATTTCTGAAATATCAGTTGCCACTTCAAGGGCATCCCCTTGGACTGGTCGGCTCTTCACACGTGCCGTTGCACGGACATTTTCCTCGCCTTCTCGAGTGCTGCGATTCAAAACGCAACAAGTCAAGAAAGCACAGGAGAAGTTGAAGAAGAACCGTGGATTGCTTGAACAACAGAAATGTCAAGTTGTACAGGTGCCAGATTCCGGCCTTTTGGTGATTCTTCTGGGAGTCAACCATATAGAGATTGAAAGTGTCAAGGCTGTTCAAGAGATTATCCAAACCATGGATCCGGACGCTGTTTGCGTTGAGCTCTGTGATGCTCGTGTGAAAAGGGCTGGCTTGCTGGAGGAAGCTCGAAGCATCCGAGGCACACGCGCATTTTTGCGCCAGGACATGGCGAAAGAACTGCGCAAGCATAGCTCTGATGGTGCACGTTCGCCCCAAATGGGCATTGAAATGATGATGGCCTTCTTGGAGGCCTACCGCTTTCTGAAGCCATGCTATTTGGTGGATCGTGACATTCACATCACCAATGCACGCTACAAAGCCGCGCAAGGCCCGGGAATGTGGCGTCGACTCCATCGGCGGTTCCCGCGGGTGGCGAAGATACTTGAGATACCCTCTGGTAATTTAACATAGCTATGGAAAATCACCATTTTTAATGGGAAAATCCACTATAAATAGCCATTTTCCATTGCTATGTTAGTTCACCAGAGGGTACTTGGTTTGATTCGCCTTTTCTTGGCTGGAAAGGAGACTGGCCGCGGTCTTGGCGTGCCAGAACGCAAGCTCCTTCGCATGTTCCATCGTGGACTGCTAGACATTCCCTGGGTGCTGCGGCGTGAGATCTTGGAAACAGCATGGCTCTGTGAGCTCAACAGTGAGAAGATGGTGCCGCATGAGTCACTAAGACAGATTTTTGATTATGAATTTATCCAAGATAAGATGTTGGGCCAACCGCCAATGCCACCTGAGCTTGTAGATTGGTTGGGCCCAGAGTCTGAGTATGATGTTTTCCATCGCGTCATTGTCTTTGAAAGGGACGTCATCATTGCCCGCAACATCAGAAGCATCCACCAAACCTCCGTGGAGTACGCGCCTGGTGGCTTGAACGGCCCCTTAGTTCTGGCGACCCTGGGAAAGGCACACATCCCAGGAGCACACCATTTGACGCTGCCCTCCAAACTGGATCGGATCATTGCAGAAACCAAAGCCGACGTGGTGTAAAAGTGAGATCAGGCATGCACGCCTGGCATTCATGTTTTTTGGCAGTTTGTTAAAGTTTCAGACCCGGGATTTTTACTACTCATCTAGTAATTTCGAGCGCACCAGTTTTTGACTCATTCCCATGTGCTGAATTGAGGCTATTGCCCGAACCAAAGCTCATGTCCATTCTCAAGATTCTCAAGATACAGAGAATGCTCCAAACCGACCATTGCAATCTGATTCCACGATTTTCATGTGACTTTGTTCCAGTTGGAGACTGAGATGCCCAAAAAATCCACCAAAATGTCCAAAAGAGGTGATTTTTGGGGAAGGGGCAGCCTGGTGGGGCTCCCTCAAGCGTTTTTCCACCACTTTTAGCCACGCTTGGGCTTGGTCTTGGTGGCTTTCGGGCCAGGACTGGCGGGGGAGTTGGAGAAGTGCCAATCCGTGGAGAGGCGTGGGTAGATCAACCTATGGCTTCCTCTGAAAAAAAAGTGGGTTGCGGGACAAGCACCGAACACCTGCTTTTAGAGGAAAACCTGGTTTTGCTAACCCGTCCAAAACCCATAAGTATCCGGTAAAAAAAGGCGTAAATATCCCGTAAACAGCTTTAAAAACATGTGTCAACATGATATATATATATATATGTATATATATATATATGAGAAAAAAATATATATGAGATGTTTTTGTTTTTCAGCTTGTCCTGGGGTGTCTTCTTGGTTTTCTGTGTGCTGTGAACGGCCGGTGGCCCAATAAACTCTTTCTAGAGAACCTTAGTCTCCTTGTTCGCGAATTTTAGGGATATATGATTACCTACAGCCCAAAAGCCTAAGAAAACTTAAGAAGTAGTTTTTGCATATTTGTTGTCAGTTGTCCTTCCTGTTTTCAACAAAGTTTGGGTGCTTCGCTAGTGAGAAACATAGACACAGAACACCTACCTTTAGTGTTACCAGGCTTGGTCATGGACTTGGTTCTCGAACAAAACAAGAACCTAAAATCGGGAATTGACTTGGCGGACGCTTTGCCGCTCTGCGTGGCGGCAAGTGAATGTCTGCGGGCCAAACACACCCTTCTTTAGCCTGTCTCACTTAGTTTCCCAAACTGAACCTTTCGCACGAACAAATCTATCGGGTCTTGTCCTATCATTGCCATTGACCAACAAACAGTAGATCTGATGAATCTTTGGGCCACCCATGCGACATTGGCACGGTGAGGATTTGTTGTCAACGTTTTAACGCTTTTTGCTACTGAATAAACTCCATTCTTGTTGATTTCAAACTTGTTCTTATTGAACTTATACTTCTCGGTGAAATTCTATGATTTTCTCCTTTGTTTGGGTTCCAATGTTTCAATCTCTTTGAAATCTCCCAGGGTTTCCCTGGGGCGCCAGGCAGTTCGAGGAAGCCTTACGGCGGGTCGATGGCAAGGTGGATCGGGTCGCTGAAGTGGCCAGCCAGTGCTCTGAAGGCCACGTGGGTTCGTCCAAGTATGGGAGGATACCCCCAGGAAAGGGCTGGTTTGATACAAGAAACTAACTTATTATACATATATACATAATATACATATATACGATTATATATAATATAATAATAATAATAATAAATAATAATAATAATAGTAATAATAATAATTAATAATAATAATAATTAATAATAATAATAATAATTAATAATAATTAATAATAATAATAATATATATATATACATATTATATTGTGTTTTTGTCCACTGGTTCCGCATTTTGCATCCATACCGGTCCATAGCCCTATGCCAGAAGCGAAACATGGAGCCTTTCGCCAAGTGAGGTGCCATCAAGTTTTGGCATATAGATTATGATTCAGGCCCCATGTTTCCGGATTGCTCCAACCTACTGTACGTAAATCATGGCCACAAGGGTGGCAAATGAGTGGTTTTGCCTTTTTCTTTACCCAATTTACCACCCTAATAACTGGGATGTTGGGAGCAGCCCTGTGTTTGGTTGGTTGCAGCTGCAATTGCCCCCATGAGAATGATGACATTAAATTGGATGGGGTTGGTCAAAATGGTTTAAGCATCTTAAAACCCTAGCGATACATCAAGTCCTTGTTATTCTGAATAAGGGACTAATGAGAACCCCAATTGAAACATTTTGTTGGTAGAGCTGCAGCCACGCTGCCAGGTGTCTCGGAGGTCAAGGCCTTCGCGCGGCAAGCGGTGGAAAATGTGGTGGTGCAGAGCCGAGATCTGCTGGAACAACGCACTGGCGAGATGAAGGTGCTGATTTTGTTCGGATTTCCCATAAAAAACTAGTGGTTGATGATCATAAAAAAACCAGGTGGGAACATTTGGAAAACCAGGTGGGAACATTATGTTGATCATCATGGTTGATTACCATGGGAAAACACCATAAAAAATCATTTGGAACATTTGGAACACCATAAAAAATCAGTGGTTGATGGGACCATGTTTCCCAAAAAAACATGGCAATTTGTGTTGGGACCACATTTTTGGACAAGCCATGGCAGGCTCGCAGCGAAGCGGCCAACGAGGAGCTGCGGGCTCTACGGCTCTTTGTGCAGGAAGAGACACAGCGACAAGTTCAGGCGAGGGCCAAACATGTCAATGGTAAATCCCTCATTTTGTTCGACGATTTTCCCATTAAAACCTCCATTTATAGGTGATTTCTCAGCTAGCCATGTTTGAATGCCAGAGGGTATGTATTCTGTTTTTTTTTTTGGGTCCATTTTGTTTAAAAATGATATCCTGTTGGAAGATGTTGGAAGATACGATTGTCCTCATCGACAATACTCTGCAACCAGCAGGAAGTGGTGGCAGTGGCAGTGGATAGCATCGAAAAATGGGAGATCATTTCATAAATCAGATGCTGTGGGATTTTGGAGGGCGAGAACCGAGCATTGGTAGATGGGTGTTCACACTTCCTGGGATAAGACGTTGACCAACAATTTGGGAATGGGTTGAAACTACTAAATAGACACTAGCTTGGAAGTCCACAATGTTCATGATTGACGTTGTCTTCAAAAAAAAAATCGATAGGACATGTGGATATACATAGCCACCAATACGAGTCATTTCAAGACTGGGGCATGTGACCAACAAAGCTCCTACTCGTACATCACCATAAGTAACGGACATCCAATCAACACAATAATTAATTCATCGATGACCAATGGAGCCAACACAGATGGGGGTACCCTCTGGTAAACATACAAAAAACTATTGAAAATTACCCATTTACAGTTGATTTACCCATTAATAGCATGGTGATTTTCCATAGTTATGTTAAATGACCAGAGGGTAAATCACCATTAATCACCATTAATCACCATTAATTATCGTTATTAACCACTATTAACCACTATTAACCACTATTTAACATGGGGCTACTTGACCCAGCCCTCGCTCCAGGCAGGCCGTGCGGAAGCAACCGAGCGCGAACATCGCTTGAGCTCGAAGTTGCTCACACAAGCGCAGGCCGGGTGAAGCTGCTGAAGCGAAGGGATGCAACCTACCCCGGGAGTGATAGCAATACCATGATCGACAGTTTAAGGAGTTGAATTTACATATATAATGATTGTCTCTTGGAATATCCATAGCTACTCATTGTTAATGAGGTAAACCCAATGATAAACGATGCTGCTGTGCTTCCAAGGTGATTTTCTTTTCACAGTTGCACCTCATGCAAACTTGCCAGCAATTCTCTGTTCACTAGTTTTGCATATATATTTTTCCAGCCAATCCATCTCCATCTGAACCATCCAGAGTCAGGTTCCAACCTTCCAACCAATGCAACTGGCTTCCAGCGCAGGAAGCACAGGAACTGCGGACTGTGTTGGACGAGCAGTTGAAACGTCAGGAGATCAGGGGATCGACAACGACAGGTTACTACCCATTAGCAACATACACAACGGATCATAATGCTTGGTTACCCATTGACTTAAAGGTTGACAGCATGAGTTTCCATTGATGTTCTGGCCATGTGAGTCCAGGAAATGGTCATTTGGGGGTTTTACTTAGCAGGAACTTGGACATGCTGTTTACAGTTTCCCAGATGCAATGCAGCTGTCCGCTGTCCAAAACATTTTCATGAGAGGTCAGCATCCAAAAACTCGCCCCTTTCGCGGCCACAAGTAGCCCACCTTTTTTTCCAGGAGAGCCTCTCAGCAGAGCTGCGTGAGGCCTGGGGCCCTCCCTATATTCAATCAACTGAGAAATGTGTCACAGTCTTGCAGCTACCATTCTCTACCCGGGACCCTGGGGATCCTTGAGCCATCTGGGGTTTCATCCATGAGCCAACGTGGATGCCTAGCATCAAATAAAACTCAGAGTTGCCTGGGGAATTTTTCTACCACCAACTAGCACCAAAAGGCGAAGACCTGCATGTTTTTTGATAGTTTCGGCCGAGCCAGACTACAATTCTGGTTAGAATCAGTTTCTCTTCAGCACATGGAAGTGAGAATTCCTTTACCAACCTGCGGGATACAGGAGATCTAACTGATCTAACTCCCAGATCTGGCCAGGCGCAAGAAGTGTTCCATAGCAAAGTGTCCAAAGTCAGCACAGAGTTTGCTGAACAGAAGGCCATGTCAGTGACAGATCGTCCTCTGATTTTTGAGACTTGCAGCCACTTGCAGCTATGCTTGTGATTCATACAGCATATATAATCATATATATATATATGTACATTCATAAACTGTTTAGCTGTATGTATGCACATGTTATGTACTGGTGCATACTCAAGTTCAATGTTGTAATTGTATTGGCTTTATGCTGGCTGAGGTGCAATTGCATTTCTTAAACATTTGATGACATGTTTGTTGCTGTGTAGCAGTTGGTTGGTTGGTCGAACGGTAGGGCTCAAAAATCATAGCGCCAATTTGGCTGCTTCGCCAAAATAGGCAAGAACAAGCCTTTTGGCCCGTTGTGAAATTTTGCACTGCCCCCCGAATTTTCAGCCAGCAATGTTGGTGAAATATCGATACACATTAGACCACACTTGATGATTTTTCGCAGGCACGATCATCCTCCCATTTGGGGTGTCCATTTCATTCTGAACCATTCCCAAATGTTGGTGATAGACTTGTTTCATGATGTTTCTACTGGGTGACCCCCCTCTGCACGGTTCAGGATGGTCTCAAGAAGTACATCACCGACGCCCTGAGGAAGTCCGAGCAGAAGTTGCAGGAGCGGGGCAGGTATGCATTTGCAGCAAAGGCTTGACGGCTTGACATTTTAATTGTGGGATTTAGGAACCTAGTTGCGAGAGCCAAGGTCGCTGAACTGGTTGTGATCCGTGGGCACATGAAGAACAGGGTTGCGCTTCCGTTTGGAAGAGCTTCTTTGTCTCCGGTCGGTAATGTTGGCAGCTATCCTGAAACTCAGAACCACCTGATCCGTGCTGTTCCCGCTCATGCAACCTGAAGCCAAAAAGAATGAGAGAATCCAAACAGGATTCTACATCAAAATCCATCAGAGATAGAATAGTCAGATAGTCACTGGTACTGTACAGTTGGGCTTTCTTTTTGCATCATCAACCGTCAGCTGCCGGTGAGGCGTTGACTGCCCAGCCTCGTGTGCTGGCTCTGGTGATGGATGAGCTGGAGGGTGTTGTGCGGGTTGGGACTCTCAGCAACCAGAGGTGCCAAAGATCAGTTGCAACTCTTCAGGGGAGCACATGATTTGAGACGAGATCCCCAGAAATCACGGAAATTTGTATATTTCAGATGATTTCAGTAGATTCAATAAGCCAATTTTTGAGGGCAACCATCTATTCATGTAGCCAGGGTGTGACGCAACGAGAGCTGCAGATCTTTCAGCGCGAGGCCATGGCCATGGGTCATGTGGGGCAAGGGACTTTATTATCATTGGAAGATGTAAGAAGGAACATGGTTGAGCGGACCAGCCTAGAAACATGGTATCCAGATGTAACCAGTAGATGTATGTAAACATGCACATTTCACCAGCAAAAACTGGGGGATTTTACTTAGCAAAATTTGGATGTAAACGACAAATTCAGGGGTAGAACCATGAACAAATTGATTCTCCTCCTCAACTTAAAAATTGCGGAAACGAACAAACAGGGGGCATGGAACGAACTTAAATCAACAGGAACATGACGCAGGCGTTGGATTCTATGGAGTGGAAACTGGAGCGCTGTGTGTTGGGAGCTCAGCCTTGCTGAAGAAAACTGCCCATGGGGATCTGGATGTAGGCAAGATCCACAAAAATTGGGCAGGTGAGCATTTCAACATTGATAATCACTTGCTCAGGTAAGGCCCAGAGATGTAACCAACAGAGGTAAGCCGGTTTACGTACTATGTAATGGATTGAAATTCATGGATAGGCATGGATAGGCAATGGCCATCGTTCAGCAGCATCAGGTCAAAAAAGAGAAGACATACTTTACCTTCATGGTGAGAATCTCACAACTAGATGTACTCAGACTTAAACCTGTGATTTTAATATCAGATAATATCAGCTTATGGATCAAACATGATCAAACCCCTGATTTTAACAGGTTTTCACATCAGAATAGCTGGTAGTCTGGCTGGTAGTCTGCCTTTAGCTGGATGTTGATCCATTGATCCCTGCATTCCCAGCCTATGGCGAACTGCACCAGGCAATGGCTCCACGGAGCCAATGTGAAACTGGGACTCAACCCCCAGGGCACGCTCTTTTCCACCGACAGGCATTTTTCAGGGATACGGGGTCCGCTTTTGAAAGTGTACCCAACAGAATATGTAATGGTTCATCATGGCATGATTTTCTCATTCAAATGGTCATAATAGGCATATCTAGAGAGAAGTCACACTATCATATGGATAGATTTGGCCATGCAAACCCACCCTTAGCATACCTCAAAATGTTTGTCCCTTGCGGGTTTGAGGATTTCCGCTTCCAAAGCATCACTTTCTGCCAAGTTTGCGAAGATGACGTTGCCATTTTTCCCACGCACAGTTGCTTCAGGAAATTGATAGGATCCTCACTGGATGCTCCGGAAAAATTGGAGCGAAAAAACATGTAAGCATGTAAGAACCATGTTTTCCATTGTTGTCCTCTCATATTTTTCCCCCTCAAAAGTGAACCGGCAACAAGTTCTCTGCGCAGCTCACATCCTGGAGGTTCCGTGAAATGCTGTTCGAAGAGGCGGAGCCCACCACGCCAGGTGACTCGTGATTTGGAACATCGATGCCGTGAAGTTATCTGTGTCTATTGTATAAGACTGTAAGGAGGAGCATATATAAAGAACATATGAGCTGAATAAATTTTGGGCTCTAAAATTCATGCACGTTCTTTTGCTCTCTTCGGTTTTTGAGGAACACCTGTAGCTTCGAGCCTCCACAGTGAGTCGAAACGGCGCAGTCAACCCCGATGCTAAGTGGTGGTGAATCCATTTTGTTCAGCAGAATCTTCTATGACATAGGCGGTATCACCCTTTCAGCATGACTTACAAGGGGGGTCGTGTATTCAAAAATTTGCGCCAAGCTTAATTGGCAACTGGGGAATCTGATGTGGTATGAGTCCCTCATTTCACCACCCTCACCCTTGGTGCCATGCTGGAGGCTCACACCCTCAAAGTGCTCGCACTGCACGAGTACTGAGCCCAGTGGATTCTACCAGCAGATGGCACCAATGCACCACGTAGGAAGTGAATTTGATTCGAATGATTTGGGGGAATCATTTCCTTCTAGAGAGGTATGTATATGAAATCACTTGAACATGGCGGGAAACCATTTCCATCAATCTCTGACTGGGTGAAGGTGTGTTGGAGCACCATTTCGGTGATGAATGAACATTGGAAGAAATATGATGGCAAAGAAACCTGTTGAACGTAGCCGTAGCCCAAAACCTGTCATGCCTTACAGAGCACCATCTGGGGTCAGGTTCGCAGTGGGTCACGGGGAAGGCGCATCATGGGATGCAGCTGCGCCTGGGGTTGGAGCTCTGATTCTCTATGCAGCCTTGGGTCTAAAGGGTCACTGAAAATCGCATCAAGATATGTTCGCTCTCTTTAATCAATGTATCAGGCTTCTGATCTTTCTCCGTATTTGTACCTGACGCCATATTCCTGTGTGGAACACGACGGCATTGCATTTACACCACTGAAAACTGGAATGGAACCCAACATAGATTCTTCCCCTACAAAAATCATGTTCCAACCCCTTTTCATCTTAGGGCTTCCATGTTAGTTCGACCTGAGACGTGATGTTTGCGGGGTATGACGATTCACGTGTCAGCCGTTTTTCACGCTCACCATAGCAGCCATTGTGGCAACCCCTGCAAGAAGCGACGTGAACTCCGGCGGCAGGTCATGACGTTGAAGCTGGGCCTTGGCCAGAACTCATGAAAGCCCTGAGGCACACCAAGTCGAAGTGGAATGGATGAGCGTCAACAAACTTGAGACATTTGATTTTATTGAAAAACAATCGCCCAAGGTCATCAAAACATCAGCTGATCCCATACCATTCTTCCATCTAGCTTCAACAACTTCAGGTTGTCAACAAAGTGTTTGATAAGCTGCACCTTTAAGAACTGTCTCCTCGGATACCAACGCCAGAGGATAACCCCGTCAGCGGGTATCTTCTGGCTGGAGACGCCACTGGCCAGTGATTTGTGTTGGAAACTGGTGAAAATATGTGGGGAACCACAGCAGATAGCCTCAGAATCACTGGTCCAATTCGCGCAACCGCGCGGTTTCAATTCGCCTGTGACCCTCACCACAGCTCTGGCGCTTTAATGTGACACCATGACCTGGTGGACCGCAGCCTTTAAAAAGGACGTCTGCAGACAACATGGTGCGCGTGTGTTGGAATCAGCCACAAAGAAAATCAACAAACCAATGGCTTTTTGGATGGGTCAAAACTACGGCACTCCACACAACTGAGGTGACCTGTGTGTTGCGGGGGGTCGACCTAGGCCCATTTGAAAAGGTGACAAGAAAAACTCATGAGGGGGCAGAGGTGGACCCACTTTTTTAGACTGCAAAGTTGCTTCATCCAGAGATGCCGTCGATTTGGGAGTGAACAGATGTTGCGACCCGGTAGCTTTTCTCAAGGCCATGTGAAGCGTGGTTGAACATTGCCCCACGATGAGATTCGATTTTGCCTACAGCCTCTTCGAGGCCTTGCCAAGAGTATCGACATGGGTTTCACCAAAATTTCATACAAGCCACTTTACTTATTACACTAACCAGGCTTTCTTTGACCCTTCATTGGTTGTCCAAAGCCACAAAAAAGTGAGGGTTTCCTGCTAAAGTGCACACTGTTGGGCAATTTTTTTCGGATATGCATAGTGTATTTGGGGCAACAAACCCTAAATCCACCTTTTTGCACCTACCCAATCCTTCAGCTCTTGACACATTCCAACATTTTTCACCAAGAGAGCCAACTTTTTCAACCAAGAAACACACCAAAGATCAACCCGACCCCCAAGTAAAAAAAGCCAAATCTCTTCAACCATCTCAACATATCTCAACCTTTTTCGCAGCTAAAAACTCCACAATTTCCCAGAGTTTCCCACATTTTTTGCCTCAAAAAACGGGCCAAACGACTTCTCCCCCGATGCCATGCGTTACGTTGGCCTCGCGCTGGCGCTGCTCCGCCTGGCCTTGGCTGAGCGGTTCCTGGCCACGGTCTCCTGGGGAGATCGGCGCCTGGCGGAGGGTGAGTTGCAGGTCCGCGGCTGTGGAAGCCGCGGTATGGATATGGGTATGGATCAATACCTATTAATACCATTTTTAGTGGGATGAACATCCATAAATCCAGCTATGACTTGGGGTTCACTAGGTACCAGGGTTTTGACACACTGCCATATGATTCGATAGGATTCGATATGATGGATATGTGGTAAACTCAATCATATATATTCTGATTATAATTAGGTTCAATTAGCCAATATCTAAGAATAGATCATATTTGCTAGCTTGTTTTAGATATCACCTCCTAGCGGAGAATAAATCATTGACTGTGTGGTCTCCAAGGTAGAAATTGATGTAGAAAGACTAGGTAGGTAAATCTTTGGATGTTGTATGATCTGTGGGGGGTTTGTGAGCTTTCTAGAATGGGGGTTTATTCCTGGGGAATCATCCAATCATGAACGCCTCAGAACCCCTAGTGGAATGAGGGGGTTTGGTCGCTTGGGGTCCTTCAATTAGGGTGGTTTTATTATCAGGGAGGACGGGATAAGCTGCTTGTACATGGGGCCTCCGGCCTCATGTATAATTTATATCCCCAATGAACTCCGCAACCCCCCAGGGACATGGGGCAATCTTGGTGAACTAGCTGACATGCTGAGATTTTGGCACCACGTTTTGGGGTCCATTTTCAGTTGTTTTCGTAGTATCCCAATGTCACAGCCGGTATTGTGGGTCTATCCACTTTTTCTCTAATCTCGCAATTTAATAGCAGCCATTATTGTGGATCTCTTCCCATAGCTGTTGACTTTATAATTGTTGATGGTGTTCCCATATAAAATATTCCGATTAAACATATCGAGTAACATCCATTCATATTCTTCAATATCCATCATACAATAGATATACAATAGATATTGCCTAATATTCCACTAACATTTCCATTAGTATCCAGCATACAATACGCATCATGTCATCCATCTCATCCATCTCCACCCCAAGGCTCCGCCCTGTGAGGTGACCATCCGCCTGTCCACGGAGACGTGGCGCTTGCGGCTGCGAAAGAACTGCGGCCTGGTGGCCAGTGGTGCCCATGTGCTGCACGGCCTGGAAGGCACCACGCTGGGGCCAGGAGCTGGGAGCTGGGATGGGGGATCCTTAACGGGGGCCGAAATGGAGGTTGGTGGTTTGAGGATTTTTGGTAGTTGAAAGATGTTGGAAGATGTTGACAGTGATTTGATTCTGGCCCTGATTTTTGTTGTCCTGCATTAATTGTCAATGTGCACAAGCACAATGTCGGTTGGGAATGAGGACCGGCCGAGCATTGCTTCTACCTGGGCGAGTTGGAAGGAGCCACTGGAGCCACCGGAGCCACTGGAGCTTTGGCTCACCTCACTGCGAGCATCTCTACCTGCAACGGGCAGCTCTCGGGGATGTTGATCCAGGGCAACCGAACCTTTCTGCTGGAAGCGGAGGGCCAGGACATCCCTGGGATGATAGGTTTTCCACACGTGTCCCTTTCCCTGAAGAAATCTGAGTTCACCATGGGTCCTCACCTTGAGCTATTTTGGGTTCCTCCCTTTTTTTGAGGGTTTGAGGGATGAAAGTAATAGGCAGTCGGTATCAATGCATATGGGGACCACAATTCCTGAATTTCAGCAACAGAAATGCAGAAGTTGACAGACATGGGAATTTCACCCACCCCAAAAAAATTGACATCTTTATCACCAAAATCATCCAACCACTTGGAATTTCTCTTGTTTCCCAGGACTACTGGCTCCGCGACTTGGACCAGAGCCCCCTGCAGCTGCAGCATGAAGTGCTGCGCTTCGCGACGGGCAGAGTGGTCCAAGGCGCGGAGACGCCAACGCGCCGCCTGGCAGCGGCGACGAAGTACATCGAAGTGTCACTGGATGATAATAATGGTGGTTAATAGTGTTTAATAATGGTTCATAGTGGTTAATATCCTCTGTTAATAGTGGTTAATAGTGTTTAATAATGATTCAATTAATGGTGATTAATGATGATTAATGGTGATTTACCCTCTGGTTATGTCAAAATAGCTATTGAAATTGGCCATAGAAATAGTATTTATAGTGAGTTTTCCCACTAAACATGGTGATTTTCAATAGCTATGTTGAATTCCCAGAGGGTATGAAATGATGGCAGAACATGGGCTAAAATTGGAATAAACATGGCGCAACATGCAACCACATGTTTTTTTTTAATGGAATGTATATACGCCAATGAAGATAGTAAATATTTGGGCTCGTGGCTGGTGGTTTCAATTTTTGTCACCCTTTTCCAGCCCCCAGATTGACGGCTGCATTTTTGTGCTGGGGCTCAGGTTAGTGGTCAATGACTTCGAACGCTACACCGCTTTTGGTGGCCAAGCCGGATTGGCTCAGTTGGCCACTCACACGGTGTCGGTGCTCAACACGGTGACGGGCATCTATCGCGCAGCACCAACCAATGGAGCGGTCTTCCCCTACACGGTGACTTGTTGAGCTGTTGGAGTTGGGTGTTGGGGTGTGGTTGTCATTGGCTGTTCTCATTGGTTGGTGCCTACTCAAAACACAAAATGACTCGTCTCTTGTCAATATCGAGTCTGAAACACAGTTTTGGATTCATCATTTCAAATAAGACTGGCCAATGCAACAAATTAAACTGAGCTGGTTGATGCTTCAAAAGGATTTTTCCTATAGAATCCGTCCCCATCACCGGGCATAATCTGCCTGCGCCCAGGTGCAGGTGGTTCTGGTGGCACAGCATACCTTCGTCACCAGCGATCCCTGGACTGCCACCATGGTCGGCTCTGAGGTGGCGGAAGATTCCCTGCTGGAGGTGGGGAGGACGACTGGTTTTGGTGGGTTCTGGTGAAATACAGCTAAGCTAGGTCAGCTGGAAAATCCTCCATCTGCCTAGATTTTTTCACAAAGAATTGGGGTTCCCCATTGAAAGGTTAGATTGGCAGAGGGTATGTACCATGCACCTGCACCAGAGACTGAGATGAAGTTCGGGAAATTGCTGGAATCCACCGTTTCTTTGATGTTTTTTCCCCAGATAGCTGGCAAGCTATAGGGGTTCTTACTTCTCAAAGGTGGGGTCTTCGGTGGCGAACTTTTGAGCAGGGTGCTGTGCAGGGTGCTGTGCAGGGTGCTGTGCAGGGTGCTGTACTAGTGCGGTGGCGAAGTCTGGCAAAGGTGCTGTGCAGGGTGCTGTGCAGGACGCTGTCCAGACTGCGGTGGCGAAGTCTGGCAAAGGTGTTGTGCAGGGTGCTGTGCAAGGTGCTGTCCAGACTGCGGTGGCGAAGTCTGGCAAAGGTGCTGTGCAGGGTGCTGTGCATGGTGCTGTCCAGACTGCGGTGGCGAAGTCTGGCAAAAAGGTGCTGTGCAGGGTGCTGTGCAGGGTGCTGTGCAGGGTGCTGTGCAGGGTGCTGTGCAGGGTGCTGTGCAGACTGCGGTGGCGAAGTCTGGCAAAGGTGCTGTGCAGGGTGCTGTGCAGGGGCTGTGCACGGTGTTGTCCAGACTGCGGTGGCGAAGTCTGGCAAAGGTGCTGTGCAGGGTGCTGTCAGGGTGCTCTGCAGGGTGTTGTCCAGAGTGCGGTGGGGCAAAGGTGCTGTGCAGGGTGCTGTGCAGGGTGCTGTGCAGGGTGCAGGGTGCTGTGCAGGGCTGTCCAGACTGCGGTGGCGAAGTCTAGCAAAGGTGCTGTGCAGGGTGCTGTGCAGGGTGCTGTCCAGACTGCGGTGGCGAAGTCTGGCAAAGGTGCTGTGCAGGGTGCTGTGCAGGTGCTGTCAGACTGCGGTGGCGAAGTCTGGCAGGGTGCTGTGCAGGGTGCTGTGCAGGGTGCTGTGCAGGGTGCTGTGCAGGGTGCTGTGCAGGGTGCTGTGCAGGGTGCTGTGCAGAGACTGCGGTGGCGAAGTCTGGCAAAGGTGCTGTGCAGGGTGCTGTGCAGGGTGCTGTGCAGGGTGCCAGAGTGCGGTGGCGAAGTCTCACAAAGGCGCTGCTGTGCAGGGTGCTGTCCAGACTGCTGTCGCGAAGTCTGGTAAACTGTTCAGGGTGCTGTGCAGGGTGCTGTCCAGACTGCGGTGGCGAAGTCTGGCAAGGTGCTGTGCAGGGTGCTGTGCAGGGTGTTGTCCAGACTGCGGTGGCGAAGTCTGGCAAGGTGCTGTGCAGGGTGCTGTGCAGGTTGCTGTGCAGGGTGTTGTCCAGACTGCGGTGGCGAAGTCTGGCAAAGGTGCTGTGCAGGGTGCTGTGCAGGGTGCTGTGCAGGGTGCTGTGTGCAGGGTGCTGTGCAGTGCTGTGTGCAGGGTGCTGTGCAGGGTGCTGTGCAGGGTGCTGTGCAGGGTGCTGTCCAGACTGCGGTGGCGAAGTCTGGCAAAGGTGCGCTATCCAGACTGCGGTGGCGAAGTCTCGCAAAGGTGCTGTGCAGGGTGGTGTGAAGGGTGCTGTGAAGTGCTGTGCAGGGTGCTTTGCAGCGTGCTGTGCTTTGGTTCCCACGTTGGGAACCATCAGTTCCAACCTCTGGTAACCGGCAGTTTCTTGCAATGGTAACCTATGGTTCCCAGGTTGGGAACCAGGAGTTCCAACCTCTGGGAACCGGCAGTTCCTTGCAATGGTAACCTGTGGTTCCCACGTTGGCAACCGTGAGTTCCAACCTTTGGAAACCGGCAGTTCCTTGCCATGAACCAAACGCAAACATTCCGGTACCGGTCCATTAAGCAAAACAAAGCGTTCTTTACCGGTCCATTAAGCAAAACCATAAAGTTGTAAAGAAACTGTTTTCATATCATTTTGACATGCACCTTTTTCGTGCAAAAACATTTTTATGCCGCCCCAGCAGCTGAACGCAAACATTCCGCTACCGGTCCATTAAGCAAAACAAAAGGTTCTGTTACCGGCTCAGTGAACGAAACAAAACAACATTAAGCACCATGAGTTCTAACTGTTTGCAATCAACAGGTCCTTCCACTGGTAACGTTACTTTTTCAGGCTTGGAACCATGAGTTTCAAGCTATGGGAACCCGCAGTTCCTTACAATGATAGCCGCTTAGCTTCGAAAACATAAATTCTAATTTCTGGGAACCGGCAATTCCTTGCAATGGTAACCTCTGGTTCCCAGGTTGGGAGCCGTAAGATTCAAGGTCTGGGAACCGGCAGTTCCTTGCCATAGTAACCTTTGGTTCCCACGTTGCGTTGGGAACCATCAGTTCCAACCTTTAAGAACTGGAAGTTCTTTGCAATGGTAACCTATGGTTCCCAGGTTGGGAACCATGACTTCTAACCTGTGGGAACCGGCAGTTCCTTGCAATGGTAACCTGTGGTTCCCACGTTGGCAAGCGTGAGTTCCAACCTTTGGGACCCGGCAGTTCCTTGCCATGAACCAAACGCAAACATTCTGGTACCGGTCCATTAAGCAAAACAAAGCGTTCTTTACCGGTCCATTAAGCAAAACCATAAAGTTGTAAAGAAAATGTTTTCCTATCATTTTAACATGCACCTTTTTCGTGCAAAAACATTTTTTTGCCGGCCCAGCAGCCGAACGCAAACATTCCGCTACCGGTCCATTAAGCAAAACAAAAGGTTCTGTTACCGGCTCAGTAAACAAAGCAAAACAACATTAAGAACCATGAGTTCAAACTTTTTGGAATCAACAGATCCTTCCACTGGTAACGTATGCTTGTTCAGGTTTGGAACCATGAGTTTCAAGCTTTCGCAACTGGCAATTCCTTACAATGATAGTTGCTTAGCTGTGAAAACATAAGTTCTAACCTCTGGGAACCGGCAATTCCTTGCAATGGGAACCTCTGGTTCCCAGGTTGGGAAGCATGAGTTCCAACCTCTGGTAACCGGCAGTTTCTTGCAATGGTAACCCATGGTTCCCAGGTTGGGAACCAGGAGTTCCAACCTCTGGGAACCGGCAGTTCCTTGCCATGGTAACCTTTGGTTCCCACGTTGGCAACCTTGAGTTCCAACCTTTGGAAACCGGCAGTTCCTTGCCATGAACCAAACGCAAACATTCCGGTACCGGTCCATCAAGCAAAACAAAAGGTTCTGTTACCGGCTCAGTAAACAAAACAAAACAACATTAAGAACCATGAGTTCTAACTTTTTGCAATCAACAGATCCTTCCACTGGTAACGTTACTTTTTCAGGTTTGGAACCATGAGTTTCAAACTTTGGGAACCCGCAGTTCCTTACAATGATTGCCCCTTAGCTTCGAACACATAAATTCTAACTTCTGGGAACCGGCAATTCCTTGCAATGGGAACCTCTGGTTCCCAGGTTGGGAACCGTAAGTTTAAGGTCTGGGAACCGGCAGTTCCTTGCCATGGTAACCTTTGGTTCCCACGTTGGGAACCATCAGTTCCAACCTTTAGGAATTGGAAGTTCTTTGCAATGGTAACCTATGGTTCCCAGGTTGGGAAGCATGAGTTCCAACCTCTGGTAACCGGCAGTTGCTTGCAATGGTAACCTCTGGTTCCCAGGTTGGGAACCAGGAGTTCCAACCTCTGGGAACCGGAAGTTCCTTGCAATGGTAACCTGTGGTTCCCACGTTGGCAACCGTGAGTTCCAACCTTTGGGAACCGGCAGTTCCTTGCCATGAACCAAACGCAAACATTCCGGTACCGGTCCATTAAGCAAAACAAAGCGTTCTGTACCGGTCCATTAAGCAAAACCATAAAGTTGTAAAGAAAATGTTTTCCTATCATTTTAACATGCACCTTTTTCGTGCAAAAACATTTTTATGCCGGCCCAGCAGCCGAACGCAAACATTCCGCTACCGGTCCATTAAGCAAAACAAAAGGTTCTGTTGCCGGCTCAGTAAACAAAACAAAACAACATTAAGAACCATGAGTTTTAACTTTTTGCAATCAACAGATCCTTCCACTGGTAACGTTACTTTTGCAGTCTTGGAACCATGAGTTTCAAGCTATGGGAACCCGCAGTTCCTTACAATGATAGCCGCTTAGCTTCGAACACATAAATTCCAACTTCTGGGAACCGGCAATTCCTTGCAATAGTAACCTCTGGTTCCCAGGTTGGGAACCGTAAGTTTCAAGGTCTGGGAACCGACAGTTCCTTGCCATGGTAACCTTTGGTTCCCACGTTCGGAACCATCAGTTCCAACCTTGAGGAATTGGAAGTTCTTTGCAATGGTAACCTATGGTTCCCAGGTTGGGAAGCATGAGTTCCAACCGCTGGGAGCCGTCAGTTGCTTGCAATGGTAACCTCTGGTTCCCAGGTGGGAACCGGCAGTTTCTTGCAATGGTAACCCATGGTTCCCAGGTTGGGAACCAGGAGTTCCAACTTCTGGGAACCGGCAGTTCCTTGCAATGGTAACCTGTGGTTCCCAGGTTGGCAACAGTGAGTTCCAACCTTTGGGAACCGGCAGTTCCTTGCCATGAACCAAACGCAAACATTCCGGTACCGGTCCATTAAGCAAAACAAAGCGTTCTTTACCGGCCCATTAAGCAAAAACCAAAAAATTGTAAAGAAACTGTTTTCATATCATTTTGACATGCACCTTTTTCGTGCAAAAACATTTTTAAGCCGGCCCAGCAGCCGAACGCACACATTCCGCTACCGGTCCATTAAGCAAAACAAAAGGTTCTGTTACCGGCTCAGTAAACAAAACAAAACAACATTAAGAACCACGAGCTTTAATTTTTTGGAATCAACAGATCCTTCCACTGGTAACATATGCTTTTTCAGGTTTGGAACCATGAGTTTCAAACTTTGGGAATCTGCAGTTCCTTACAATGATAGTTGCTTAGCTTCGAAAACATAAATTCTAACTTCTGGGAACCGGCAATTCCTTGCAATGGTAACCTCTGGTTCCCAGGTTGGGAACCGTAAGTGTCAAGGTCTGGGAATCGGCAGTTCCTTGCCATGGTAACCTTTGGTTCCCACGTTGGGAACCATCAGTTCCAACCTTTTCTATCTGGGGTCTATGCCGGTGTAATTTTTTTGATCCCAAAGCTCTGTTGCATTGTGATGACTTCGTCAGGCCTTTCTCACATGGAGTGCGGCCGAAATGGCAGCAGGGAAGCTTCCTGAGAACGACAATCGATTGCTCCTCGGTCGATTTATGGTAGGTTTGTACCAGCCAATATGATATGAGGGTTCACCTGGATTGTCCATCAAACACTGAGAACAACACAGTCTGTCATGTGTTGGCTGTATCAAATATTTCTTTATTTCCCATCCCTAGGTATAGGATGATTTTCCGGAATTGACGAGGATGCTTTGGGTATGGATTGAAACTAGCAATGAACAGAACTTTGATTCATATCCACCTGAAAAAAATGGGTGCTGACCAGCCGGCGAGGTTGCTCAGTGGAAGAGATTTCGTGGCTTCCACTGTGGGCTATGCCCCGCTGTCCTCCATGTGTGATGTTTCACGCTCAGGCGCGGCAGCAAGCTGAGGGCCCATTGCCCAATGGCTGGTCATTAGCCCTCGGGAATGACTCGCCGAGCATGGCTGGTACATGGTTCCCACTTGAATTGTAGGCACCTGTAGCAATTGTAGATGGTTGACGCCCCAACTTGAACTGGTGGGGAAATATGTTTTTGGCATGTTTGGAGAGTTTGAATCCCGAATTTCCTGGCAAAAACTGGCAGGTTCCATCAACATGTGTGGCGCCAGCAACCAAGCGATCGCCGATTGCGCGGCGACAGTGGCGCATGAGATGGGACACAACTTTGGTATGGCCCACGACTCTGGGAGCTGTCCGTAGCTGGGTTTAGATATGATCACTGAGCCAAGGGTGAAACATCCCCTTCTTGATTCTTGCTGCGCGTACTGCCGGTAGGTAGACAGCCCCGAGACCCATGAGCATCCAGAAGATGGACTTCAAGAAAACTCAGTTTCTTGAGATCAGCTACCATTTCAACTTGAGATTCCATCTCTCCTCTGAATCATCAATCATCATCCTCCATCATCCACCATCTTCCGCCCATGAAGCCAAGTTCAGAGTGGTTTTACCCCAGGTTTTCCATGGTTTTTGCCCATGAAACCATTGGCATCCCATGGTGGAACCCCATAGCCGAACCAGGCAGTCCGGCTACGTCATGGCGGCCGTGAGCCAGGGCCAGGCGGCGGAGCAGTTCACCAGCTGCAGCGTGGCAGATCTCAGCAGATTCTTCCAGGAGGTCTATGCCAAGAGCCCTGGCGGGTTCCTCCAAGGGTTCCCTCAGTTTCTGAGTATCTGAATGTGATAATTGTTGCTGGTATATAATAGATATAGTTGGACAATTGGGTATACGGATGTATACGGCATATTGCATGATAAAACGGGAATTCAATAGTGCAATAGTTCTGGCACCCTCCATTTTGGGGATCATTTACCAGGGTACTGTTGGGTTGGCAATGGGAAAACACTTGTGACATGAAAATACAAAGTCCTGCAATAAATCCAACTACTGTATATAGTCCCTTTTGATCACTTTTGTCTCATCGGCCTTTGGATGGCGGTGGGCTGGAGTCGATCGAAGGTAACCTTTAGGTCTGCACCTCCCTTGGTGAAAGGAAACCAGCCCGAACCCAGACACCCTGCAATGCTGAGTCTTGCGGTCCCGAATGGTCGAGTTTCAGACAGATCAAAATCCCAGATCCACCGATGCAATTCCCTTTCCACTGCCAGTGACTGATCCCCAAGTCACCAAGGAACGGTGAATGCCTGGGAAACAAACCCTCTCGGGTTTTTGGAGATCCTGTGTGCGGCAACGGGTTTCGAGAAGACGGGGAAGATTGCGACTGCGGTTCCAGCGACTGTTCTGTCATCGACCCTTGTTGTGATGGCGCATCCTGCAAGTCTCTTAGAGAAAATTAAAGAAACAGAGATGAGAAACGGGCTCGAAATCTGGGATCCCGGAACATCAATGGATTCCTGATAGAATTTCTGTGTCATGGGGCGGGGCCATCAATCTGGAGATGAGGCAAAGAAGGGCTGCAGGGTCAAAAGTAAGCACCACAAACATGGGTGCCTAGATTTCTCAACATCTTTAGCATACTTGTCAGTTATTGTTTTTGTGGTCACTGTGTTACCAGAGTAGCATGGTTTCTATACACGTTCTGTTGGATTTACGTGTGCGGCAACCGTGTAGCAGTCAAAGTTTTCAACCTCCCAAGTTGTGGCTAACTTCAACATCGACCAATCCCAATCCAGGGTGGTGGGGGGCAAAGGGATTCAGGGGCAGAAAATCAAGTGGGAAAATGGTTTGGTTCTGCTCCAGCCTCTGTAAACTAATGCCAGCCTTGTTGACCTTAACAGGTTATCTCTCTAGCTGTGTGGTGTGTCCATGATGCTGTCCACCAATAAATGGGCTGCCACGCATTCTAGATGGACTATGGACTAGTTCACCACAGGCGCGAATGTGTTGCCCACCAACTTCCTTGGTTCTACAATATGTCAATGAATTTCCATGATTGTTGGTTTTATTCTACTTTGTGTGTTGTTTTGTTTGTTTTGTACCCATCATTCAGCAGTACTCAGTGGAATGATTTATGAATTATGATTACCCGTTTGCATTTTTTGGGTAGAAAAACGCATACCACCTGCGGAGACTGGGAAATCCAAAGTGCCATGAAGTTAGAACGCGACCCTCGAAAGACTTTGGACTGGGATGAAGATGATTCTCCAGTCCCGATGTGAAGGGATCATCGCAATTCTGTGGATTGACATGTATCAACTACTCCAGTGAAAGATCGAGTGGAACCACCCAAAATTTGACGCAGACTTCCCAAATATTGCAAACGAAGCACTTCAAGAAATAATTTGGATGATAGAATGATAGACCATAGTAATCCACATTTTCATACCTTTTCCAGGTTTCCAGTGCCGGCCCAGGTTCGCAGATGCCAGCTACCACTGCAGCGATGCGATGAGTCCCTGCTGCTCCAGCTGTCGCAACGTCACGCAGGAGGCGCAGCGCGGGTGTCGCGCCGCGAAGAGCTCCTGCGACCGGGCGGAGCTGTGCCCCGGGGGCACCGCGGAGTGTCCCAGGGATGAGCCGCTTGGAGCTGGTGGGGATGGGGAGGTTGGGAATTCCAACAGAAATAACCTGGGATGGTATGTTGAAGGAAAAAGAAGGGTGATGTGAAGTAGGAATGCTGAATCAACTTAAAAGATGTGGGATATTTACCAACAAACATGGTGAATGTCTCCAACCCTGATGGTGATGTAAGCGATCAACATGAAGATACGAAGTTCTAGGTGTGCAAAAGTGGGAAAGAGCCCAACCACATCAAAATGGGGCAATTACTCTCGTGCAATGGTGGATGGTGCGGTCCCGTAATTAGGAGACATCAGAGTTTTTCTGCAGATGAACACCCACAAAAAATCTCAGGATTACCCTCTGGTAATTTGTTACATAGCTATTGAAAATGGTGATTTATAGTGGATTTTCCCATTAAAAATGGTGATTTTCCATAGTCACTAGGAGCTTCCCCAAACTGAAACGTATCCATCCAGACCCCACTGACTCGCATGCTCAGGTACTTCTATCCTGGTGACACGTGCACCCTGACGCACAACGGCAAGAGCTATTCTGGGCTTTGTGCCATGGGGAGTTGTCATTCCATGGAATACACCTGTGCCGTCGATGTGACCCGAGACTTCTCAGGAGTGCTGAGACGGGCCTGCTGATATGCTAAAAACATGGAGAGGATCCCCTGTTTAAGTAGCAGGGCAACTGCAGCACACGCAACAAGAACAAGAAGAGTGAAAGAAGGACCATCATTTGTGAAGATCAATAACACCAGGAAGAAACAAAAGGATGAGTAGAGCCTACTCCAGTTCTCTGGCAGAAACGATGCTGGTCAGGAACCTGGGACCTGTCAGATCCCTGTGCGGGCTTCAATGACGACTGCCAGACGGCTGCTTGGTTGATTTTCTTCGGGCTGTACCGCAGAGGCCTCCAAATGTTCAGATTTAGCTGGGATGCAAGGACTGAAAAAGTGAGATCGAACCAAAATCACGGGCGGTTATTGTGTGCTACACGTGATACTAGACACCAGTGATGCAGTGATGCTTTGATCATTTTCAGCCTTGGACATCTGGCCGATTGCGGATTTGACCGGCCTGAGAGGGAATTTGTATAGTGCTTCACACTCATTCACGAGCCCTTAGGAACTGGTTCTGCTACTGTAGCATCCCCGAATCGGTGGGAAACACCCAAGATTCGATCGCCCAAGATTCGATCGTTTTACCATAGTCAACATTTTTTCCACTTGAACGTATATATTGTACCAGTATGTGCCAGTGACACCACTGGCTCTCTGCTCAGTTGCTCAGGTCCTTGAATTGGTTGGGCTAATTCGATCACTTCTAAGAACTTCTAAGGTTTCTGATAGAAAAGGGTGCTGCCCTGTAAATGCATTCCATCCAACCAATTACTTAGGTGGTCTGTCACGATGCCAGCTTTTCTTCTGCCACTGAATGCGCGCAACGCTTCAGTGTGCATGGCATCCACATGCCGGTTCCAGACGGAACACCCTGCTGGCATCCCAGTGAGCCCAGTGGGCAAAGGACGGGAGCAGAGAGATGTGGGTGTTTTAAACATGTGAACACATTCACCATGACCAACCCTTGCAGTTCAAGCAGGTTTCTGATGCCCAGTAAGCAATAAATAGATCGAAGCCCAACACACAGTAAACTCCTAGACTCTCCTAGACATGCACTTGAGGGTAAAGCTATGTCCCATGAAAACACATATCTGGTTGCGAAGACCTTGCTTTTCCGGGTATACTTATCCTCATTCTTCCCATCGAATGACAGGAGAACACACATCTGGCAGGATCTCATCCACTTCCTACCATTTCAAATATTTTAAAATCATTTATATAGTGCATCCTTTCCCGAAGAATATAGATATGATTTGTCAAATTTGTTAATGGTGATAAAAACATCATTGCAGGTTTCACCATTTTGTGTCCATTCCGAACGTTCCCTTCCCGATGGAGGACCGGCATGTGCTTCCAGGGGCGCTGCCAGCGACCCGAAAGCTTGGCTGTGGTGGCACTCTGCGGCAATGGTGGCATCGACTATGGTGAGGCCGCGGGAGTGACCGCATGGCGTATGGATTTGTCCAGAAGTGGGGGGGATGGGACGGCCCAATTGACGGCAATTTGTTAATCTTCAAGTTCCCAGAACTGAAGAATTATTTTACACGGAAATAAACCGCTTCACTTTAGATTTTAGCCAGTACAAGACAATTTCCAGAGATTGGTTCCCATACTCAATAGAGTTTCCAAACCTGGCTGTCGATGGCCTGTGGCCTATCCGGTGGGAGCCCCGCATCCAGGTTGTTTGCACGATCAAGCAACACATCAAACAGTGGTTGCCCCCACAATGATACAATGACAAGATATGCATCTCGAATCTTTCCATCAGCACTGTTGGCATCACCATCCCTCAACTCCCTATTTCTGGTGTTTATGCTGCTATTACGTCCTGTCTCCACCCCCTCAGGAGTGTGATTGCGGCAAATCTGCCGACCCCTGTTGCGACTGCAGCACTTGCAGCCTGTTGAACAGCAGCCGTTGCTCGGCCCTGGACGCCTGCTGCGACGCCAGCACCTGCAGCCTGAAGGCCGCGGGCGTGGCGTGCCGCGCGGCGACCTCCAGCTGCGACCGGCCGGAGCGGTGTAGCGGCAATTCACCACTCTGCCCGGTGGATGAAGGGGAACCCTGGGGCACGCCCTGCATGGCGACAGATGGCACGGCCTCCACGTGTTATGGGAAGGTTTGCTTGCCAAGTTGCGAGATGCAATTCAGCGAACGCTTTTCTTGTCATTTCCGAGCTGTGAGGTTATTTTAATCTTGTTCTGACATTTTCTGACTATTTCCTATTGATTTGGATGTTGTATTTTTTGTCAGGCTTATGACCCAACTGTCCAGTGACCCAGGTTTAGATGAGCAATGCAAGGACAAGACCGGTGGTCAGAAACCGGTGGCCCAACGGAATCTCACCACCGGAGTGGCGAGGGAGTTCAGCGAGCATGGCTGTACTGGACCATGGTGCTGCAGCGCCTGCAATCAGCTGCTTGCTGAACGGAGTTGAACGGGTGTCAGCAATGGGATACCACCAACAGCCACCAACAAACAATGGTGACCTTAGTGACATGGGGAGAATAGAATGTATCTAAACTAAACCTAAACTGTTGAAGTTTATGTTTGTTTCACATTTGCAGGTTTTAAGAAGCATTTGTATTGATGGCTAAATCTTTGTGGGTTTGCAGAAAGGTGACGCTTATAGAGTAAATTTAGGATAAGATAATAAGATGATATAAGATGGCAAAGGATAGTATAAGATAATGCGATAACGATATAATTTATTAATATAAGGAGGCCTGTATTACGTGGCCATGGGCACTGCTGGGTGTCAGCTGGGTAGGTCCAGCTGTTCCCCAACGATGGCTGCACCAGCTACTGTCATCGAAAAAAGGCTGAGGATGGCTGAGGCTTCTGAAGGGTTTCTCATTGTCTGGACCCGTATGGAGTGAAGGTTGTTTGATACAAGAGACACACCTTGATCAAGAGCCCGGTGCTTTCACAAAGGGCAGGGACACCCAAGAATCCACCCAAAGGGGGACATATGAGCAGGAAAAACCAAGGTCAAATGATGTCAGAAAGGGTGAGAAACACAGGTTTGGCTGGGAGCAAACACTATTGATACTTGAAGTGGCAGCCTTTTTGAGTCTCAAAAGAAACCATGGAAGGAAGGTCATCCGCAGACCCATATCCTCAACCTGATCTTGCCCCTGCTGCAGCTTGTTGAGGCTGATTTTCTCCCAATCTTTAGAAAGAAAAACTCAACAGTTAAGGGTCGCGTAAGCGTCTTATAGCGTAAGGTAGGCGGTGCGTAAGCCCAAGCATAAGTGGCAAAGCAAATAGGTTTTAGCGCCGCTCAACTGTGTGCTTTCCTGAGGCTGGATGGAGAATACTCTGTCAATGGGCTCCGCGTTCTGAACCCCGTGATGTGCACGCAATGTTCTTGGAGTGAAGTCTCCTCCACCTTCACCGTCAACGGTGTGAGCAAAAAGATTTATCTTGGTGCAGCTGTGGATGGAACGAAGCTGGCCGATCCATCCAAGTAACTCAACTCTGTTTTGAGCAGCTTTGGGATTTGTCTGTGAGATGGGAAGCTATTATAGACTAAGTACTAAGTTCTGGTTAGCGCCACATATTTCTACTATGCTGCATTGTTGCATCACACCCACATTCATCCCTCCTCCCACTTTCCTCGAGGATCTGCCTGAGGGCTGAAGCCATCAGCCCCTCCAGCAGCTGTGGAGCCGACGAGTTTCTGGAGCTGTCGGTGGGGCGCTGCCTGCCCTGCGACAAGTCCTGCAGCGGTTGCTACGGCGCCACGGCCCTGGACTGCGCCTGCTGCCGCTTTGGCGTTCGCGATGGGCGCGGGATGTGTCCTATGTCCTTGGACGAGAATGGGGAAGCGATAGCCTGCACCTTCAGAAGCACAACCGAGGCTGGGAGTTCTGGAGGGGGTGGTGGAAAAGGCTTGAAGAATCTTGAAGAGGGCTCACTGTGATAAGACCAGCAAAACGAGAAGATTTGTATGGATTTGTGACGTACAGTAATGAGTTGCTTGCCTAGAGACAAGCCTACTGGACGGAATTTCCGAACAGATCAACCCAAGTTTGCACCATTTTCGGGGCGAGTCTGTGGGACACGCTTTCTTTTGGGAGTCGGCGAATCTCCAAAGCAATCCAATGAACACCCTGAAAGGCGGATCCTACTGGTTCCTCAGATCCGATTGGCTCAGTAAATCAATGTATTTCTGGGCGCTTCCCAGCAGTTCTGGTGCTGCTGGTGCTGTACTTGGCACCTGGAAGGTTGATGTAGTGCGCTGCGGTGCGTCTTAGAGTCTCTGGGGACTGCCCCTCAGAAAAAATGCAATCTCTTCATTCACGCTATTTCCTCTAGCGGCTTCTGTGCCATCAACGGCATGGATGAAGTTCATCGGTTTGCCAGAGGCAAACTTCAACTGAGTTCCCATTGTGTCGGCAATTTCAGCCGTTGAGTCGTTGTCTTGGGTCAGCGCAAAATGTGCAGACGAGATTCAGAATCGAGAGGAAGAAAAGGGACTGCTCCTTCATCACTTCCAGTATTATTATATAGACCTGACGTGAACTTCTCACATGGGAATTGAGTATCCATGAGCACACATCGTTACTGGGAGAATCATGTCTCGAAGACCATCCTTTTTTTTTTGAACAGCGCCAACCATTTTTGCAATTTTCTCCCATCATTGAAATGCTTCTTCCAATTTACAATGGCTCACTAAAGGCGTTCAGTTCATCTCTCCTGTAGATGGCACACGTATCACACGTATAAATATTATAAATGACTAACAAAAGGAGATAAATGCAATAAACAGGGGGATGGAAGAAACAATGATCAATGAGTTTAACCAAGAGGAACGGTATGTGCAGGGTGCCTCAAGCGTGGGCTTTCCCTACCGAGATAAACGTATTTGAGGGGCGCATATGGATTTTGAATTCCCACGGCATCCTTTGTGTGTGAGACCATAATCGAATTTTATATTTAATACTCTATTTGATTTGGTAATATTTGGTATTATTTGATCATGTCTTTTGTTTTTTCTCGTGATGATGCGGTTTCTAACACAGTGAGCAGACCTGTGGTGGCGAGGAAACTGGGTTTGGCAACACATCTAGAGCAAAATGAAGGGTGAATCAGAAGTGTAGATGTGACTATCTCCGGATCAGGTTGAGATCAGAACCCCGGTAGTCACCCACTAATTGGGATCGCCCCGCCTTGGGGAGCAGTACTCACCAGGGTTGCGAACCAGTTACATTTGAAGGCTGGTTGTCCAAGCGTGTCACAATCAAGTTTTTGGATCACAGGTGATCACGGGTGGGCCAAAGATTGCGTCGAATTGGGGGTTCATGAGTTGTGTCTCGCTATCATAATCGACATTTCTTTTTTTCAAGTCTCGATATTTCACACCCAGATTCGTAAGAACACTTCAAGTGATGAATCTCTCTCATTCATCCCACTGCGAGCGTAAAAGATAATAAAAGGACTATCCTCAAGAGCATCAAGAATGGAGCCGAATTGCATATAGTTCTCATATGCATCACGTCAAGCCATGGCAATCTTTTGGCTGCAGCTTCTGATTTTGCCAACAGCAGCACAAGTCGTCCACCAGTGGACGCGCCAACGCGGTGGTGGGGGATATGATGAGGCTTATTCCCTTCAGGTGGGCGGAAGCGTGGAACAAAACTTTGAGTCATCTGGATTGACAGGGCAGTTTGGAGTTCATTTGTCTTCTGAGCCATGAAGTTTGAGTAAGCCGATAGATTGCCATCATGTCAATCATGTCTTGATCTCATGAAACCGTAATGGCTTGCAAGCTGAGACATTGCTAGCAGAGCCACTTTCGAACAATTCCAAACCACGCCCTGCGAGAACTGACCTGCGCTGGTTGGTTCCGTTCGGCAAATGTGTACATGCATGTTCTAGGTTATATAAAGGTTCAAACTGTTGAGCATTGGTCATTTAGGATCATTTAGGTGGTTTCACGATTTAGTCATAAGATATGATTAGGTCTGATGACATCTATTGAGAATCTATGTCCGGACTGAAACAAACATTGCAGATGAGCAGACCGCCCTTGTCTGAGTTGAAACTGTTTGAGTTAAATTGGTCTCGTCCTGATACCGCGGGGCATGCAGTTGTCAATTTTGTGTCATCTTTCAAGCTTGGTTTCACTTTTTTCCCAGTCCTTCGCCTCATTATCCGGTCGTTTTTTTTGGATTTCTTTGACTTTCCACACGCATCTGCGGCGCACTGCAAAGCCCAGCAGACCAGTTGGCGCAGGTGGACGACGTTGGAAATGCCTGGGTGGCAGGCGAAACGTGGAGCTCCCTGGATGGGCACACCAACGCGGGCGGATTTGACGTCTTCCTCATGAAATTCGACGCCCAGGGCGTGCACCAGTGGACGCGCCAGCGCGGTGGTGGGGAATATGACCACGCAACGGGCCTGCAGGCGGATTGGGTGCGACGTTGTTTTTCTTGCGATATCTTGTGACATTTTCCACAGAGCAAAGCTTCAGAACTCTTTCGGGGGTCGATGTTCCGAGTCATGACCATTTACATGGATCAATCTCTTGGGTGACTTTACAAGGGCTGATATCCCGTATCTCGCAAGTGTCTCATGGAAGTCTGAGCGATGAATTTAGACTAAATCGACAGAGTGGGATCATGCTTTGAATGCTTGGAACTTGGAACTCATAAAAGCACTAGATGCTGTACTTTATACTATGTACAAGTTTCTGCTAGAGCGTTGTCATGCCAGGAAAGATCGGACACTTGAGACATCTTGAGACCACTTTGTATGTGTTGATATATATGGGAGTTGATTTGAGATTTCTTGGTTCAAAATCCCCCTTACCATTTCCACTACTAAAAGGGTGAACGCGTGCTTGATACCATCCCCTGTTTCGTGGAGAATTTAAGCAAAAACAATGGACCCGTGCACCAGTTTTTGTACTAAAAGGGCGTGCACTGTATCTTGTAGCGGCGTTCCATTTGGCACTCAAAAATCGGAAATGCATTTTGTAGTGATTTATTTTGGGATGCGTTGTGTCGTACCGGAAACCCCAAAGCCCTCTTTTGCCGGTCATGCCCGGTTACATGAACATATAGCTTGGACCCTCAGACCATGTTTGGCTCTTGACTCACGATTATTTCGTGGTAAGATGAGCCCCCAAAAAATCGAAAAAAAAATGTAGAGACTTTAAGACGGAAAAATGGGACAGACTTGGTTTCAAAACCCATCAATTGAATTTGAAGTTGTGCGCTCAGATCAATTTTGCTGCCCCATAGCTGTGACGATTGCAGTTCAAAATCTCTGCGCTGTGCTTTTGTCAAACTTTTTTTGAAAGGTCAATTCTTGGAATCCGATGGAAATCCCAAGGTTGTATTTACTTGTGCTCGGCAAATACTATGACCTGGGCCCCAGAAAGGGAACCAAAGATTTAGAGTGAAATTTCCAGAAACCATTTAGTAGAGAATCATGATTTTCACTGCAACCCGTTTTCACTACAAAATGGGTACGCAAAGTCATTTTGTAGTGACCGACATTGGCTTTTGATCCACCATAAAAACCCCCAACCCATTTTGTAGCAAGGGGGGTTGGTTCAGATTCAAGCGTCATTTTGTAGTATAAGGCTGTGTTTGTAAACGGTTTAGTGGGCACAACTTCTCTGCAGAATGCACGCAGGGATGGTTCAAATGGGTTTCATCCTGACACAGTGGGGCATGGAGGTTTTCAATGTTTTTCATAGATTTTGCATTTGCAATGATTTGGCGTTATCATTGATCTTCACTTCATTTTTTCCCTGTCTGACGAGCTTCTCCCTCAGTTTTGCTTTCAATTTCCACGCGCATCCGCTGCGTACTGCAAAGCCCAGCTGACCAGTTGGCGCAGGTGGACGCAGTTGGCAATGCCTGGGTGGCAGGCTACACGTATAGCTCCCTGGATGGGCACACCAACGCGGGCGGATTTGACGTCTTCCTCATGAAATTCGATGCCCAAGGTGTCCACCTGTGGACGCGCCAGCGCGGGAGTAAGAGCTGGGATAAGGCTGGCGCCCTTCAGGCAGACGGGGTGCGACTTCGTTTTCGAATCTTTTCCATGGAGGAAAAACGTGGAAAAGCTTTAGATTTAGATTCTCTTGCAAGGTCCATGTTCCGAGTCAGGTGGAATGGCATCACATTCAAATGGATCAATCTGTTGGGTGACTTTACAAGGTCACGATATCTCATATATCCCGCATCTCGCGAAGTATCTCGTGGAAGTTTGAGCGATTTCTTTAGACTTTAGACTCTAGACTAATCCGGGACTAAATCGACAGGGTGGGATCATGTCTGGAATGTGTGGAACTCATGAAAATCCTATCGACCTTTCCTGGCAAAGATAGATGGTCACGAGAGTGACTTGGGACCCAACGTTTATGCTCCCACAAGCAAACGTACCAGTACCAAGCCCATGTCCTCTTGAGAATCTCTTGATTGCTTTCACACCGGTGGGTTCGTTTCTTACATGGTATATAGAATGTACACAGTGACGTGCGCGTTTCAAACCTAAATGTCTTGAGTATTTGCCGTTTACAAATCTTTAAAGGATACTCTGATAATCTCTGATACATGCAAAACTTATCAAAACTCTTTGTACCTCAAGATGGGCAAGTCTCGTCTGGAGCAGTGTCAGTCTACAAAAGAACTTAAATATGAAACCACTTTGAGGTCACTTCAGGGAAACTTAAGTGAGCTGTTCTTATTTGAGTTCGGGATAGTTCGGGATTCCTGGGTCACGTCCTCATACAGTCGCACGCAGTTGTTGATTTAGCGTCATCTTCGATCTGTACGGGTTTCTTGGATTTCTTTCAAGTTCCATGCGCATCTGTGGAGCACTGCAAAGCTCAACTGTCTATCTTTGCACAGGTGGACGCAGTTGGCAATGCCTGGGTGGCAGGCTCCACGCATAGCTCCCTGGACGACAACACCAACGCGGGTGGAATTGACATCTTGCTCATGAAATTCGATGCCCACGGTGTCCACCTGTGGACGCGCCAGCTCGGTGGTGAGAGCAATGACTTTGCTTATGACCTTCAGGCGGATTGGGGTGCGACTTCGTTTTCGAATCTGTTCCATCGAGGGAAAGCTTTAGATTCTCTTGCGAGGTCCATGTTCCGAGTCAGGTGGAATGGCATCACAGTGTGCGGATCAATATTATAATCTTTATGCCTTTAAAAAGGTGATACTCCGAGGACTCCGAGGGCTTCGAGAATTGGAACATTTTTGAATTCGATCGATGCACTTTCCTTAGTAAGTCTCTCACCTTCACATAGGTTGGATGCGGTTGGTATACATGGTCCAGTATATCTAAAATATATTATCTGATATTTAAAGATTATTCAAAGTCTAGTATATGACATAGCATACCTACGCATGCGTGTAATGCACTAAAAGATGAATATTTGATTTATTCACATGTTTCCCATTGTTTACGCATGTTTATTTAAGTTACATGATTGATATCATTATATTACTGGCTTACTGACTGATGATTGATGAGATTTGATGAGAACTGTTGACAGACAGTTTTCCGACTGAAACTTAACCTTGCAAGCGAGCACAGGACACGGACAGAACCCTTATGCAAATCTCATCAAAACTCTTTGTACCTTAAGCTGTAAGATGTGCAAGTCGAAGCTAAAACAGCATTGTCAGCCTACAAAGATGTGAAATTAGAGACCACTTTATCTGAGTTGAGTTGTTTTCATTCGAGTTCGCTGGATTTCTCGGTCATGTCCTGATACAGTGGGACATGCACTTGACATCAGTTGACTATGTGGTGTGATGCTGACCAGTTGGCGCAGGTGGACGACGTTGGCAATGCCTGGGTGGCAGGCTCCACGTTTGGCTCCCTGGATGGGCACACCAACGCGGGCAGTCGGGACATGTTCCTCATGAAATTCGATGCCCAGGGCGTGCACCAGTGGACGCGCCAGCGCGGTGGGGAAGACTTTGACCTTGCTCAGGCTCTGCAGGCGGACGGGGTGCGAAGTTGTTTTCGAATCTTTTCCATTGAGGAAAAGCTTTAGATCCTCTTGCGAGGTCCATGTTCCGAGTCAGGTGGAATGGCATCACCATTCAAATGAATCAATCTGCTGGGTGCAGGTCGATATCTCATATAATTATCCCGTATCTCGCGAAGTATCTCGTGGAAGTTTGAGCGATTACTTTAGACTTTAGACTCTAGACCAATCCGGGACTAAATGGACAGGGTGGGATTATGTCTTGAATGTTTGGAACTCATAAAGCACTCGATGCTGTATTTTACGACTTTACGATGTACAAGTTTCTGCTAGAGCACCGTTGTCATCCGAGAAAAGATCGGACATTTGAGACCACTTTGTATGTGTTGATATGGGAGTTGATTTGAGATTTCTTGGTTTCATCCTGACACAATGAGGCATGCAGTTTTTCATAGTTTTTCATAGTTTTCATAGTTTTTCATAGTTTTTCATAGTTTTTCATAGTTTTTCATTGTTTTGGCGTTATCATTGATCTTCACTTCATTTTTTCCGAGGCTGATGGGCTTCTCCCTCAGTTTTTCTTTCAATTTGCACGCGCATCTGCGGCGTACTGCAAAGCTCAATTGTCTATCTTTGCGCAGGTGGACGCCGTTGGCAATGCCTGGGTGGCAGGCTACACGCGTAGCTCCCTGGATGGGCACACCAACGCGGGCGGAACTGACATCTTCCTGATGAAATTCGATGCCCAGGGCGTGCACCAGTGGACGCGCCAGCGCGGTGGTGAGAGCAGTGACTTTGCTCATGGCCTTCAGGCGGATTGGGGTGCGACTTCGTTTTCGAATCTTTTCCATGGAGGAAAAGCTTAAGGTCGATATCTCGTATTTGTTGGAAGTTTGACCGATGTCTTTAGACATCTTTAGACCAGATTCACAATAAACCAGGCTAAGTCGACAGAGTACGCGATTAAATCGACAGATTGGTATCATGTTTTGAATGTCTTGAGCTTCTGAAGGCGCTGTTGACCTTCTTGTCAAGATGGATTGTCTCGAGACTCACTTGGAACCGTGCCAACAAAATTCATGCGCCAAAAAGGTTTGAACATTTTGAAATGCTCAAATTCAATGCACTTGTCAGTATCTTGCACTGTTAGCACGGGCTGGGTTTGGTTGGTATACACGTTGGTACATATTCTTTACACTTAATTATTGCGTGCTGAAGTTGAGCTCTTATCATTTGGTCGTTTGCATATTGTTTGCAAAGAAAGCTGTATAGAAAGACTTCCGAGTTACAGACCATTCATCATCATCATCATCATCATCCCGGCAGTACCACCACAGCACCACTACCGCAACATACCACCACCACACAACAGCAATACTACCACCACACCAACAGTATACCCCACCACAGCATACCACAACAATACCACAGTAGCAGCGGCATAACAGTAGCAATCGTAGCAGCAGGAGCAGCAGTGCGAGGAGCACCAGCAGTAGCAGCATTATGTGGGCCAGGCTTGGTAGACACGACGGAGTAATCGAAGTGCGCCGAATGTTGTGCTTTTCCATTCAAAACACACACACACACATACATCATAATATATATATATATCTATTGCAATTTTAATTTTAATATTTATACCTATACTGTGTGTATATATATATATTATAGAGGAGCTATTGATTGGAAGCATGACATTGTCAAAAAAACCGTACCTTTGCTGACTCTTCTGACAGCGTCCTTGCACGGCGAAACCACTCATTTTTAAGATCCGCTCACCGCTCACCTTGCCTCAGGTTGGATCCGGTTGGTCGTGTGCGTGGGTGTTTGGGGCATAACTTGTTTTTTGTAGGTATCTGGTCTTTTGCATGTGTTTTACGTGGTTTATTGGTGGGACCGGATTGGAATCATTGAGTCAATTTCCAGACTGAAGCAAACATTGCATATGAATGCATATGAGCACAGGATGGCTACAGAACCCCGGCCCAGAACAGAACGAGCACTTAAGCTGTGCAAGTTTCACCTAGAGCAGGGTTGTCAGCCAATTGAAATTTGTGAGCGCCATGTCTGAGTTATATATATATAATTTAAGTTGGCTTGATTTCTTCCTTTCGTCCTGATACTTTGGGTTACGCAGTTAACCATTTGGTATGGTTTGGTTATGTTTGGTTCATGCTTGATTTTTTCATGGGGGCCCCGCTGATCAACGAAAGCTAGCTTCCGCTAGCTGAAGTTAATCTACTTCAGCAATGCTTTTAGATGCGGGACTGGAACCGCAAATGACCTGAGGCTTTCACATGAACTCGATTCTGCACCAGGTTTTTCCAGACCCGCCAGATTAAGCAGCAACAGTAGCAAAAACAACAACAGCCGCCAGCCGCCAGCAGCCTTGCAACGGTGGGATTCTAGCAGAAACATTGGCAAACATTGGCAAACATTGGCAAACACTGCTAGAAAATGCTGGGACAGTGTATGGCATTGTGCCATGAGAATTTTTGCAGTGAAACACAAGTTTATTGAAACATGGTTTCAAGTGAATTTGAATCAGTAACAGACAAAAGACAGTTGTACCCATACACTTATTCTGTCAGCTCTGGAGTGGAGGTATGTTTGGTGTCATCTAATATGTGTTGCCCCATCCGCACCAACGCCTTTCATTGATACAGAAGACAAGCAGGTTTGAAATCTAGTGACAAATGAAATCTAATCATGAAAATCAGCTGAGTTTCACGATGGTTCGAAGCATTGCATGTTCAGCTGCAGCTCCCCCTGTATGATTTGTGAGATGCGTCCATTCCAAAAGTACACATTTGGAGATCATGGTGCCCCGTTTTTGTCTACTTATTTCACGCATGCCAACAAGTTTGTTGTTGCATCTTTTCATGCAATAAATGGCTGCATCACAACCTGAAGGAGCAGATTCCCATCTGAAACTAGCAGGATTCCATTTCACTCCTGTTCCATTTACATTGTCTTCTCTCGTTATTGCCCACAGCTAGCTTTCGTCCGTTACCCTTGGCCTCAAGTGGGTTTCTCCCTCTGTGTTTCTATCAAATTTCCATACGCATTTGGTGGCACCACACAGCCCAGCGGACCAGTTTGCGCAGGTGGATGTGAACGGCCATGCCTGGGTGGCTGGTTCCACAGAAAGCTCCCTTGATGGTCACAGCAACGCTGGCGGACAGGACATCTTTATAATGAAATTTGACGGCGATGGTGTCCACCAATGGACCCACCAACGCGGTGGTAAGGGCGATGATGTGGCTCGTGCCCTCCAGGCGGATGGAGTGCGACGTCCTTCGTTTTTGAATCTTTTCCATGGAGGAAAACATCAGAACTCTTTATGGTGTCCATGTTCGCCATCACCATTTAAGTTCAATTGCTCAATCTGGTGGATGCCTTTACAAGATCAAAATCCAGGTTAAAATCTGGTATTTGGCGATTGAATCGACAGAATGGGATCATGTTTGAATGTTTGGAGCTCATGAAAATCCTGAAGAATCCTGAAGACTGACTTGAGACCTTGCCAACAGTGTCCATCTGCCCGAAACCAAAAAAATATCAAACCCACGGGTGCTTGAAAATCTGTAGGATCCTGCTGGTGCTTGCACGCTGTACATGTTTTTGTGAAGCACATGTTCAACTTTTTGAACATTTGAGCATTTCGTCTTTTACATTGGTTACATATGTTTACTTGATGTACCTGATGAGATTGGTGAGAAAAGTTGAGAGGGTTAATGGCCGGAATGAAGCAAGACATGCAGGTTCGCAGGGGATCAAAACATAGCAAGTATTGAATGCACAGCCATTTGTACTTAGATAAGATGTGACAGTTTCAGCCAGATCAGCGTTGTCAGCCTACAAGGACTTGAACATTGAGACTGGTTGTCCGAGAGGATATAATGATATATATATATATAATATAATCATTATTTTGATTTCATTTTCCATTTTCGTCTTGTTACAGTGGGGGACGCAATTGTTGATTTGATATTGTTTATGGTGCCATGTCACTCTTTCATACCCTTTCCTGGTTGGGGGGGTTCTTATCATGTTTCCTTCAGTTTCCATGCGCATCTGCGCAGCACAGCAATGCCCAGCTGACCACTTCACGCAGGTCGGCCCCATTGGCAACGCCTGGGTGGCTGGTTACACGTATAGCTCCCTGGATGGGCACAGCAACGCTGGCAAAACCGACATCTTTCTGATGAAGTTTCGAGCGCCCCGGTTGAGGTTGAGAGGCGGGTAGTCGGAGCACCGAGTTTGGAACCTTCAGCTGCTGTCAGGAACAGTTCAAAGCGGAAAAGATGCCACTTTCTGTCTGGGTTTGAGAATGTTTGGAAGATGTGAGGAGTGAAATCCATCCCCCGTACCATGTCGCCATTTTCTCTCTTCATTTGAAGACATGCGAAGGATTCATCCGGATCCCTCACAGCCACAAGTATATACATATACCCCCGTGTGACCCATCGTGGCTCTACCAAAACAAAGGGGAGGTGAGATCATACATTGTGCCCACAGGTGAAATGCATGAGCACCACATGCAAAGATTCGATTCATAGACATCTCCATAGGAGGAAAGCAGATGAAAGCAGATCCTAAACCAGTGGAAAGATCATTGGCCTGAACACCTTCCACTTTGCTAAGGCCCAGTGCAGCCAGGTAACATGTCCAGCTGGCTACGTGCAAAATCCCTCGCAGAGCAATGGCACCTGCTGCGTGCTGTCCAGTACCCCAACTTCCAGCTGGACAACGTCAACGACGGCATCCACCAGCATCAACACCGCAACGTCATCGACGAAGCCGTCAACCAGCATCACCAGAACAAGATCCACAACAGCAACCAGCATAGCATCAGTGACGACAGCATCAGTCAGTGCAAGCGCGGAAGCAGCTCTACCGGCGCTACTGGCATTGCCAGGGTTCCTCGGCTTAGTTTCAAAAGCACATGGATGCCGAGAGGTATCGTTGGCATGATGCGTACAAGCAAAGATATTGACACATTTTTTGCATTTGCCACCCGCATGATAGTTTTTTTTTTCGAACTGGCAGTCGACATGTCACAGTCTCCAGGCATTTTTTGTTTGAGGGTCCTGAAAGATATTGTAAGATGTTCTACACAGAACAGCCTTGGCAACTGCCCAACCTGAGGTCAAAGCTGGAGGTTGCTGCTCGGCACAATGCATGCAGCTACGACGAGATGATTTGTAATTAAGGGCTGGCTTATTTGTTTATGTTTGTTTGTCAAACGGCAAGAGCATTGACACATGAGTTCACGGATAATACATGGGGTTTTCCCTTGACATCTCAGATATTCTCAGATTACCAGAGGGTATCGCCTTGTGATTTCTGACGGGGTTGATAAACCTGTACCATTAAATCAACTATTGGAGGGTCTAGAGTGCATAAACAGGTTTCTGAAGAGTGGTGGGTGACTTGTTTCTGTCAGATGTAAATTGGGGCCCTGATTGTTTTCCTTAATTAAGTTTAAGGGTAGCAGGTATGGCACTGAAACCTCAACTGCTGGTACTTGGCTTCATTGTATATCCTTGCCATGTTCAAATCAGCTGTTTTGGTCGCTTGGATGAGGACCAGAACACCGCCAGCACTTCGACTGGATTGCCACTTGCATGAGGAAGGGCGGGAGCTTTTCCCGAAAAAGTTCCTGTACCTTTTTCATCCTTTTTCGACGAAAACTGGGCATGTCCAGATGAAAAAGAACCATGGTTTGTATAGTCTATATAGAGTCCTGTCTTTGCATAACCTGCGGACATACCGTGATATACCGGTCGTAGACGTTATTAAGCTCTCCTGAACTGTGATGAATTTGTCGTTCTAAGTTGCCTTCTTCAAGGCTGGTGGCTGCTGTGGTGCTGCCATTGCTGACGGCGTGCCTTTGTGCCTCCCTGGGCATCTGCTGTTATCGCGCGAAGCTCCGCCAGCTTCGAGGTGGTCCTAAAGCTTCAATGAGATTCTCAATTCTTCTCACGGGTTTCAGACTATGACCGAGACCCTTCCCGGAGGTCCCCACCAAGAGGCAGATGCAAGTGCACCTTTTCACTCCAAGTTGGGCTCGGTAAATTGAGCCAGTCAGTTGATTGGCCCTTGAGCCATGTTGCAACAGTCGGAGGACGTCTCAACGACTGTGAAAACTTTAAAAAGACCTTAGTGGGGGTGCAGTGGTACTCTGTGCATGTTTCCCAAACCGCACTCCCCCTTCCTGCTTGCAGGAATCCAGGTTCCCCAACACCAAAAACAAAAGCTTCAGGGGTGGCCACGTTTCCTCTGGGAACTCGCCCTTCCCCCAGCCAGAAGGGCGAAGACCCTCGTGTGCCATAGTCCCAGGCTGGTGTTGGTTCCCCCTTCATCCAAGGTTCGCGTGGAGTTCCACTTCGGGTTGACTCCAAAAATTGAAAAACTACAGCCCTAACTTCGTAGGTTTTTGAATTCCCTCTCTCACCACCGCTGCCCTCGAAGAGCGCCCAACGGTGTTCTTTGGGTCCAGCAGCTGATGAGCTTTTCCCTGTACCGATCTTTTCCACCGGCAGCTAATGATCTTTTCCCTGGGTCTTGATGATCTTTTTCCTCAGCCACCGATGTACTTTTCCCTGCTATCTATTCCTTTTTGGTTCTTCTTTTTCTCTCTCTTTTTCGGTTCCCACTTGCAATAGGATCCGGGCTTCTTTTTCCTTCTGATCGCCTTGAGTTCCCATTGGTTGCGGAGCTATCCCTTTTGAGGGTTTGCCATGAAGTTGTATTTCACCCATCTTAACCACACTCCCCAAAAATTCCATCCCTTGAACTGCTACCTGATCCCTCGTTTCTGTGGGACCCGACCTTGGTACATCTTCAGCAGCTCGATGTTCTTTTCGATTGGACCTGTCAAGATCCAAGTCCCAATGTTTCTCTTGTCCATCACCCAGGATGGTCTTAGGGATGGGTTCTTCTTTTCCAGAACTGTGCAATTGGGTAACATGGCCGTGGTGATCTTGTACCCGCAAAACTTTCAAAATTGGTGGACTTTCATCCCAAAAATAAACCCATTTAGGTTTTGGGTTACCCCTTTTGGACCTATTACCCCGTTTTAGAATACCCCTAGGTTCTTCTTCTACAGGGTGTTCAACTTGTCCAGGAATGTTCTTCTTCTCCAAAAACGGTAAGACCGACTCCAACTGGAACCGATCCTTGACCACGGATTCAGTGACGCGATACGCATCAGCCAGTACTCGCACCAGCCTTCCAATGGCAGTGCTCAGGGCTTCATGCCGGAAATCGGCTAGTTCTGGATATTCCTCGGCCAGACCAACCACCTTTTTCACCACTGATACGCACCGACCAGCGATATCTCGGTAGTTGTCCCAGGAGGGAGTCTCCTGGTCTGGTTCTTCTGGACGTTGTTCATGTCCCAGAGGTTGTTCTTCACGACGGTTGGACCCCATTGATGGTTCCTCATTTGGAACCCCGGAACCTTGGTGATTGACGAACCTCCAGAACCTTTCCCAACTGGGCTTCACAGCGATGATCTTCGTCAGGAAATCGGCCACAAGTTTTACCCCTGGAAGGTGACGGATGATCCAACTACCATCCTTTAACCTCTCCCTTAGGGCTGTTGCTCGCAACCGCAAGTGCCGAGTCCTCCACGGACCGTCAGGATTTTCCAAGATGGCTATTGCAGCCGTGTTGTCTCCGTAGATGATCTTCTGCCCGATTTTCCGTCCTTCCACGACCTCTATGAGAGACGCCAGAGAGTCTCCCATGACCATGGATTCCAAGTAGGACATCAGTTCCCCTTCGGCGGTGCTCAACACCACAAAAGCCTGACGGCTGGCTTCCCATTGAACCAACCCTCCACCATAAAAACCTAGGATACCCTGCAATGATCTTTCGCCCGCAGGGGCAAATGAAATGTCCGAGAACATTTCGACTTGCTGCATCTCCCGGTGAAATGGCAGGTCATCTTCGGGACCACGATCATCACTTGTGCAAACCCCATAGCTGAGATGTTGAGTTTCGGTTCCCTTCAGGTAACCAAACACCTGTTGTGCGGTTTTCACCACCCATTTGGGCCGTTTGTTCACCTGTCTTCCCAATTGGCTGACGGCGAAACTGATATCCGGCCTTGTCCTTATGGACAACCACAGCAACTCGCCCACCACCGTTTGAGCTTGTCGGATGTTTTCAAGTGCTGGTTGTTCTTCTTCCGGAAGTTCGGCATCCGCTTTCGTCATCGGAACCGGTCTTGGGTGTTCTACTTGATGTCGATTCAACAGATCCCGAGTGTAGGACTGCTGTCCCACTTTCAACTTCTTTTGATCCCCTTGACCGCTCCATTGGAGCTCGAACCCACAAAATCGAACCCAGCCTTCGTGATCAACTTCTTCAGGAGTGGAGCAAGTCCATTCTTCCTTCAGCCTCTTCAGGAAGCTGTGTTTGGCGTGAGGTTCAGCAAGAACCATAAGATCGTCCACATAGACGACCACCAAACCCACTTGCCGATATCCATCAGGACGTACTTCTTCTCCCGGAGCATCACCACCTTTACACAGGATTCTCCACAAATTTCCTTCCGGCGTTTGTTCCAGCTTGTACTCCTTCTGCATCTCCCCCGGGCTTGCATCTCCCTGCCATGTGAACCGCCGCATTGTTTGGTCGCGGTACACTGCCCAATGGGCAGGACTGGATTGAAACCCATACAGGGCCTTGTCGACAAGCCAGACCTCATCCGGTTGGGTAATCCCAAAATCAGTCATGATCCTGGGCGGCACCACCGCCACGGTTTTGGCACCTTGTTCCACCGGCCGAGGAGCCAGTAGAAAAGCGGTCTTGATGTCCGTCGTGGCTACATCCCATTGGTGATGAGCTGCCTTTCTCAATGCACACCTTATCAGAACCCCGTCCGCTCCACTGGCATACAGCAGAGAGGAAGGCATGGGATCCGCTTCCGGTGATGCCAAGTTGCCGCAGATCACAGCGCGACATTTGTATCTCCCTCCAGCCTTGATCACACAGACCAATTTCCCCGGCACCAATTCGGCTTCAGGGTCAATCTCGGATCTTTTGACTGGTCGGATAGCTTTTGTTTCTGCAGTCAAGGATTTGTACTCGGCGAGCATCGAGTCGTACCATTTTTCCTTTTCCATTCTCACCTTGTGGAGAGGGACTGTAACAGTTTGAAGTTGTTCTTCTCCACCGCTACCGTCAGCTTGTGCTGAACAAACCCTTAGTTGGCACACTCGCCTTTCCTCCTCAACCTTCGCAGTTGTTACAGCTTCCAGTTCTTCTTCCAAATCTTCACGGTGTTCTTGCAGAAGTCGTAGAACTTGTCCCTGTATGAAGCCGTTTGTGGGATCCACTGGAACATTCGACAGTTCTTCCCTAATGGCTTCCACAACTCCAAGGTGTTGATCTTCTTTGACCTTCAACAGGTGTGTCAAGCTAACGTTTCTGACGATGAACTCCCCCGAGGTTGGACTTCTTTCGATGTGCTTCTCCCCCGAGTCTGGACCATCTTGTGCAGAAACCCTTGAAACTTTGATTTTTTCCACTTTTGAAAAGGTTACCGGGCTCCCCCCCTGCTGACACTTCAGCAGGCTCTACTTTCATTTTTGAGATTTCCGGCCCAAGGCTGTCAATCTCTTCCACAGGAGCTTCCGGATCTTCTCGGTTGAGTTCTTCAAAAAGCAAGTCGATTTCATCAGGCCCTTCATCTGCTTCGAGCATTTCGCTCGGTTCGTATGGCTCTGAATCTTCAGGTGGTGATTCGTCAGGAGGTGGTAGCGGAGCGTCCCCAATGGTTGGCGGCAACATCATGACACCTTCTGGCGGCGTCTTGGAGTAAAGCCGTCTGTGAGGCCTTTCAGGATTGTCTTCTATCTCCAACCTGATGCGGACCCGCTCCCCTTCCTCACTCGGAACAACCACTTCTCGAGCATGAACCACTTTTCCATCTTTCTGTTGGACTACCCAACCCGAGAACATCATTGGACTCGGACACAGTAGGCGTCCTTCCGTGTATGGAGACGGAATCGCCCCCTTTTTGAACCATCTTTTTGACCGAACCAAGACGTTGGCCCTGAAGGGCAGCATTGACAGTACGGGCACCCCCAGTTTCTCCAACTGTTGCCTCATTCGTTCTTCAGCACAATACCTCATGGCTTGTGGCCAGTCGGTCACCTCACTTCCTGCCACGCGGAGATACAGACGGGTTCGCCTTTTAAGCTGATTGACCTCTGATTCCACATGGCCGTTTGAGGCCGGGTCGTCTCCCTCCGTCATGCTCTGTCTTATAAGGCGCTCTGAGCACCATTTTTCAACCTTTTTTGACAGTAGCTCTTTAGCCCGATCACTATGCAGACGGTTGATCTTGATACCCATCGTGTTGAACTTCGCGATGCATTTTCCCAGGGCGACTAGGATTTCACTCACATGCCTTGACCCCAGAAGTTCCACCAATGTCACGTGCCGTACATTGAACGGCTGCTTGGATTCTTCTACCAACCTTTTGACTTCTTCCGTCATCGGGTCGGGATCTCCTTTTTCTTCCTTTCCACTGTTGTCCTTCTCCCCCGACTCTGGAAGTTGATGATCTTCTCCACCAAGCGGGCAATCTCCCTCTTCGAGACCATCCCCCCACGAGGGTTCCAGAATTTTGGGTTTCCCCTTTTCTGGGGATTCTTCACATGGCATCACGATGTCCTTCGATGGAGCTTGATCTTGTTGTTCTTTGGGTCGATCTTCATCTTCTCCTCCAGTTTTGGTGATGTAATCCGGGACCAAAGCAGTGGCCACCATTGCATACTTCACCACATCCTTCCCAGAGGATAGATCCCTGACCTTTGGAAAGGGTCCCACGATGTCCACGCTCATCGCCCATGACGACGTCGTAGCATCGCGTCTCCTCCGATGTGGAGACCTTGCACCCATTTCCAAAACACAAGTCCTACAATCCC